ACAGTATATAACTCGATTTACAGATACAAAATAACTATGAAGACAAGTTTATTGAGTATTTTGGTTGTTATCATTTTCAAAATAAAGGTAGCAGTGGGGGCATAGTGTCTTTTGTGTGTACCACATTATTCATGTTGAATAAATGTACATCAGCAGGTTTGATTCTTGCTTAATTGAATGTTTTAGTTTAGTTTTCTACCTCACGGGTTCGAACGCGCTTGGAGACATTTTTTTTGTTTTTTTTTTGTGTTTAATGATGTAGAAACCCTAGCTAAACAAATTTAGTTAGGGTTTAGTAAACAACTAAAAAAAAAAAAGTTTTTACAGATACTTTGTGGATCCCGCAGATCGTTCTGTACACATACAAGGTGTCAAAGCTGTCTGGGGAGCACTGAAAATTTCAATCAAGCATTTGCGACTCAAGACCGACTTCTCTCCTACATTTTTGAGTATATGTATAGAAGAGCTCACTAGAAGATTATCTTTTACAAAGTCTTTTGAATGAAATTAGTCTTGTTCTTCCCATTGTTTAAATCTCGGCATAATTATTCTGTTTAGATTATTTGTCTGAATAGCTGTGCTTAACTTAAAAGCACATGAGTACTCTCCGTTACTACCCATTGTTGTCAATAAATTGCGTTAAAAATTCCAGCAAACACATGAGCAAAACGTTAAAAACCGAGAAATAAGGTTAAAACGGTCAAAAGTCCTCTCTAAGTTCAAAAGTCCCTCCTAAGTTACAAGAGCCAAAAGATCCCTTCGCGCGGGAACACTAAAATCGAAATTGACCTTTCAAACAGTCCCCGGGTGAGTCTCTCTACCTGCTGGTATATAATTTTTAGATTTCTCAATCAAAACAAACAAAAAAATCGAGTCTATCAGACTGAAATTCTCACTCGGTCAATGTTTTTTTCACAAGGATTAGAGGAAAATAAGGCGTCGGGTCAAAACGCCGATGATGAGCTTCACTTTTATCGATATTAGCAAAACAAATATTTTGTTTCCACTTAGGATTATCTCAAAAATCAGTTTTTTCGACATTTTTTCAATAAGCTCAGTTGATCGCGGTGATTTTCGAACACGAGAATCAAGACGGCTACAGAAGATGGAGACTGATGCATATTAGTTTTGGTATCGAGAGCGTGAAATTTTAGAACGTTCGAACCGAAAACCTATGTCTATTATCTGTCCCTTTGCTTTATTCTGAGTTTCTCGTTGATTAGGGGTGAAACTTCGGAAAGTTTGAGGGAATACGGTCTTTCTTAGAGGAAATTTGGCAAACTATTACTTGCTGATACTTTCGTTTTTGAATCTCCTTTTTTTATTTCCAATCAGTTCAAGAAAACAATTGTGACATCAAAGTTCCACTTCCGCAAATCGGCAAAAAGAGAAGAGAGTGAGCGAACTGCAAAACTCTCTGATCTGCCATCTTTGAGAGCAAATCGGAGAATGAATTGGTCAAATTGCTTTCACTTTCACAAGAAAAAAACAAAATAAAAGGGAAACTTTTGGGGGATGGCCGGAAAGTTTGTATCCTTCCAATACTTTTCGTTTCCGAATTTCTTGCATTCATGCTGCTATTTGAATTATAAGAGAAGGCAAAATTTATAACTGCCATTTAGCTCAAAACATCTCAATAGGATTCATGTTCTATTGTACACTTTATTACACGTGGTGTTTTTTGGAATTCAAGTTTGCGAGTTCAATATTCCCCAATTTCAGCAAAGATGCGCTTCCTCTCGGCTTCATTTGTTCTCCTCTTTCTGATCGTATCGATATTGGCCCTACTGAACGAGGCGGCAGTCGAGGAGACACTAATAATCCGCGCCAAAAGATGCACTATCCTATTGGACGGATCGATGATCGATTGCTCTCCGAATTAGTCTTTGTTCAAATAAAAATTCAATCATTTTCCTCCAGATGCAGCTTCAAGCAAAAACAGAAACTTGAAGACACTGGTCAACAAAAGACACTCGCACAGTCAGACTGTTTAGGCGACTTCTTGACTGACATCTCTGACAAGAAATTAGTTATATCGTTAAAAAGAGCATTATTAGGTTGCAAAACTAAGCCTTGACTCCTTCAGCAATATTTCGAAATTTTGTTCACGTTTAGTGAGGCTTAGGGCGGGCCCTGTTTTTTGTTCAAAATATTGGCTTATCAGTTTTTTATTCAAAAACACAATCCAGAAAGCCAAATGCTCTTTTATATTTTTTCATTGATTATTTATTCAAATGCTACTCCAAATCTACCAACCGGGCATTTCCAACATGCAATTTTGTAGGCCTTTAAAAAGGATCTTCTATCTCTGTTACTCTGGCAAACATTAAGAGCGTGTTTGGGGATGACTCTTCTTCCGAAAGTACAATAAAAGGCTAGTTTCACAGAGGCAGAAATGGGGACATTTCTCTCGAGAATCGGGTAAACCCAGAGAGCTTGAAAATGCAGATATTCTTCAAAAAAATTCGCGAAAACCCCCCGATTTCTTGGCGTGAAAGTGCGGTTGAAGTTGGATACTCTCATGTAACAGTTGAAAAGCACCTCCTTACTATGGGTTTTAAACCGATTTACGGTTAATGGGTGCCCTACAACCTCACCGACCCCATGAAAGAGCAGAGGCCATCCGTTGCTGCTGCCCTTCTTTCCACTTTCCATTCACATGCAACAATTGAAAGACACCTTCGTGAGCTGTGTTTTAAGTAAATTTTTGGTCATGGGCGCCTCATACCCTTACGGACCCCATGAAAGGGCAGTGATCATCAATTTCAGCTGCGCTTCTTTCGAGACATGAACGGAAATCTTTCTTGTCGCGTGTAGTGACGGGAGATGAAAAGTGGATTATGACTGCAAACTTACAAAACGACAATGGATGGGACCTGGGGTTATACTAGCGAAGGATGTGCTTCCAGACCTCACCAGAAGAAGTACATGCTATCGGTTTGGTGTCGTTTAGGTGTCGTTTATTGGGAACTTCTCAATAATAAGCAGACAATCAATGCTCTATTATACAGCGACCAGCTCAAAAAACTCGATGAGAAAATTAAGGAAAAGCGTCCCAATTTGAAAATTTCCCCAACATGACAATGTCAGTTCACATGGGGCATAGTTGACCCTCTCCACAATCCACGAGTTGAACCGGGAACTCTTATCCCGTCCACCATATTCTCTTGACCTCAGTCCTGCCGATTACCATCTTTTCCGATCGATGTAACACGCCACGGATGGAGAGCACTTCCAAAACGAAGAAGATCTCAAAAAGTGACTCCAAGCTTATTTTGATTCGAAACCAAAAATTTTCTATGAGAGAGGAATTCGCCAATTGCCAGTAAAATGAGCGAAAGTCATCGCTAATAATGGAGACGAGAACGGAATCCAAAACCATTTCGGATTTCGATTAAACTGCTCTTTTGGTTGTCAATAAATATTGTTTTGAATTTGGGGTCAAGACTTAGTTTACAACCTAATCGAAGGAATAGGGTTGAGATCTCCAAATTCTCTTTCCAGATACAGTCAACCGATGCAACGATACTTTCGATTGGACACAAAACATAAAAAACTTGCTTAAAATATTTTTTCTCTCTTTCAGGGCTTGATGAGAAGCGATAAGACTATAGCAAAATGAGTCTTTAGAAAATGAATAGTCAAATCGCTTATCTATATTTTCTAACATAAATCATATTCTTCGAAGTAAATTGTTTATGAACAATCGGCACGTCAAATTTATCCACAAGCAAACACAAAGCAAACAACTGATGTATGACACGAAAATCATGTGGCTAAATGACAGAACTCGCGGGTTTTTACAAAAATGACTATTATTCTCTGCATTAATCATTTCATCTAATGAAATTTGGAGAATTGAATAATCATAAAGGTAAAGACCCCAACGATGAAACAAGCAACAAAGCAGAACGGAATCCAAAACCATTTCGGAGGCTGAAACGCTTCAGTATCTGCTCAAAATATTGAGAAATCTTTAACTGACGGTAGTTTATTCCAGACTTTGTCAGCATAAAGCTCAACGTTTCTCTGGCAAAACAGTTTGCCGTCCTTTCTTTAATTTGCTGAACTGGCATATGTGTTCGAAAAAAAGTGGTCATCGGTTTGAGTCTGGAAAAATTTCCTCAGTGATTCTTCAAGGCTCATCGTGGTGTCAAAAATGGTTTTGCCTCAGGCGTCACACAACAAGATTAAGTTGATTTTTTTAATGATTTTGTGAATAGGGGGCGCATCGGCATATGCATCGGCCGGGGAGCTCAAAATCCACGTATATATGAAAAACACGCTTTTGAATTCCTCTATTTCACCACAAATCTTTCTACTTTTTGCTTCTATAAATTTGTTTTGATATCAGGATCTTGAAAATAAGAGACCCCCAAAAAGTCGGTCCTGGGAAAGCAGCAACAAGAGGGCTTTCTCGTTTAAAAATTAACCATATTTTCAAGATCTTTGAAGCAGCCAATCCAACAATACAAACTAAAATTGTGGTTAGAACATTAAAAGAACAAAACAAATAGAAAAAAAAGTAGAAAGATTTGTGGTGAAATAGAGGAATTCAAAAGCGTGTTTTTCATATATACCTTATACGTGGATTTTGAGCTCCCCGGCCGATGCATGACCCCCTGTTCACAAAATCATCAAAAAATCAACTAAATCTTGTTGTGTGACGCTTGAGGCAAAACCATTTTTGACACCACGATGAGCCTTGAAAAATCACCGAGAAAATTTTTCCAGACTCAAGCAGATGACCACTTTTTTTTCGGACACTGTAGATCTTCAAATGAAAAATACGGTTGGCTCCAAGCGAGGTTTGGTAGTTTTATAATGTCTCTTACCGTGACTCATGGGTAAAACTATTTGAGTAAATACAGTATATTCTTTTTAAAGTCAATTCACATTTTCAAGAGCGGATTCTCAAAAAAGTTACAGAACTTCATGCTCATTCGGAACTCGATACGGGTCAAACCGACTTTAGCGTGTAAATCCTAGCGAACTCTTTAAAAAGGAGCTCCACTCACTCTTCTCCAAAATGGCATAAACATGATAGGGGCAGCGATCACCGGAGTGCCCATGGGTGGACCCATGATTGGCGTCGCCCCCATCATCGGGGCTCCCATTGGAACTCCCATCCCCATCATCGGTGCACCTGTAAGTGGTTGGGTGAACCTTTCCGAGAGACTTAGATCATCGCTTCATAGCAAAACCTCACCCACCCATCATCATTGGCGTTCCCATTACCGGAGTTGATCCCATGATTGGCGGCCCACCCATCATATTGCTCATACCACAGCCTGTAAAACTAGATTTTGCAATTTGCACATAGAGCCAAAATATTTAAAAAGCTATACAGTCGCACCTCATCCAAGGTATTATAAAACTCGATCATTGGCAAAGTTAGATCGTTAGAAAGGCTCAGATAGATGCATTTTTTGCAAGAAATTCGATTCTATAAATAAAAGTGACCTATCTCTACAAGATTGGGGATCTTTTGATGTTTTTTAAAATAACAAACTCTGCGAACCCGTCCACCCATATTGAGGCGGTCCATCCATAGCATTTGGCACGAAAACTTGACCGTGTTGAAAAATTGGCACTGATGGATTGGGCAGTCCATGTTGAGGATGATGATGCTTGTGGTTCATTTGAGATTTTCAAAAATATAGAACAATGTGTGAATGAGGAAATTTTTGACTATTAAACGGTGAATGACGTGGAAAAGAAATGGTTGCTATGGAGAGATCGGGAGTTTTTCTGGGAAAGACTAACTGATTCTTTACTTTTTTGCTTAATAGCTGGAAAAGTTAATCCGAGAATAGCTGTCGCCAAACACAAGTCAATCCGGTTTATTGCATAGTTTATTGAACAGGGATCTTGGGGCACAATTCAAGTAGTCTTGAAGAAATATAAAATTAGTTGCTGGCAAATTGTTTAGAGTTACAAAGTTATAAATGAAGCGTTTGCTGAAGTAAGGAAACACTAAAACAGTCTTCCGGGAAGCAGCTTCCAAATAAAGTTCACAATTGAAAGAGTATCAGCAACAACTCATTGGTCTAGAAATGAAAAAGAAGCGTATGTACCCCGAACTCGAACCCCGATAGTGGTCACCAAGTTAGTGATCGGACTTCTCAAAACCTTATCAAAATTTAAAAGTTGTCAATGTCTTGCAAAGCGCTACTCGAACTTTGTGACATCTTTTCAAGTATTTGGTGTTGATGATAAAGTATTTTGTTTCGAGTATAGTGCTGATGACTCGGTAGAGTATTAGCTCCATAACCAGAAGATCGAAACTTCAAATCTCTCCTTCGTTCATTAGTACATCCAATGCATTGCATCAATAAGTTTCCGTTTCTATGTATGAGTTAATTACTTCCGAAGTCCCTAGAGTGGATGAAACAAACTAACAAGCGGTCTATTTCAGCTGTTCTCAAAGTACAGCTATAAAACGTTTCGAAAAGCGGAAACTAAAGCAAAACATTTTTTTCGGCTTTTCGATTGCTCACTTTCACTCTCCTTCTTACGAAAAGTCAATAAAAGTCAGTAAGTGACTTTTCTCAAACTCTTAAGTTACTTATTTTGTTTTTGTTTAGCCGAAAATCAGCAGCAACACTTTCCAGAAGCTAAAGCTTTTTTGCATGACAACTCCAGTGAACCGTTCAACTGTTCCTTTGTTGGCTTATGATCCGATTTTCGATCGAACGAAATGTCTTGATTATGATGGATATTTCTGGGCGGCGATCGATTACGGATTGATCTACGGGGTCAACGGGTTGCCCATCCCCACCCCGTTCACCGAAATTCGACGAGTACCGATGGCTTTCTTCATGTGCTTTGTAAGTAATCGAAGATTTCTAAATCATCTAAAAAGAAGAGAGGCTATAGAAGCAAGGAGTCATTTTAAAAACTTCTCAAGTCCAACTTTTAAAAATTATTTTCTCCTTTTTCCAGTTAGCTACTTTGGGATTCCTGTTGAATATTTTTTGCCTGGTTGTTTTATTCAAAAGCTTTCAATTATCGAAAGCTGTCAAGTGCTATCTCTCGTTTGATTGCTATTGTCGCTTGAATGAGGCCACCACATATTTCTATCATGCGCACTGTGTTTGGACGTGAGTTTGTTGTAACAGGCTTTCAAGAAGACTTTACAAGAAATCTTACAAGAGGACACGAGTACTGAAATTTGACAAAAAAGGCAATTGACAAAAGATACAAGTGAAAGATATCAACTGAGTTATAGTAGTTAGTGTTTCTCAATCAATGATTTTATTGCATAATTGTGGGGCAAGAATTCCAGTGTTTGATGGAGATAACGATACAAAAAGTTACTTTAGAAATTTTTTTTATTGCAGTTGGCACTGCGTGGACACCCAGGGCTCTCCCATCTCGGGAATCACCGTCAATCGAATCGTCACCGCTTTCCTCTGTGCAATGTTCTACTCGATGCAATTCCTACAGAACGGTCTTTGTTTGAATCGGTTAGAGTGAATCGATTGATTCATTCAACTATTTCTCTTTCAGCATCTTTGCCGTCACATTTAACGGCTTACAATACAAACGAGTCGAAATGATCGCCCTGCCGCATTGTGTTGTGCTTTGGATGATTCCGATTATCGCATATTTGTATGAGATAGACAATTGTAAGGATTTATTGTCACCCGATTTTACGAGGGGAAAGCACCAACTTAAGTTGGTCATGCAAAATTGGGCTAAAGCTTTTACTAATCGTTTTTTAGAAAACGATTAGTAAACAAAACAGTTACAGTTACAGTTACGTTGATAGTAACTTTAGCTAAGTTTCTGAAGCCGGCATTCTTAATTAAATTTAGTGCATGATCCAGTAACGGGCTTCATCTGTTATGCCGGTTTTGCTTTCACCCCATCCGAGTACTCAAATTGGCCTGCATATTATCGGAATCAATCAGCTTCCTTCATAGCCCTTCACATCGATCATTTCATGTATGCCATCCTCGTCATTACTATGTTCATCGATGTCTTAACGCTGAGAAAAATCCGAACTTTGGTGAGTTTTGCAAATTTTAGAAAATACATTCATTTTAAGTTGAAACTTTTTTCCCTATGATAGAAATCCGTACGATCGATTTTGTTAAAATCAGGTGTACAGCCAATCTGTAGCTCAGCGCTAAGGCTGTAGAGTTCTTTTGTGTTTTCTGGAAAACTTGGAATAAAAATTAGCAACAACATGTAGCAACCTTTAGCTTTTAGAAAAGCAAATGCTTACCCTCAAACTAATCTCATTTTTTAAAGATGAAATCATCCGAGTTGAGGAAAAAGCTCGATAGACGATTATCAATTATGGTAAGGGAAAGACAAAAACATTTTGAAGACCCTATTTTTTCAGTTGATCGTCAATCACTCTGTCACCGTAACTTATTTCATATTCAACCAATTAGCCAACAGTCTCATCGTTGTCACTTGGCCCGTTTACTATTTTCTCATCATGAAATTGCCGTTGTTTTTGCTGAATCAAGCCATCAGGTCAACAATTTTATGCGTATTCTCACAAATTAGCAAAAGTTTAGTTGCATTGTCATTGCTTTCTATCTGGAGCGAAAACGGAAAGGCGTGATTTCAGTCGGAGCGATAAGTTCAGCGAGAATTCGTTAAAGAAGGCTCAAAAGAAACGCTTTATACTGCTTGTATAAATTTATCGATGTGTTTTTGAAGTTACATGCTTTTAGGAGTATATGATTGTCGGAAAAGATTCACTTGATATTTTCTGATTTTGAGCTCACACGAAAGTTCTGAAGCCAGGCTTAATCCGGAAAAAACATTGAATATCTAATTTTGGTTTTCAACTGCAAAAAACAAGAGTTTCCCTTCATAGTTCATTGAGGTCATGGAGATTCATTCTCATTTTAGTTCATTGAGAAGTGACGCTAATAAAGATACTCGAGTGCCTATGGCCGGTATTCTTCTTCGTCAATCAAAAAAGTCGAGGTTTTTGGGACACTATCGAGACGGGCAATGAAAAACGGATTTACTACGATAACCCATCGCGAAAACGGCAGTGGTTAAATTCAGGAGAACAGCCAAAAACGACGTCACAACGTGATACGCATTGAAGAAACGCTATGTTATCTGTAATCAGGTAGTAGAGGGTTGGCGATAATTAGAGAGTTGAAAGCATCTAACAATTTGCATTGAACAATGAAGAATTGAAGAAACGCGATGTTATCTGTTTGGTGGAATTCCCGTGGTCTTATGCACTTTGACGTTCTACCTTCGCGTCCAACAGTCACCTCAGATCTATATGTGCAACACCTGGACTCTACTAAAAGACTCAATCAATAAAACAAAATTTATTATTTACTCATAAAAAATTATTCATTGTTCAAATTGTCGTGTTTTGTCTGTATTTTTTGAAAATAAATGTGCTAAATTTATTTCAGATTCTTTTATACAATTGATATTTACACTCGAGTGTATCCAGTAGGGCAAGTGATGGCTGCTTGACAAACACCAAATCCGCGTGACTAAATTGATTGATTTCCAAAAAGGTTTAAAGTTGGAAAAACCTGTTGTGTGGTGGGGAAGATAGAATTCGTGAGGGGTTGTTGTTGGGACTGGATGTTGTTCTTAATATTTAGCTTTTTATGATAATTGAAATAGAAAAACCTGTTGAGAAATTGGGATTTGTTGATTGAAAGTGTTGATGGGGAACTGTTGTTGCTGTGGCTGTTGGGGGAAGAGGGTGTTTTGGGATCGAACACAGCAGATCTGAAAGCAAAACATTTGGTGGATTTGATACAATTTTGAGAACTCTTTTACTTACTTGTCCTGTAGAGCATGGTAACTGAGCAGAACAGAACTGTGATGTCTAAAAATTTGAATCAATACAAAGTTGTTCAATGTGTATAAACCTGTGTCTGTCCATTAGCACAACCAGATTGCGGCTGGGTGAGTGGATTGAACTGAAAATGAACAGGTTATAAACATTAGTAGATAATTTTAAAAGTCTATAAGACTTTTGTTTCAACGCAGCTACCTGATTTCCGAATGCTCCTTGTTGTCCCTGTTGTTGAGGGAAGATATTGTTTGGAAATTGTTGATTGTTCAATGGAAATTGCTAAATGCTTTCAACTATCTAATTATCTCCAACCCCCTACTACCTGATTCCCCATCAATCCCTGTCCCTGTTGTCCCAATCCCTGGTTATTTCCAAATGGATTGAATCCATTTCCAAACGGTTGTTGTTGTCCAAACTGTTTGTTGGATATTGTTGATGGATTGGTGGTCGATGTTACCTGATTAGAACCGAATTGTTGATTGGGAAAAGATGACAAAGCGAGAGTGGACTGAAATTAGATGGGAATTAGATTCTAAATTATGTTCTTTTTACCGTAGCCAAAGCAAGAATGAGACAAGATTGCATTTTAGAGAGAAAGGAGAGAATATTCAAATCGAATGAATGTTGATTGCCTTCCCAAAGTTTCCATCTTTTATACTCTCCCAATTGAGTCATTCTCAAATATTTTTGTTATGACTAGCAGCTAATTGTTTTTGAGACTAAATAAAGAGAGTGTCTAGATTGAAAAGCTGTGCAAATTCATCAAATCCAGTTCATCTTGTTTTGAAAAGGTTTGCTAAAAACAAAACAAAATAAAGTTTAAGAACTGTAATTCTACAATCAACAAGTTGGTGAATTATTCTTATTAATTATTAATCACAATTATTCTCAATCATTCATTACCATGTTTTTCAGATAAGCAAATAATTTTCGATGCATGAAAGGTTCAATATTTTATGGTTTAATCAGCCCTAAATTAATCAACCTTAAAGTTATATATATGCTTTATTCAGATGAATAGCGATAAAACAAGATCACAATAATTACCCAAGACACCACTCAAAAGTTTGTTCAAAAGAAAAGATCACCGTTTCTCTCGTGAAGGTTTTGAGCAGAGACACCGTGAAATTTTGGGGGAACACTATTTGAGATTGATTTTGCTGCTACTTTTCTTTAAAAATCCTAAAATGTTTCCTTATTTCAAACTTCTCAATGAACTAAAATGACTCTAGAATGAATCTCAATGACCTCAATGAACTATGAAGGGAAACTCTTGTTTTTTACAGTTGAAAACCAAAATTAGATATTCAATGTTTTTTCCGGATTAAGCCTGGCTTCAGAACTTTTGTGTGAGCTCAAAATCAGAAAATATCAAGTGAATCTTTTCCGACAATCATATACTCCTAAAAGCATGTAACATCAAAAACAGATCGATAAATTTATACAAGCAGTATAAAGCGTTTCTTTTGAGCCTTCTTTAACGAATTCTCGCTGAACTTATCGCTCCGACTGAAATCACGCCTTTCCGTTTTCGCTCAAGATAGAAAGCAATGACAATGCAACTAAACTTTTGCCAATTTGTGAGAATACGCATAAAATTGTTGATTTGAGCTGATTTGAGCATCATAGTGTCACAAGTGTCTCGATCATCGAAAATCTCGAAGCCATAAATCAATCGGTGCTGCTTACATAGTTTCCCTAAACAATGATGAACTTGTTTTTCAAGTCTGGGAACGGCAGATCGTTTTGTTGGGTCAACGAGTAGATGATCATATTCGGCTCAGGATTTGCGGGAAGTATTTCTGGAGTTTATTGAATCGGATCGATTCCTTTAGAAATTGTCGACTTACCATTGGCGGGGCTTCTGATTTCGATAGGGGAACACTGCTAGACATTTTCCAACGAAACTAATTTCTTCCCAAAGTCAGTCGTCGCTAGAAATTTTGCATTAAAGTCCCGCATCAAAGCCGTCTTTCCCGATTTCGATCTCACAACCTTTGATCGTCTACAGCTTAGGATCTATTCTATTGATGATTCACAAGAGGTCTACAAATTTCTCGCAAGACTTCTCAAAAATCCATCGATAGAAAAATGCCGCGCTTTTTTATGGGAAACTTTGACAGAATTCCCAGTTGAAGCAATCTCTCAATTTGACTCAAAGTATATCATTTTTCGAAACAAGAGAGATTTTGATGGATTTGTGAAATCAATTGAAATGATGTTGGATAAGGAAAAATGGGGAACAAAAGCAACCAATTCATTGCCACTTACATTCCCTCTATCGAGGTTTCAAGTAGCGTGAATGTTGACAATCAAATCAAATCGATTTTTGAGAATCGTAATGGTTTTGAAGAGTTGAATGATTTGGAGAAAAAACTATTTTTGATTGAAATTTTCGAAACACTCGACAACTCGAAGCTGATGAGCTGAGAAGTGGAATACAGAAAGTTTGGCCAAGAGAACGCTTTTTTACAAGAAGAAAATCTCATCAAAAAATGAGATTTTTTGCTTGGTCACCAGCACCGAGACGATGGGTTTAATGGATGAGTAGCGGTCGCTTTACAACCTGAAATTCTTTCTGAAATATCGCGATATGAATAAATGATGAGGTAAATCTCTAATTGTAAGAATGTCATTTTCTTTATGAAATGCATATGCATACTTCTGACCCATGTTCTACTTTCGCTAAGAAATTTGGTTCAGTTAAAGCTGATTCTTTACCTGTTTATAATATTGTGAATAAAAAACTCGATCGTAATGTGTTTTTCTAAAATTATACTTTTGAAAATCTCAGGTGAATGGAGTGTCGGGTTTTGAGAAAGACAAATAGAGCCAAAGAAATACAAGCTTTCCCTTCATTTTCAGATTTCCCACTTTCCATTCCATACCTACATTTATTTGTTTGCTAAATGAAATCAAAGAATGAGCTTAACCCTTATTTTTTGCTCTCAAACATCAGGCAGATAAAATGCTGGGATGACGGGAGAGCTCGTTGGATTTGAACTTTTTGAGAAAATCTGCACTTCGAAGAAGTAGAAGTAAAAACTGTAGCTTTATCGAATACATGACCAAGTCGTTTTTTGCTTGGTTTCACAAACTACCAACTTTTACATGGAAATTAAAATTTGAAAAAAATTTAAATAATACTTTTGGTTTAATTTCAAGTTTTTTTTAAACTGCTAAATGGTCTTTTTGTATTTGCGTGAACCAAAACCAAAACAAAACTTATAGTTTTTGAGTGTTTGAACGTAAAATTCAAAAAATTTGCAAAGCTTTTCCTAAAAGCTTCTTAAAAGCGTGTAATTCTCACCCCTTGGCTCCATTCCATATCAATTCAAAAAATTTCCGAAAACTCGAAAACTAAAAAGAAAAACAAATCAATGTTTGAAATCAATGTTGTTTTGCTTTTTATGTCTATTTTTCGAAAAAACTAATGGAGAGAAAAACCTGACTTTCACGTTAACCGAGGCGAATCCATCTTTTGCTTTTCATGGGATTCGATTAAAAGAAGCTGAGGTTATTTTTAATTTTTAACTTTATTTCATTTTTTTAGTCAATCACAATACGTACCGAAAGCGAGAAATCTTTTCTGATAGACTACTCGCAATATGGTTGCCAAAAAAAGGGATATCCGAATGTGATTTGCCTTTCGCTTTTTAAGATAGTTAATTTCTGGAATAATAGTTTATGGTCTTTCATAAACGATAATTTTGACAAACTAATAATAAGTTTTTTTGAAAACTTGACAGTTCTTTCCTGTATAACAAAACTTTTTCAACGTTTCTTTCTGTTATGAGTTATTTCGTTATATACAAGGTGTCCCATAAAAAAGTGATCTTTGACTTCTTATAACTTTTAAACGAATAAAGATCCATGGTTCATTATGGGGGAAATGGTGTTTTGGGGTTCACGTATTAGGATACAGGGATACACCTGAAGAGGTTGGTCAGTTGATGTAGCTGACTCGAGAGACGTATGAAGGACGTACATACATGAATTTTCAAAAATACAAAATCAAAATCTTACTGTGTGCCCCACACCCCAAAACACCGTTTCCCCCCACAATGAACCATGGATCTTTATCCGTTTAAAAATTACAAAAAGTCAAAGTTCATTTTTTTAATGGAACACGCTGTAGAGAAGATTTTAAAAGATTTAATTTTAAGTGCTACGACGATCTGCCGTTTACTCTTGATCCAGATTTGTGTTCGATCTCGGATAATCGAAACTGTCCCGGAACAATGGCCAATCATCAGTTGCTGTATGGAGCGAAATGGTCCACAGAAAAAAAGCTCGTAAATCAATTAGTTTTCCGAGTCGCTGAAACGCCTCCCACACTTGCATTCGCTATTTCAGTTGCAGTCGAAGGTTGGGTTCAAGGTTTGAAAACGATTTTGGAAAAGTAATTCACATTTCAATAGACGTTGGGATTCTGCTTATACCCGGATTTGTCGATGATCCTAAACCAGAAACAATATCGATCCCCGTGATTGGGATCGCCGGTCAAATTGTGACTGTTGTTGAGAACCCGAATTCATATAAGTAAATGGATTGTTTTGTAGATTTAAAAGAAGAAAAATAAATTTTATAAGTTTTTCAAGTAAAAGCTTTTCATTTTAGCAAGCTTGAACCACTAACAAAAGTTTTCGTCGCTCATGAAAAAATGGTTTCGCCGTGCAGTGAGGTTGACCCTAGAGATGTTGGTTTGAATTGAATTTGCACTTGATTTTTAATAGTTTTTACTTGATTGCTTGATTTTTGCTACAAACTTGACTACAAAGCTACAAACCTACTTTTACCACAACAAAAAAAAATTACACAATTATAGCCCGAGAAGGTTGACATTACTTGCCCATATGATACGATGTTTTTCGTCTATGCTGGCTCGATTCCCAACATTCCAGCACCAAATAAAGCAAATCTTCTCATCAACGATTTGTAAGTCATGTGAATAACGATGAACAGTTATTCCTTCCAGTGGTGGTCGTCCATTCTATTCCCGTTCCACCGTCACCACAATTTTCACCTACACCGCGTGCATCTACTGCTTTACTTATTACACTCCTCCAATAAGTGATTGTCATCGTTTAGAAAGATCAATGACTAAATACTTTTAGTCGAGACATTGAATGTACTTTCGACTTGGACTCCACCATACTATCCATGGCTTTTAGATAGACCGTTAATGCTTGAGATGGCGGAAACTGTTGGAATTTTGATGAGCCCTTTTGAAAATACGGTTTGTAAAATATTGGATCTTTGTAAAACTAGCTAGTCTTAAAAAAGTGAACGACTTGAGGCCTCTGTATCTCGACTAATTTTTATTTGCATACTTTATTCTTTTTTGTTTTATCTTTCGATGAAATTGGAGGCTAAAATTTGTTTTTTAGAATTTGTTTTTTGAGTAGAGTAATTATCTAATATGAAGGAAAACTGTAATTCTAGCTTGGTTCCCCAAAAGATTTGATTATTGAAATGAAAGCAATCATTGGAGTGTCACTTCAACTTTTGGCCTACACTCACTTGGAAAATGAAAGTGTTTGTGATCGAACAGCGACACCCACATACAATGAAACGTTAGATTTTTGTTTTTTTTCTTTTAATATTCATTTTTGAACTTGAACTTGTTTTTAGCTTTACTGAAATATCCGAAGCTTCTCTACACATACAGGCTTCTTGCTTTCAAGTAATATTTACAGTAATCTGAATATAAATTTCTTTCCAGTTTCAATGGAAAGTAAACGACTTAATTGAAAATGGGCCTGGCTTTTTGATAAATTTGAGAGAAGGTTAGTTGTCAATAATAAAATACAGTGCATTGCAAAATGATAGGACCACCCTCGATTTTTGCGATTTTTGACTTCAAATAGCTAAAAATGCAAAATGCGCTTAAACTTAAACCTTAAAAAGCCTAAAACTTAAACTTTATATACAAAAGTACACACAAACACCGTTTACGAAATTATTTACTTTAAAAGCCAGAAATTTTTGAATCATTGCTTTATTTTGCACCTGTTGCAAAATGATAGGACCACCAGGTTTCTTTTACATGTTATACATGAAATTTCTACTTCTTTTTCTAACTAATTTTTATTTTTTACAAAGATGGGGCGTGGAAAATCGCTTTCGCAGTTTGAATAGACTATTGGACGTCTATTGTCGAATTCGGTGATGTCGCTACAGGACGTCAAGGCAAAAGTTGAAGCTTCCGTTCACAAAAGCACTCTTTCACATCAAATGTATGCCTTACATCAAAATACCAGTCATGATGGAAGCACCAAAACTGTAGTCACAAAGAAAAAAAGGACGTCTTGGGCTCGGGATCACATCACCATCGATTGGAAAAAAAGCACCATTTTTGCCTTGAGTTGTCAACTATTTTTTTTTCTTTGTAGGTCATCTTCAGAAATGAGAAAAACTTTAATTTGGATGTGCCAGACGGCAACAAGTAATAATGGTACGATTTGAAGAAGGGTCCAATGCTTTGTGGACTTCGAAACTTCGGAGGAGGATCACTGATGATATGGAGTGCCTTCAATGTGCATAACGTTCTTGATTTAGAATTTGTGACGTGTCGCATGAACACGAACGATTACCAGGACGTCCTTGCGGATCAAGTGCTTCCTTTTCATGGGCCAAAACCGTAGGAAAGACTAAGTTTTTCAACAGGATAATGCTTCAATTTATGCAAGCCAATCCACTGAAGCTTTCCTGGGACGTAACAACATCGATTTTCTCGAATGTCTGCCTAAGCCCAATAGAAAATTTGTCGGCATCCTCGTGAGGACTATTTATGCTAATGTTAAGACTTACGACACGATTTCGCAACTCACAAGAGCTATTTTGCAAGCTTGGACGTCAATTCCACCACAAACGCTTCAAAACTTGGTAGACTCGATGGAAAATCGACTACTCGACGTCATCGAGAAAAAGGAGCATCTATTGGTTATTAATGAACTTTTCATTCGTTTTTCTTTTGTTTATTCTCAAATTTATTGTTATTTTTTATGTGGTCCTATCATTTTGCAACAGGTGTTAAATAAAAAAATTGTTATAATTTTGTTGCAATTTATTCAGATAACGTTAAAAATGGTATTTTTGTACATATATATTTCTAGGATTTAAGAGATATTTTAAGTTTCATAGCCAAAAAAGTAAAATTTAGGGGTGGTCCTATCATTTTGCAACGCACCTCAGTTACAAAATGTTGACTTTTTTTTAAACGATGGTTATTATAATCAATAATAATTTAAATTTTTGATTAAATTTTAAGCTCTCTGATAATATAGCTCTCTTTTAGCGTCAACGCTCTTTCAATTAAACCAACAAACGCCATCATTTGCCATTCACGGAGATAGATTCGGATTCAACGAGAATCAATACGAGGTAAACTATGAAAATCGACTTGCAATTGGTTCTAAATTTAGGAAATCCGAGTTGGATTCGACGAAGGCAGTGATATTGTTGTTGACTTTTCTAGAGATAAATGCCAACTCTTCAATGAGACGTTTCCGTACTCGTGTGCCGATCCAACTCCATTCACAATTGATGGAGAAACAAATAATGAATTTGATTATAGTTATGGAAAGAATGTGTAAGTGATTCAATAAACCAATAAATTATAAGAAGAAATTACTTTAAAAGATTCGAATAGGAGAAGAAGAGATTTGAAGATATTACCGAGAAAACATTCTAGAGATTAAACACTTTGTTATTCTTTTAAAGTAACCACGGTATTTTCAGAACATGGTTTTTAAAGACCAATTCCTCAATCAATGGCTTTTGGTTTACAAACCGTCTCACCTTAAAAACAAATAGCTCCAAAATCACTGTCCGCTCTATTTATGAAGGAACGTGTGTATATGCTGTCGTCATTAGAGTCGCTAAATGGATAAATGGTTAGAAATTTAGTGAAGAATTAGTGAAAACTCGGTTCATTTAATAACTACCTAAGTTTTCACTAATTTCTAATTTTTTTTATTCAACTTTAGAGAAAACGAAAGTACTGGTGATTCCGGGAATTGGTGGAAAAACAAAGGGGAAACTGATCGGGGACAGTCTATCTTCCCCAAACACATTAAAATATGTGATTGTCGAGCAAAATGAGGCGGTAACCGTTGTACCAGCTCTAGATAATTACAAATTGTAAGAAAATTTTAAGGATTAATTTTCAATTCGGTTTATTAAGTAATGGAGCTAATGGCCCAGCAGTGGGTTCATCAACGATCCTTCGCCCAATCAATGCCGCTGCTCGGTTCTGGCCGCATGACATCTGTTCAAAGTTTCCGGTAAAATGAAAAAAAAACGAAAATTAAAAGTAAAAAGCTATAGAGAAAATTCGATTGTCCAGATGAGACGATTTTCCAAAGTTATGCCGGAGGGGACCCTGGGTTAAATCAAAGTGCCAATCATTTACTCGTCAGGGGAAGGTAGGTCATTAAAATATAATAAAGATTATACCAAAGTTAATCTTTTAAATTTTGCAGATCCGACGAACTCCAAATCGAATCCACATCTACTGCCACTTCACTCTTCACCGATCAACAATGTGCTTTCTGTTTGGAATATGATATTGATATGAAAAGCAATATATTGGAATCTGGTATTGAGTTAACATGAGACAAAACCATTTTAATAAAGAACTTATTTTTGATTTTTTAGTCTATTCACTGAATCGAATGTCTTTGTTGTCTCCTTTATACTATCCATGGACTTTTGATTTCTATCGAATGAATGATTTGCTGAAAGATGGATGTCAATTCCGCCGAGCTTTTATTGCCACCTATGTTCGTCTTGTTTTCATAGAAATTTTTTAGTAAGTCTTTAGCCAGATATCGACAAAGATTTGCCTACATTCACTGCCGAGTTTACCCATTTGAACAGTGGAACAGCCGAGTGGAAGATTTGGACCAATGATGAGTGTTTTGATGGAGAGCCGACATTCACAAGAAAGTTTGCAATTACAAAGGCTTAAGATTCACAAAGAACTTTAGTTACACAACGTTGAGTGAAAGAAAAATTGAAGATTTTGAAGCTTCATGTGTTGAGGTAAATGAGTGAAGCGAAGTCCCACGACCCATAGTTTATAAGAATGCTAGAATATTTGCAAAACTAGAAAATAAGTTATAAAATTTTGTAACATTTTAGATCGGACCTTCATATCCTTTTAGGTCTCCTGGTGCCCTTCATCTCTCTATGATCGTCAATCCGGTTTTCTTTTGATTATCCGCGAGCTTCCCACTTGTGGTTTCACCCATCAATTAATTGATGGGAACTCTCCAACATTCGCTTTTGATGCTCAAGATCTCTTTTCATATTCAGGTTCTCAACGAACCATTCAAAATACATATCAAAAATACAGTCTCTTCCGACAGATCTCGTCCATCGATTTGTTTCAAGAGTTGCCTTGGGTGTAGCTTTTCGATAGATTATTTTTCTCTTTGTGAAAGTATTATGGTATAAACAATTTGCCAAATTATTGAAAAATCGCAATTTTTTTTTCTACTAACTATTTAGCCCAACAATTGTTCTATTAACAACGGGGTACCGATTTTGGTCAACCAGTTAAAATTTTCTACATGGAATCCAAAATGCCATACAAGGCAAGTGTTTGTTTGATTTTGAATATTAAATTTTTAGTTTAAATTCTTCACAATCAGTGGTTACCAGTTGCAAGATCACAGTGAAATCGCATGCTATCTCGATTCATTGGGATTTCGACTTTCCCTATGATCCAATTTTGATGAGTAACAGTGCTATTCTAGTGACCGTCAATGAATTAATCTGTAAATCATATAATTATTGATTATCTATCCAATATTCTTCAGCTAATTCCACCTATAAAATCCTTCCATCCACTCCCTCAGAATTCTTTCTCAATGCCTCCGAAAAGCCACTTTGGATTGCCTTGTCCTTCAAGATGGAAGACGAAGTGAACGTATTGAGAAAATTGGCATCGGTATGGGAATATCAACAAAAAATGCAAATATACAAATAAACAATTTAAACTTTAAAGAAAATAAAAACAACTTTTTGTAGTCACCACCAAATATCGGCTGTCAATATGATCTTTTTGTGCTTTCATCAAGAACAACAAATGATCAAAGCGATACGGGTTTTCTGATGACAATCGAGTTCGTTTTGTTTTTAAAATTGCACTGAAATACATCATAATTAATGTCTCAAATTTTGATGCCTTCAAAATAAGAAGAATTTCAGCGAGGGACAACCATCATTTATTGAGTCATATCTCGAGAGTCGTGTCTACAGTCTCTACATTCCGCTGGGTTGCTCTCCAACTTTATTCATTGAGCCATTAGAGTTAAAAATTAAGTCTAGTATGTCAAAATGCCCAATAAGTACTCATCCAGTATTCTTAGATCGAAATATCGAACAAAATCTTTGTTCTGGTACTTCGTTAATCACCACTCCTGGCTATCTCGATTCGGCCAATCCCTTTGATACAGCCGTCTCCATCACACACTCATTTATTTGCGGCAAGATTTCATCAATTTAAATTTTGAAAAACGTTCCTTTGGAATATATTAAAAGCTTTCAGGCCAATCTTCTTTAATGGACGCCAGTGTGACTATTTTCGAGCTTTACGATGGCTTTCTGGCTATCACATTCAAATTTCAGAACGCTTCCGAAGAAACTAACGAAGATACTATGTAAATGTATTTTGGATATTAATTTTATCACTCATTTTAGTCAAATGAGCCCTGGAGATAGCTCTTTACCAGCAAATATTACGAGAGAGAACGTAGCGAGTGTTACGGTAATGAGTGTAAGAATTGGACTATAAAAAAAGTTTAGATCATCTGGTTAGCAGACACAACTAATTCATCACACGATGGAGCTCGTGTATTAGTTGAAGTGAATGGATACGATGATAGAACTACAAAAGAATCTTTCCATCTCTCGAAATATGTTTGGATTTCAATTGGTGGTGGGATTTTGGTAACAACAATATTGATAGTGGCCGGATGCATTGCTGGAATCAGATCGGGGTGAGTTGTAATATAATAGTTGGAAAAAAATTGAAGATTATATGTGATATGATTCATGATTGCAGCTTTTTCATTCGAGTTCTTCTATCGAGAAGAAACCCATTGGCTGCTCAAATCCGAAACACTTTTTCAGCTGTGAGTTCCTTACAAAGAAAATGGATTTAATTGAGAAATCTAGCGACCAATTCTAAAGCGAATGATGGACAAAGCTGAGAGGAAAAACGAAGAGTGGAATCATTTTTCTTGAGAAACTTTAAATAACAATTTCAGATCTGATCCATGGGAAATCTCTTCCGAACGTCTTCAAATTTCGATTGAAATTCTCGGTCAAGGCGCTTTTGCTGTCGTTCATAAAGGATATCTGAAAGGAATTCCACCAGCAGCTAAAATACATCCATCTTTACAGGTTAGAGACATTAAAAGTAGAATAATATAATTTGAGACTTTCAGCTCTCATATTTTATTTCGAATGACGGGAATGATGTGGCTGTAAAAATCGTTCGGAAGGCAGCTACTGAAAACGAAAGGTCTATTTTCCCAAATAATTGACTAGTGGATATTTATTTATTTTTATCTTTGTTTAGACAAGAGTTTTTCGAAGAGATCGATCTAATGAAACAACTCGAATATCATCCCCATCTCCTCTCACTTCTCGCCTGTTCAACTGATCGAAACTTTCCACTAATTGTCACCGAAATTTGTGAATTGGGAGATTTGTTGACTCTTTTGAGGAAAATTGACAACAAAAAAGATGGTGAAGAAAAAATTGAGGTGAGTTTGCTTCACAACATTTTCTATAATTTAACTAAGCTTCCAGGGAACACGCTTAAAAGTCGACGATTTGGTTCCAATCGCTTGGCAGATCAGTGATGCCTTGGTTGGAGAAATTAATGACAATTTGATCAATTTAATTTTTTAATCCTTTAGACTTTCATCTCTGCAAAGTCAATAATCCATCGAGATATTGCAGCTAGAAATGTTTTGGTGACTGAAAGAAAAATGGCAAAGGTAAAGAGAAGGGGCGGGGGAATAGAGGCATCGCTATGTAATCTCTAGCAATATATCACTTACTGAATTTACAATCTACATTCAGCCATATCTATTTATTCATATTTCTTGTTTCAGTTATCCGATTTCGGTTTGTGTCGTTTCTGCAAAGAGGAATTTCTGCATTCACCCGGTGGAAAATTACCCATCAAATGGATGGCACCTGAATCGATTGAATTGTCGAGATTCTCCACCAAAAGTGATGTGTAAGTGAATGGGGAATAGTGAAATAAAATAAACAAATTTCAGATGGTCTTATGGAGTGCTGCTTTGGGAAATGTTTTTGCTTGGAAAAACTCCTTACGAATTCGTTGAACACAACCAACTTCTTTCCCATTTGAAGGATGGAAATCGATTGGAAGCAGATGAAGGAACACCAAAAATAATGTAAAGTTAATAATCATTTGAAAAAACATTTAATCAACAAATAAAAAAACAACAACTAATCATTTTAGAAAGGAATTGTTCGAGCTGTGTTGGCAAGAAAATCCCGAGGATCGTATCGAGTTCCACGAAATCCGAAAAAGATTGTATGCAGAAATGGAGGAAAACTCAGAACAATACGGATATTTGCATTTCAGGTTATAAAAACCAAAATCATATAAAAACTGAATTTAGCAAAAACTACTACAAAACTGATCATCCAACAACTCAAGTAGAGAAATTTCGAGAAAGTTTTGCTTGAACACAACTATGATTCCGTAAAGTCTTGTACACTCTTTGTTTAAAAGTGCTTTATTAAAAGTGATTTTGAAATCAAAATATTTTTTTATGGATAAAAGTAAAAGCTTTCCTATTTTATGGGAAAATATATAGTTTGACTACAAAGAGTCGTACTCTCATAGAAGACTCCACAGTCACCGCTTCTTGTTTTGCTGAGTTGGAAATCGTAATCAGTTGCCGGATATTCACAAAAGGAATCCTCTAAAATTCTTAGAAACATGACATATGACTCGCTTTAAAATTTATAAAAGACTATACGACTAAATTTTTTTAAGCAAAATAAATTAATTTTTCCCCCACCGATCGAGTAATTGAATCCCGGAGACGGAGGACTAAATGAGACAGATTCCCGAGCACACTGCTGAAGATCAACATCGGCGAGCGAGTATGTGATTGGTCGAGTGACTCCGAAGGAATAGAGTTTACTAATTGAGATGAATTTTTGAGAAAGAAAACAAAACCACAGCACCAGCACGAACATTTTTAGCGAATGGAAAAGAGGTGACCGCCGGACTCTCATTGAAACAAATGTTTCGTTTAAGAAGTGGTCTCTTATAGACGGGTCTTTGAAAGGCTTTTTAATGGTCCGTCTTATTCGATTTTTTTTGTTCTCTCAAATATTTGAACCCTCAAAGTTAAACTATTGAACATTGATGAGGTTTTAAAACTCATATACAGGGTGTCCAATAAAAAACGTTTTCAAACCGGGATTCCTCAGAATTTCTGGTGGCTGGAGGTGGTCGGTGTAGTGTCATAATGAATCATTTGTACTCTAAAATTTTTCATATTTTTTATAAAATTGCCATGTCTCGATAGGAGTATCATGATGGGGAGGACCATGGGTGCCACCATGATCACCACCATGATACCATCAACAGGGCAAAATTTTTACCATAGCGTGAAGACTTTCGACTTTCATATTCCTTGTAAGCGTTTCACAAGCACATGTCAGGTTTGTTTCGTAATATGTGTGCTTGTTTACTAATATGTGTGCTTGTTTAGATCTCATGCTTGGCCATCATCAATGGAAAAGCCTTACGGATGAAGGTCAGAACTTTTGGCTCATCAAGCCATAGACTCATCAGAAGCTTATGCTATTCGCTGAAACTGAAGATGCCAAAACGTGTCTTCAAGTAGGAAACAATTTTATAAAAAACTGCTATATATCGTCTTCAAAAGATTTATTGATTAGCTATGGTTGATTAGTTATAGTCAACGGATTCCCTGGACATGGATCCAATCGAAGAGTACACTCTATGACATGACGCTCCATGTAAATCGGGGTACACGAATCTGTAAAAAGGTTTTGGATGAAAATGCAATTTGCCCCTTTAATTGGTTCTTTTCAAAAAAAACTCAACACTTGTTACAAGGTTACTTTTATAAAATTTTAAAATAAAATAGACTTTCGCGTAGGTTTTCAATGGAATATCGTGGGTTGGGTTGACCTTTCAGGAAGCGGTTTTGTTGTGCAAAGAAGCCAATTCCCAAAGAATAAATTTTTAACTTTTCTTTTGGATCAAGAAGAAACATAAGAAGAATGAGCAGCCAAACAAGTTTTTTGGTAAGTATAAAAACGGTAAAATGAAGATTAAAAATATGAAAACAAATATATTTTTCATTGAATAAAATCAATATGAAGACATTTTTATCATAGGTCGCAATTTCCCTCATCTTATTTTTGGGTTTTTTGGCAGACTCTATGAACTTTGAAGAAAAGACAATTTTAGTGATAAACAAAGATTATCAAATGGTAAGTTCAATTCCGAAAAAATATGTGTATCAAGGACTGTCAAGGAAAACATACATATTGACCATCGAGTGTTATTTTAAAAGTTCACCTTTGTCTCATCCTTTCCTGGAATTCGACAAAGATCAACTTGATTCGTCTACCTCTGGATAAAGTTGAAAATTGTAGCTTACAATTAATACTTCTTCTACTACAAGCATAAAAAAGAAAGAATACAAAGTTTGCTTAACAAAGTGTTATTCATCGAAAGATAATGGGCCCTTAACATCACCTAAATTTTGAACAAAAGTCTGTAAGCCAAAGTAAATAAAGCAAATAAACTCGGAAAACTGGTTTCTACCTAACGATACGTTATGTAATCCATGTCAATTCAAATTCAAAGCTTTTGTCGAGTTGCTCTTGTGAATGCTTGCATTATCTTGTAGAAATGCGTATCCTGGGTTCAGAGTCGATGCAAAAAAGGCGTGAGGTCTTTGTTCAAAAGGTTCTGGTAGTCCTGGCTGTTCATTTTACTGGTTGGAAACTTAATTGGAAATGTGCCCCTGCATGAAAAGCTTACCTGGCTAAGCAGAATATTCCAGAAATTGATCGGCATGCTCGCCTGATCTCAATCCCATCGAAAACTTGTGCGAAGTCTTAGCAAGGCCGGTTTATGGTGATGGAAAGCAGTATGATAAGGTTTTTGATCTCAAAAAGTCGATTGAGGTTGAATGAAACCAATTGCCACTCAAACTCCTCAAAAATCTCGTGTCATCGATGAATTAACGAATTGACGACTTGATTCAAAGAAAAGGACAACAAGTTGATTTTTAGATGAATTTAAAACGCTGACTCATGTTTTTGATATTGGTTTTGCGATGTTAATGATCATTTATTGTTAAGGTGTCTCGAAATTTTGGACACCTAAATTTCTTAATTCATTACTTTACACAGCTATTTCGGTTATTTTTTGAAATAAACAATTTCAATTTAGATTTTTGAATAAGCTGATCTCGAAAAACAGCTTTTTGCTTGCCAACAAACTGTGAAAACGCTTCAAACAGAGAAAATTTGGGGGTGTCTCGAAATATGAGACGCACTCTATTACAGTTTTACGGTATTGAAAAATCAGTCTTTTTATCATCAAAACCCAAAACACGATCTCTTTCGTTTCAAAAAGGTTCGTTCGTTTCGTCAAAAAGGTTCGTTTCAAAAAGGAAAGTGATGAACTAAAAAGATCACAAAAATAGTTTTCTTTTTCTTTTAAACATCCTATTTTGATCTTGATTTTCGCCAGACTCTTGTCTTTCTTAGGTAATCAAAAAAAAGTACGATTTCGATCAAAACATCATAATTTTCAAAAACAAAACAACAATGAACGGATATAAAGATTGAAAAAGGGAATCGAAAACTCAAATCAGTTAAATTTTTCAACTTCAATTAATTATTCCTATCAACTATGAGACTCTTCATGATCACTTTTGTGCTCGTTCTTTTGGTCGCCTCGAGCAGGTAGTTTATTCATTTTATAGCATTTTAGAAACAGAATACAGTATAGAATTTTTATGTGTTTCAAGAATTTTATTTTATCATCATGTATTTATATAATTTTAGTGCATTTGTTCGGTCATTCACTAGAACACGAATCGGACCAGCGGGAGGGTTGGTTTTTTGTTTTGTTGTCAAAAGGGCTTAATTTAATGATAGCTATAACTATTTTTAAGCAATAAAACTCTAAAACTATAGCTGTTATACACATTTTTATTAATTTTTTAAAAATTTAGCATCCGCCAATTCACAACAACCGTCCGCCGACCGGGCTTTGGCGGTGGTGGCTTCGGGGGTGGCTTTGGGCCAAGGGCAGTCGGACGAATGCTCGGAGGACTGATCACCGGTGAGTGAATCGAGTTTTTTGCAAATACCGTAAACATCCTAATGGACAAATTTTCCCCAGCAGACGGTCAACCCATCTGTGAGAATTGCACCTCAACGGTGCCCCCTCAAAACTCGGCTTTTGGGGATCCCCGGTTTTTTGGCGCTAATGTGTGTATTTGGGGCGTATAGCTCAATTATTATATTCTAGCTTGTCCACAAAATATATTTATCATTTAAGAAAAGTGAAAATTTTTTTTGAATTGCTCCTTTTTTGAGCATTATCGATTTGTTTGAGCGGCCAAATTTTGAGATCGAAAAAGATGGGTCATGGCCGTCAATTAGGATAGTTAGATGTTATGATATTTGGCTTTTCAACTAAATTTAATATAAAAAGATTATATGTATATTATAAAAAATTATTTTTTTTTTGCAAGTACAATTTCAGGTGTTGGTAAACGTTAAAGCTTTCATGTGGAAGCCCCGCCGACAATGCACATCCTGTACAAACTACTTTATTGCATTAAATATTTTGAATAAACAATTTTCTATATTTATTAGGTTGTCCGGAGTGAAAATACCCTTTTAATGAAAAACAAATTTATCTCCACAAAAAGAAAACAATGCTCTTTAATCCAAAAGATATTCTCCGTTATTGGCAATAGTCTTTCTCCATTTTTCTTTCAAATCACGGATCCCTTTGCTGCAGAAATCCTGATGCTGCGAGTCGAAGTATTGGCCTACTCAAATTCGGACTTCGTCGTGGTCCTTGAAGTGTTTATCGGCCAGGAAGTGCTGCATAGATCGAAATAAGTGGCAGTCTGAAAGTGCCAGATCTGGACTATGCGGCTGGATGCGGGAGACATTCCCAACCCAATTCCTCGAGTTTTTCCTGCGTCTTCTTTGCTGTGTGTGGGCGCGCGTTATCTTGCAGATATCTCACAGTTGATGTGTTGACACCTTGATTCTTGAGAGCTTGGTTTACTCGTTCCAGATGTTGCACATATAGATGTGAGGTGACTGTTGGACCAGAAGGTAGAACCTCAAAGTGTATAAGAATTCCACCAATTCCACCAAAGCGTTCCACGGGAATTCCACCAAACAAATAACATAGCCTTTCTTCCATGCGTATCACGTTGTGGCGTCGTTTTTTGGCTGTTCTCCTGGACTTGGCCACTGTTGTTTTCGCGATGGGTTATCGTAGTAAATCCATTTTTCATTGGCCGTCTAAAATGAACAGTGTTTCATTCCACAGATATTTTTTTGATATTTCTCGATTTGAATATGATATTCGATAGCTTTTATGCAGTTTAAAATTCAATTTTAGATGTTGTTATGTTGACTTTGAGCTTACTGATTTGAACCTTTTCATTTACCCACTCAACTTTTCATCACATTCATCAATTCGTCATTGCATCCATCAACCACACCGGTTGATGGATACCTTACACTAATTTTCTAAATTTACACCAAAACAATTTTTATTCGAAATTTCAACTTATTAAACAAATATGATTCTAGTTTCTTTTAGCGTCATTTCTCGAGTTCCTGTTTCGTTTTCTAGTTGAATAATCTCCTTTGCTAAAAACGCCCAAATTCTTTTGATAAGAGAGGTTTTGATTTCTGAAAGTCATTTTGTTTTCAAATGGGTATCTTATTTCAATTTTTATTCATCACATTTTTATTGCTGAAAGTCGATTCTTTTAATTGTCCAAGAGGAAGTGATGAAGTGCCGAGAGAGGATGTTTGTGTTATCGGGATCAATGAACGTAAATCTTTCAACTTTAATTTTTACATAAATGTAACTTAAGATGTGTCTATGAGTTTAGCTAAAATTTTTAGCCAAATTCTATTTTGATGCATCGCGTGATTGTGTTTCTCGTGGGGGAGTGACTGCCAAAATACAAAACCTTTACGAGAACAGTTTCATCTTTACTCTCATAGATCAAGGTTAGTGAACAAATTTTTGAAACAACAGTTGGTTAAAGTATGAGTTTTTTGTCTTTCAGACGTCAATGGAGCCGCTCCATACATCGGAATTGAACGCAAGCCCAACAACACCTGGGTCTACGGTGATGGGTCACCGCTGGTTTATCTGAATTGGGCTTTAGGTAAAAACAAGACAAAAGAAGATGGGCTTTAAATTTTAAATTATTATATATCTTTACATTAAATAAAAGTATTCAATATATCTAGAGGACCTTGCCTTATGGTCATAAGCTATGAGCAAGAAAGTCAGAAAGCAAAAAAACATTCAATAAAATATTTTGAACTACACCAAAGTTTCAGGTGAACCAAATCTTTCGAGTAACACAAGTGTTTGTGCTATCATGGACCCACAAAATGGGAAATGGCATGCAGCTGAGTGCTTTCTTGTGAGACCATACTTTTGCTCGTTTAATGGAGATGGTTCGTTTGAGATAAACAATGCCAAAAATCCGTTTTTTTAGATTTCCAATGCCCAAATGGATGGATCTATTCAAATATCACGGATCATTGCTACTATTTGCAAGTAAATAACATTTGTATAAGCAACAAATGATCAGAACTTCACTTACACGGACGCCGTTCACTGGCAACTCTACAGCAAAAGCACAGCTGAAGCAATCTGTCAACGAATGGGAAGGGACTCTCATTTAGTCTCGATTCATTCCTTTGAAGAGAATGAGCTTATATGGGGTTAGTTTAAAGAACATGTCATATAATCTTAAGAAATAGCCGTTTATAAATAGATTAGAAAAAAAACATTTCCGAATTATCAATGAATGCTCTCAAGAAATACAGTTTTCGTTGAGTTTTTTCCTTTCGTTGACTTTACTTTATAGTTACTATGAGCCATGTTATCGCTATCGCTTAACCACTCCATAAGTTAGCTGAAGAACCGATCCAACGCCCTAAAAGGTGCTCGAATGGGGGATAGGTATTGAGGGAAAAAATTATTTCTTCTGATGCGATATCTCATCATCTAGCCATCTTATCACTTAAGCAATCCATAAGTTTGCTGAGGAATCCAACAAAAGCCCTAGGGAAGGGATTGAATTGGGGAAAGGTGTTGAGGAAAAAAGGTTTTCCTTAAAACATGTAATAAAACCCGCCACTGCAATAGAAACCGGGTCTAGAAGGGCTACGAAAAAATAAATGGTGCTATTACAAGTTTTACGGTACTTCTTAATCTATCCAATATTAAAACTCTTTCAGATCTCGTTTATTCAAATGTGGCCAACATGTCCAATGTTGCCCCAGAGAATAAGTCTTGTGCTTATCAAGGGACATGGATTGGTTATTACGGGAATTGCACCCTCGGAGCCGGAAAGTGGACCGATGGATCGCTGGATGATTTCGTTTATTATGGACCCATATCGTCAGCTTGCGATTTTGTGGTATTAAAAATTATTGACTTCCTTTATTGCACATAACTTTCAATAGATTTCCTATGATCCGTCATGTCATCTACATCAATGGAACCCAACAACATCCACCGGATATCCACGCTTCGTCTGCAAAATGCCATCGAGGGGACGTATAGCAAAAGGGAACAACAAAAAACTCTTTTAGAATGTAAATGAATCGTGATTTCTCTTGTACCTTCTTTTTATATCGAGGAAAATTTATTCAAAAATTCATTTGAGCAAAATATTATAATTTGATAAACAAAGTATAATGGATAAATGAAGATTGAATTCATGTGAGAGATTGAATTTAAGAGAACTAAAAAATGCTCAAGAAAATTGCTAAAGAAAAAGAAGTTTGAAGAGAAGAGAAGAGAACTCGGTATCGAGGGTATTATCCCGTTTGTAGAATTTCTCGATTTAGTGTTGCTTTCTTGAGAAACTCCCTAAAATTATGACCAAATACGTAAACAGAGGGATAAGCGTTCAAGTGTTGACACTTTTTAAAACCATTTAATCGAGAAATGATTTGATTCGCGCTTTGAAAAGCAACTCTTGTCTTCGTGCGACTGTAATTTGCAAGAGTGGGATGAAAACAAAAAAACTTTAAAACTTCTGTCGGATGAATTAATCCTTTGAGAGTCATCACCATCAGAACCAATCGAAACGGCTTGCTTTTTCACTCTTGAAAGATCTTCTACTAAAGGTTTTTTTAAGAAAAATTGCATCTTTTAACACATTGACGACGATCTTTTGCGAAACGGCCGATTTGGGTCAGGGATCAAAATAAATAACCAAATCCGAAAAATTTGCACATGAGGGCTTGAAAGACTCTAGAATTCGAATCCGTCCTTAAATTTAGGCCAACAAACCCCAGATAGTTTATTTTTGCAGTGTTAATTATTTTATCTTATACGCTAATTTCTAGAAGTTAACTTCCCGATAATGCTTTATATGTGTGCTTTATATTCACGAGTCAGAATTTTCTTTAGAATTGTTTTGAGCCTTCAAAAATTATTGGTTACCCAAGAAAATGTTGTTTTGAAGACCGTTTAATTACCCAAATTCCGACCCCATATCAGGCGCAGTGTGCCAGACGCTGTTTTTTTCTTATGAGCGACACGACAAGAACGCACAAAATTTTTTTGTGCTTTTTACGGAAAATCACACAACTTTCTAATAAAACTAACGTCGGATTCGGAAAGAGAACCCAAAATTGCATGCGCTTTTTTTGAGATAATTTTGAGCTCATTTGAACCAGCCATTCACTAGAAACAGCCGTGAATCAGCATTAAGTCACGCGGTCGTCTATGTGTTAATATACGATATCAATTGAAAGAAATGAGGTTTATGTTCCCATTAGCCATTCCATTGTACTTTAATTGCACTAAACTTGCCAAAACTTGATTGATTATCATTTTTTGGGGAATATTGAACACCTGTATTAGCTGTAATTGGCTGCGAAATTTTCAAATGTGACGGGTTGGAATTTTCTAAAAACTGCTATCAATATATGTATCATTCGTTTGCTGAATAAAAGAAACACATGTTTATCAAAGTATCAATTCTAAATAAGTACCCTAAAATTCCATAGATAAGAGCGGCTTAATTTTTGACAAATTTTTTAAAATATTTTAATTTATTATAAAAGCAAACAACAACAACAAAAGTAACAATAATTTAACTAATATTTTCAATTTCTACATCGTCATCATCGTTTATATCCATACAGGAAAAATAGTTTTTGAGATTTTCAACATCACATAGTGCTTTTTCAAAGCTATGTATGATAGTGTCAGAAGAGATGGAAAAAAACTTTCGCTGAACAAAAATGCTGCTTCTTGGTAGCTCATTCTTTTTCTGATTCCGCTTTTTGTATAATTTGCATTGGCTTCGTTTGCTATCCATTTTTCCCAGCCATCCTTCAATTTGTCCTTAAATGGTTTGTTGATACCTACGTCTAACGGCTCCAGAATTTTGGTCATACCACCTGGTATTACAGCGATTTTACTGTGTTGTTGGCAGAATTGCTTTACTTCGTCAGTTATATGACAACGAGCAGAATCGAAAATGAGTAAGGACCGATCAGGGTCTGAATTGTAATGTTGCCTCTGATTCCATACTTCAGTGATCCATTCTTTCATCAGCTCTTGATTCATCCAACCTTTTTCATTCGTTTTGATGATGACATTTGCCGGGAATTTTCCCTTTGGCATCAACTTCTTCTTAAAAATGAGCATCGGCTTGAGTTTTTCACCAGCAGCAGTCACGCCAAGTACACTGTAAAATTTTATTTCTCATGACCAGTGGAATCAATTTTTATGTTGTCTCGCCCCTTGACATCCACAGTCCGTTCATACACGACATCAAAGGGAACCGGAACTTCATCGACATTTCCTAAGTTGTGCGAGAAATGTTTAAGCCTTCAGCTGCGACAAACTTCTGGAAAGAAGAACATTTTTGCTGATGATCACATGGCAGTGGTTGTCCTACACTTGTTCTTCTTCGTATCGACAATTTTTTCGCGCCATGAATAAGCTGCACCAACGCGTGGATGCCTTGAACTCGTGGTAACCGTGCTCTTCTGCCAACTTCTTTGCTCTGGCTCTTATCTCATTTATTTTGACTGCTCTATTAAGGTCTCTCTTTTGAACAATCCAATTGTAAATTTCCTCCTCAATTTCTTCCACGCTTGGCCTTTTGTAACGCCGGGCTCTTTTCGTTGCTGGCATCTCCTCGAGGATATCCCTATCCGCAACCCATTTTCTGATCATTCCTTCAGTCACATTAAAATGAATAGCTGCCGCTAATGTTCCATGCGCATCCCGGTGCTTCACCGCATCAAGCTTCAAAGCCGCCGTATAAGACTTTGCAACGTCGCATGATTTCTAAAATAAAAAATATAAGACGTATGGTTAAAAAACAAAAAAAATAGAAATAAGGAAAAGAAATTAATATCCATAACAAAATTTCAGGAAAAAGTATTTTTTAGCGAAAACCGCTCTTATCTATGGAATTTTAGGGTACAAATAAATATATTAGGTTGTCGGATTATGAATTGCCGTTTTTATCAAAAAGTAATTTTATTATAAAATCAATACAAAAATATTTTAATCTAAAAGGTATTCTCCATCGGTATCTATGACATCTCGCCAACGTCCACGCAAAGAATGAATGCCCTTGTTGAAGAACTCGACCGGCTGTGACTCAAAGAAATTGGCCACCCAAATTTGGACTTCATCGCGGTTTTTGAATTTTTTCCGGCCAAGGAATGCTGCATCGACCGGAACAAATGGTAATCAGATGGCGCAAGGTCTGGGCTATATTGCGGGTGAGGCAGAAGTTCCCAGCCCAATTCTTCAATTTTTTTCAGAGTTACTTTTGCGGTGTGTGGACGCGCGTTGTCATGGAGCAATTTTGTTGACGCTGTTTCCACTCCCTGTCGACGAAGCGATTGATCGACGCGGCTTAATTGTTCTTTGTAGGGGTCCGCATTAACCGTTTGACCAGAATTTAGCACTTCAAAATGCACCAATCCTTTGCTATTCCACCAAACACATAGCATCACCTTTTTGCCATGGATGTCTGGTTTTGGAGTCGGTTTTGGGGTTTGTCCAGGGTCCAACCATTGTCGTTTTCTAGTGGTATTATCAAAGGATAACCACTTTTCATCAGACGTGACAATCGACTCAAAAAAACCACTGTTCTTGGCTTGACGCAAAAGAATTCCGGCCATATTGATTCGCGTTGTTTTGTTCAAATCGCTTAGTTCATGAGGCACCCATTTACCGCATTTATTCACCTTACCAATGGCATGCAAGTGGTCAGCAATGGTGGAATGATGACAACCGAACCTCTCAGCAAGTTCTCGTGTCGTTTGGGCAGGATCAGAATCGATGGCTGCTTTAAGTTCCTCATCGTCCACAGTTTTTGGTCGCCTCTCATGTTCTTTGTCTTCAATGCTCTCGTCGCCGTCCCGAAAGCGCTGAAACCAATTGCGACATTGACGTTCGTTGATAACATCTTCTCCGAATGCATTGCTTATAGAGCGATGGGATTCTGCCGCTGTTTTTCTTTGTTTGAAGTCGTACAACAAACAAATCCGCATTTTATTTTTGATGTCGTTCATTTCCTAAGACAAATTTATATTAAAAATCTAAGCAAATATAGACGAATAATATATCAATCGACGCGGCATAAAACGCTCTTTAACATAGTTTAAAAAGTGCCACAAAAATTTATTTGAAAAAAAATACACAGCAAAAAAGACAACGGCAATTCATAATCCGACAACCTAATACATAGCTTAACAAAAATATCTAGATTTGATTCGACAATGGAGCTTTTAAATTAACAACTTTCTAAGTAAAATGATGATGAAAAAAGTGGAAAGGAAATGTTTAAGGAAATGAAAGAAATGTTTAAGAAGAAAGAAATGCTTAAGAAAATGAAATGCACACTTAAAAACTAAATGTTTTCATCGCGACAAACACTCCCATCGAATCACCATCATAAAAAAGAAACAGTCCAATAACACGATATCTATCCGGGGAAATTTGGCGAACATAGTATTCGCTATCATGAGTAGAATCACAGGATTGAACGATTTCAGACTAAAGAATGGGAGCGAGATTGTTGAGAAACCATTCAAACTGATCTCCGAATTGATTTGGACAGGGATCGAATCGATCGATGACATTTTGTCGAAGCTCTCGGGGATGAGATTCGAAATCGAATCGAAGCAGTCATTTATAGCGAACCATTCAAAAACAAATCAATCACTTGAATATTCAAGAAAATAAGAGTTAAATAATAGAAAAAATAGTTGAATATCTGGATATTTGTTTGAATCATTTAATTGCACGAAAAACTTGCCAAAAAGAGGGAATTTGTTTATTATCTAAAAATACAGAAACTATTAGAATTGGTAGATAAATATTAATTACTATCATAAATTTTGGTCAAATCTAAGAGATATATTTATGCTTTTTATGAACTTACTAAATCTAGATTATCTGACAAGAAATTGTAAGAAAATTGACATACAGCACCTTTTTCTTGCTTACTGTACGACTAAGGAAATGTTTTGCCTGCATGAATTATTTTACTCATCATCTGTTTATTTTGAATCATAGACAGATTTTTTTTGAAAAAAGGTTAACATAAAGCTTTTTCAAAACAACTGTCTAGTCTAAACAACTGTCTTCACGTGGACTGACTGTGATCTCTGATTGTGAAATGGGAATAGTAAGTGGATGGAACGCTTTGAATGTGCTTGTTTTGGATAAAAAATCATTGAAAAGGGGGAAATCTATTGAAATCATTGAAATCAAAATCATAACATGGCTCAAAAAGGTCATTCCTATGCGTAATACACACCCAACAGCAACAACAAACAGATGAGATTTTGGGTAACATATAGGGGCGATTTTTTTGGCCATCAACCCAGACTTTGTGTTAGATGAGATTTTTATGAAAAATGAAGTTGCTTTATATTGTATTCTTTACTTTTATTTCCTATTCGAACTGTGTTGAAAGATTTCAAGTAAGCTTTTAAAAGGGAAAAGGTGTTAATCGTTTATGATTTCCGGATGTTGTTATATATCTAAATCTTTTAGTGTCTATTAAAAGTTCATTGCTTATTAAAAGTTATTCAGCTTATTAAAAGTTATTTTTTTGAGTAATATTAAGCATGAACTTTGAAAAATCATTTAAGGCTTCAATTAAAGAAGCGTTTAAGAAACTGGTAGAGTTGAGTTTAATCGCGGACTTTCTAGTGCATTCAATTTTTATGCAGCTTCAATAAAAAAAAGGAATATTCAGAAAACGAGACTAAAGATCTTTTATTAAGCGATTTGATCTTAAAATAATGTTAATTCCTTAATCATAGATTAGTTGTAGTTTATTTATCAGCCATTTTCTTTTCAGATATACTGGAATGTGCCGGCAAAGAAATGCACAAATCTATCCCTCGACGACCCGGAAGCATCGATAATCCACAATGAAAAACTCGTTTTCCATGGCCCTGGGGCTGATAAGTAAATCGAAATTTTGACCAAAAACTTTAGACCCTCTTAATCTACTCAAAACATTTTTTAGAGTAGCCATTGTTTACGGAGCACGTTTCGGACAATGGCCCCACATAAACAGGGAGTCACATGAGCAATTTTATGGCGGTATTCCACAGGTAAACGGAAATCGTATATCTTAAAATTATAAGTTTTAGAAGTTATATTTTTTCATTATTTTGTTATCTTATTTTTGTTTTATAGAAAGGCAATCTCACCGCTCATTTCGAGAAACTTCAAACCGATCTCGACATGCTTGTTCCTAATCCGAATTTTAATGGGCTTTTTGTGATTGGTAAGCAATAATATTTCCGTTTATTTTTCAACTTTAGCCTTTACTAGTACTAGTTTACCTAATTTACTAGAATTTTTAATGAACAACTTCAGCTTTTACTATTTGTGCTACTCAAATCATTTTCAGATATGGAGCGATGGATTCCCTATTACGATCTGAATAGCTTGAACTTGAAAATCTACAAAAATGCTTCCCTTGAGTACGCAAAACAACAAAGTCCTTCGCTAAATGAAACGGCGCTGGAAGAAAAAGCGAGAAATGATTGGAATAAAGCAGCCAAGTTTAAATCAAATGAGTTCTTTATTTATGAATTTTACAGGCAATGGTTCACTGGCACGATCAATTTTGTGAAGAAGAAACGTCCGGGAGCGAAAATCGGATTTTATGCATATCCGATCACCGATCATCACGTTGGACAGCACAATCGAACAGAGATCATCGAGTCGGTTCAGGAGGGAAATGATGAGTGAGTAGCTTTGAACTTTGAAAAACTTTTAAAATCTGTAACTACTCAAAGATTTAATCAAAGTTAACAAAATAAATTTTTCACTTATTATTCGAAGATAAATAGAAAGGCTTTCGAATTCGTTATTGATTATGTATATTTTTCAATAGACACCTTCAAATATTCATTTAAGACAAATTCTATGGTACATTTTAAAATATTTTAAAGAAATTTTCATTTTCAGAATGGCAACATGGTTCTACTCGAACCTCGATTTTCTGATGCCCGAGATCTATTTGAGGAAAAGAGTTCATGGAAATAATGTAAGCTTTTGCGCCGTTAACAATTCATTGATGGATTTCCAGTTGCTGGATTAACCAACAACTTTTTTATTATTCATAATTAAAATTCAGAGAATGAACGAGTGGATTCATATCCAAGCGAATCTCGGAGAAGCACGTCGCATTCAAGATCGACTCCAGGGAAAGCATCAACTTGTGCCCTATACGAAATTCGAAAGAGATCCCAAAAAGGGAGACGCTCCACATTTCTATAGCGATGTATAAAAATTCAATGTTTTATTTAGTGAATTTGAAAAATTTAGGTGGATCTATGCAAGACGGTGACCCTCGCGAGGCAGATGGGTGCAAATGGTTGGTTTTAAAGTGTAAGAAGTGTAAGAAGCAAAAACATATTACTAAAAAAATCGAAATTTTGTCTTTAAAACTTAATAAACCATTTTTAGGTGCCATCTTTTGGAGCGTTCACCACACCACGAGGGAAATAAAATCCAATGAGAACGGCGGGGCGACCTGTGATGCGTTGACCCCTTATGTGAACGATCGACTTGTGCCGTGGGTTTATAAAGATATAAAAACATTATAAAAATTTTAAATTTTATTTAAAGTTTAATGTAAATTTCAAAAACTATTGTTTAGTTACCTGGCAAAAGACGTTCAAGCAGCGGATACGTGCTCGAAAAAACAGTGCAGTGGTCATGGGACATGCTATACGAAAAAAGTAATTAAAAGTTTGCTTTTTTGAATAGTGGTTCTGATACTATAGAATTTTGAAAATGTAATTTTAATTAACTTTTTAAAAAATAAAACTTTGGGGAGAAAACTTTATCTGGCCCACCTTAATCGATTGTTCAGATGATGACGCATTGCGAAGAGCTGCCCTTCGATGAGATGAACTGTGTTTGTGATCAAGGTTTGAGAATATAATTCTAGATTATTATATTAAAAAATCTAATTCAGGATGGATGGGTGATAGGTGTGAAAGTGAGCTGACAAATAAGGCGACACTCGATGACACAACTACCGTACAACCCAATTAAGAAGTGATCGATCAAGGCAAAAAACTGATGTAGAAATAATTTATGTTTCTAACGAAGTTTTAACCCTGCAAATAAATCAATAAAACAAAAAATAAAATAAAACTACAGGATGAACCAAAAAAAACAACAAAAAAAGCAGCAAAAAGTTCCGTGAATATAAAGCCTCAGACAACCAAAAAATGTGAACATTAAAACTTTTGATTCAAAAATAAAAAAGCAAAAAATGTTTTAAGGGAGCATATAAAAACACCCAGTTACACAAACACCAAATTGTTAGGGGTCTTTATGCGCATCTTTACTAGTCAAATGATTTGTCATTAAACCAAATGAAAAAACAAAACAAATGATTTTCGTACATTCTCAAAATTTATGAATCGACGAATTCGGTGAGTGGATTTGCGAATCAAGATTATGCTAATGGAGAGCTTGCGCATGAGAAGTGATCCAAATAAATGTTTCCTAAAGCTTCAAAAGCACCAAAAACAAAAGAAAAAAATCGTGTACACTTGATTAGCTAATTTTTTAATAAAAGCTTTAAAAAAAGATAAAGAAAAGATTTCCCATCCCACCAAAAAATTTGAGAAATATCGAGTTGCGCTTGTTTTTTTTATTAAACACCCTGTACAATAGTTAAATTATTCAGCTATCCGGAGTGGGTGGGAAATGGTTTTTGCACGAATCCCAACTACTCGGATGACCAGAAGAAACAGTACTGCGCCCTTAGGTGTTTGTGTCTGAAAAGTCCACATTTTAATAATTGAAAAATTTTATAGGTACTTTTGAATAAATAATAACACCCTATTTTTCCTTTATAAAAGCACCAACAATTTGTTTTATGTGTTAATATACAAGTTTTACTTCTACTTTATCAAAGATTACGCATCAATTTTCTAACTTCCTATATTGTAGACAATTTATTGTAATCGAAATAGGGTAAAAGGTGACCAGATATTGCGGTAGATTGCTCATGTTTCCGAAAAATACCTTTCTCTACCTTCACTAGCTGTCTCGCATCTTTTTCCCTTTTCACCCATTCCCGTTCCCCTTTCTCTGTCTCTTTTAGAATAATAAAATAAAAAAATACTTCGTAATTAGCATCTAAACTTGTCGAAATTTGCATTTAATAGCGTTCAAAATTGCGTTGGGTAACGATCAGGCGTCCGATCTTGACCGCAGATCGCTTTCGGACGTTCGGGTCTTACTCGGACGCCGGGTCAAGATCGGACACGACATTTAAACAAAAACCCATGGCTTATTGGCTTTTACCATACTTTTGGTTCTACTTATAATAAATCAGTAAGGAGCTTCTTGAGAAAATTAGATTATTAGAAAAATGTAGTATTTTTTAAATCAAAAAATAACAAGAAAGGATAAATCGTCCAATTCATAAGTGAACATCTATTTTTAAAGAAGCCTTATGCTTTCCATTTCAAAGTTTCTGTGTTTCAAAGAGGTATGTTTAATTATTTTTATTTATTTTATTATTTATTATGTATTTCATTTTTGTTAAAACTCGGAGGCCTCTGAAAAACGCTGAAAAGATAGCCATAAAAACTGAAAGAAGTTCAAGCCCAAATTGTGACTACTCCTTACAGGTCAGTTTTTTATTAACACGTTTCTATTTGAAAAAAAAATCATTTTTCTTTTGAAAAACGGTTTTTATGAATCTAAAAAGGGACCTTCCAACTTAATTTGACCTTTCGATATGAGACTTTGATTGTCTTGTCCAACTTACTGGATTTTTTCGCTGACCTCTTTAACACGAAGAAGCCTTTTGGCGTAAAACCAAAACCATCTTATAGCTTTGTACGTCCCGATTCCGAGTTTGCTTCAGTTCAGAAAACGCCATGAAACTCGTGTTTCTCACCTTTTTTTGATGTTTATCATGAGCGCGTCCGGGAATTGCTTCCACCACCTTCAAGAGATCAAAACGTGTAAAATTGATGGGTTCACTTTGCTTGAGATGAAAGACTGTGTGAGTTGTCTTGTTTTCAAGTTTTAAGCGCCTACCGTAATTAATTCCAAATTAAAAAATATGATGCCAAAATTTGATAAAGCATCCATAGAATTGCTTTTTTTTGGCAGAAAAGATAAACAAAAAGGTGAAAATTTTAAAGTTTGAAATGTGATTAGAAAGACTAAACATAATCTTTCATACTATTCGTTTTTCATCATAATACCCAGTTAACCGGATTTGCTTTCAGGTTTGCGCAAACCCGATGGGCCGCTTTTCATTCTCCAGAGCTCCGGGCTCGTCGACGCGTGTTGTGCCAAAGCGTGCATGTTTAACACAAACAAATCTTTTTGTTGATCATCGTTGACAACAAAGACAATTAATTTTTTTCATTTTTCACTTTCATTGTTGACAACTATTTTTTTTTTTTTTTCCTCCTTTTTTTTAAAATTTACCAAATCTTAATTTAACTTATAATTTACTTTTAATAATTAATTTTTTTTTTTCCCCTCTCTTTTTTTTTTATTTCCTTTTTTTTTTCAAAAATTTTAAAAAAAAAAAAAAAAATTTTAAAAAAAAATTAAAAAAAAAAATAAAAAAAAATTAATTAAATAATTTTTTATTAAATTAAAAAAAATATATATTTTTTTTTTTTTTTTTTTTTTTTTTTTTTTTTTTTTTTTTTTTTTTTTTTTTAATAAATTAAATAAAAATTCCTAACCCCCCCTTTCCCCTTTCCCCCTTTTCAAAAAAAAAAAAAAAAAAAAAAAAAAAAAAATTTTTTTTTTTTTTTTTTTTTTTTTTTATTATAAAAAATTTTTTTTTTTTAAAAAAAAAAATTTTTTTTTTTTTTTTTTTTTTTTTTTTTTTTTAAAAAAAAAAAAAAAAAAAAAAAAATTTTAAATAATATGTACAAATAATGCGAAAGTTTTACAAACATTTTTAAAAACTAATAAAAACAACTAAAAAGGAGAAAAACTAAACGATTAACGGAGAATCATCCAAATTGTGAATGGAAAACAACCTAAATTTTAAAAGTTGTGGTTTTTAACTCTTGGATCAATTAATTAAAGAATCCAAAGAATTTTTGCTATTGAAAAGATTTTCTTTTTCGAGAAATGAGAGTAAAGAGGAAGGGTCGGGCACTCAAGTGGTCGGGCACTCAAGCACTCAAGTGGCTTTTCCATTGAATTCTAACAATTTGCTCTCAAAAAAGAGCAACACTCTTCAATTTCAACTTTAGCATCGGTATCTTTATGCTATTAGATATCTGCTTTTCTTTTGCTTCTTGTTTAATGAGTTAAATTTATTAACATGTCTATTTCTTTGGGGATCGCAGCTTTTTAAAGTCTTTAGATCTGGTTCACAAATTATTGACTTAGGTCGTTTTAAGCAATTCTCGTGATGTCTTCGGATCAAATTCGGGGAGTTTTGATGGGTCAATTGGTGGGCGATGCTCTGGGCGCTCGCTATGAGTTTGAGAAGGCCGCCGAAGTGGAAAAAGTGGGATAACGGGAAAATTATCGTTTTAAAGAATAGAATAGAGTATATAGTATAGAATAGCAATAAAATTTAAATTTTAGTAAGAAAAGGTTTAATTCAAACCCTATGAATTCAGAAACTTGTAATTCCCAGTCATAGAAAGTTTAGTTCAAGCTTCAACTTTTCTTCATAAAACCTCCAATTAACAATTTCAGATGATAAAAAACGACATGAAACACGCGAACGGAGACATTCTACCGATGCTCGGCATTGCGCGTTGCTGTTTAAAAGAGGGAGAGGTACAGTTGGGGGTAGAGTGCGTGCCTCTCGACTATGCATTCTCTAAAGCAAGTGTATTTTTGAAAGTACTGTAATCAGACCTTTCAAACTTATCCAAACTTCACAATTCTAATGTCATTGGGCTAGGTTAGGAATTATAACTAAATCAATGACCTCAAATTTGAGAGGGTTGAATAATTTTGAGGTGTTTGATTGCGATCGTTTTCAAAAATACCTGCGCTTTAGAACACGCATTACCCGAAAGGAAAACTCTCTAGTTGGGAATATTTCCCTTCCAAATTGAAAAAAGATAATAAACATATGGAAAAGATAGATCAGTTTTTTTTTGGATCACAGATGATGGGGAGATGACGTTGTGCTTGGCGAGTGGTCTACTCAAATACTCGGGATACAACCGGGGCCACATGGCAAGCGCGTATGTGAGGTTAATTTATTGCAATTAAAGTTTTTCAAAATAATGCTCAAACGTTTTGAGATGGCAGCAAACAGACTGTTTATTCATTGGACGCACCACATATTATGCGTTGAAAATTGGTAGGCTTGACGAATAAGTGATCACTTTGTTTGTTCCAGTCGAAGCTCTACCGAAAGAGTGGATGGGAATTTGGACGGACGAGGATAAAGAGAGGTGATGAAAAGCACTTTCTACTTCTAAATTTTGCATAGGATCCTAGAAAAAGTTTTGCAAAATGTCGATTTGGACAAGGGCCGCTCGCAATCGAATGGTTTTTTGATGAGAATCGCGCCCCTGCCTGCCTTCTACCACAATCAACCATTTGAGAGGTGTTTTAGGGAATTTAACCTTTAGAATTTTCACTTTTCACTTTATTTTTGATCTCAAGAAACGATTTTCTTTCGAAAACAACCTCGATATAACGAAACGTTGGCCCCTTGAGTGTCCTTAGATCGAGGTTTGGCTGTAATACAAGAAAAAGTTAACACTTTAAATCACATTCCTGCAAATTTTAATTTTATTGGTATGACGCTCTTGGCTTTAAATTTTTCTATAGGGTGGCCGAAAATTATAGGTGCAACGGTCATTCTGTAAAAATAGACCAGTAGCTTCTCAATCTTCATCACCTAAGTTTTTTCTAAATTTTAGCTAATGTTAATTTAATGTCAGTTGGTCGTATCTGGTGGCCGAGGAGGTCGGGCTTACCCACTCGCATCCGGCCACCACCGATGCGGCCCTCGTCTACACGAAAGCCATCCATCAATTGATCAACAAGACCACTCCCGAAGAGGTTTATCGGTATCGCATAGAGAAAAAGTGTAAAATTGAAAAACTGTGATCCTAGAAATGCTCTGTCAACAGCGACGAATCCGATCGTCAAAAAACATCTGGAACTGGCAGCAAACCAAGTTTATATTGCAGCTAGACATCGAAACTTTGTGAAAGTTTTAGCGAGCCCCGTTCCCATATGGAGATGAGTTGAGTCAAACGACAAGAGGGGATGATATAGTGATGGGATACTTTGGGATCGCTTTACAGGTAACAGCAGTTCAACAGCCCGTAATTTGTTTACAAATGGACTACATATAGGCCAACTATAGAAAGCGTGACCATTTGCAATTGTTGAGCAAAGATCAGTCATTCAACAAGCATAGTATCTAAGAAAATTCTGTCAATTAAGGTAATTAGATAATTAATTGACACGAAATTTTGTGGAATATTTATTATTAGACAACTGAATAGATTGTGACTTTGATTGCGGGTTTGATACATTTAAAATTGTATCCTATTTGCAGAGTTTCAATTTAAGCTCAAAATCTAATTTCCCTTCTTAGTTTTCATTTAATCTAATTCACATTTCTATAAAAGTGTTTGAGTGAACGAACTACTTGCCTGATTAAGTCATGACAACTTTCAGTTGGCCTTCCACGAATTGCTCCACGCAAAAACGTTTGTTGAGGGTCTGGTAAATGTGGTTCTCATCGGTGGCGATGCGGACACGAACGGATGCATAACGGCCGCACTTTTGGGTAGTTCGGTTTGCATATGCCTTGCTTTTTTCAAACTTATGAGAATCTTTTTAATTATTAAGCATTCTGAAAGGGTAAAATTTTTAGTTAAAATCGGGTTTTTTTTTTTTTTTCGGTAAAAATAACATTCAGTCCAGAAAAGGAACAATTTTCAGCCATTCGATGGTTTTTCCCTTTTTAGGGGCTCGTTTCGGGGAAACGGCCATCCCATTCGAGTGGAGGGAACGAGTTGAGAATGCGGATCTTCGCATTAAAAACGAGAACGGAATCACTTCGATTAAAGAAATTGTTGACAAATTCGGAGAAATTGGAAAAAATTAGAACTTTTTGCTTATAAATACCCCAAACCTACACTCAATAAAATAAATCGAGCAATCAATTTTAGAAAGATTTTTCGCTATTACTAAACAGATTTCAATTTCAGATAGGTTTTAGAAACATTGATCTGAATGTATTTACAAAAATTCCTGACCATAAAGTTTGCTGCTAGCAAAAGACGAAAGAAATTGATAGACACCAGGAACTCTAATCGATCATAGAGTTCTTTTTTTCTTATTGAAATACTGATACTTGTTATCAAAGAGGAGGGAAACGATCGAGCTTTTTTTGTTGAAATTTCCTATATAAGATTTGAGAGAAATTTTCCAAATTTGAGCCGAAAATCAGAGCCGAACACCTCAAAAAATGGCTCCATTCCTGCAATGGCTAATGTTTTTCTGCGCATGGACAATTCACTTTACAAATGGACAAGATGAAGAGCGTGAGTTTATGGGAAATTTTTGAGATTTTCAGTCATTTTATCGAATATTGTATTCGCGCAAGGCTTGATTTCAATTGTTTCTATGTTTGAAAATCAAAAAACGGATAACATTAACTTAAACTTTAAACACAAATTTTCAAATTATCTGTTTATTTTTATCCCAGTTTCTCCTTGAAACAAATCAATAACAATAAATTCCAAACTAATTTTCAGTTCCATCTGGCAAAATCGACTTTCACTTCAAAACACTTGACGACAAGTTTGTTGTCCGAAAAAATGCGACCTTTTTGAAGGACAACAACGGAAAAGCTGATATCACAATCTATATGAGCGATCAGGATTATGAAAAAGTTTGTGCCGAAGATTTATGCTAAACCAAAAAATTTAGAAAACCCGAACTTTCCTTAAATTAGAGCTGCTAATCAACGATAAAACGTACGAATTCGCGGCTGAGGACTGGCTCTACAATGATCTCGAATTCCAGTAAATACTTGAGTTTTCTATTTTAAAGGGAGCTTTTTTTAAGATCGGTTGAATTTGATGGAAAATGGGTTCTCGTGACTTCGGATTTCCTGGAATTGGGCTTCAAGTAGGCGGTTTTTTGATTGAGATTCATCAAATAACAGATACAACACGAGCTCTCCCGATTTTGAGTTGACAGTCACAGAGACAACGATGCCTGAGAGTGAGTTAATACCCTGAAACAAAACTTCAACTGGGGTATTGAATGGCAATTAAGTATGCAACCCCCTCGACTTTCAGCTTGTACCTGCCTGCAACAATTCGACTACAACTACCCATACAAGACTGATCCTAAAAAGTATGCGAAAGACTTCACCACTGCCACGTTGGACATTATCAAACCAAAGGTATGTTTCAAAATATATTTAGACCCAAAAGATCTTGCTTACTTAGCTGAATATTTTTTGTCTGTTTGGGATTTTAGTTTAAAAACTATTAGGTTGGAAAGAAAGTTCTCGGAAAAAGTTCGACTGGAATTTCTCAAAAAACTAATCTACCAATTCAAAAAAATTTTGTTCTATTATTTACAAGTCGACTCCAAGAAATTACTCGTAACAAAAAAAAAATTTGAGATTTTTGAAAATTATTATCTTCCAGCTTAAATTCAGCTTACTTTTTGCACCAGAAAAAGGATTCATCATGAGGTAAACTGGCATAAATGAGCAATACGCTCTATAATCTCTATTTCGGGCCAAAAATTTTTTACAAGAGAATTTTTACTGTATTTCAAAAAATAATTTTTTGGTGTCACCTTCCTGGCACTGAGTGTTTGCTAGGTGATTCTGAAAAGTTAAAGCATTAGATAAAATTTGCCTTAATCACAAATTTTCCCTATTTTAAGTACTTTATAGAGTACCTGAAGCCCACTCTAATTTTTTTTTGTCAAAAACTTTTTGAAATATAGTCAAATTTAGCAAAAAAATCTGCGAAGAATTCATGGCTTGGTTTCTGAGAAAGCACCGTGCAAGCTTTTTCTACGAACTTTCTTGCTAACCTAATATAACTCATTGACTCAAACTATAAATATAACTTCTGCAATCCATTTTTGTCTGGTGAATAATCTGGTGAACTCACTAACAAAAGCTAAAGATATTCAGCTAATTAGTCAAAATTTTAAGCCGCATTAGGTTAATGAAAATTAGCATAAACATCCAGGAGTGTCAATTCACTTCGTGTGTCTGGTTTTTGGGCGATGGAACCAAAGAAGAGCAGGACGATTTGGTGCTCACTTTTAGCGGGAAATTCGATCCCGTTGACCAGTTTTTCGTCAAAGTCGACAATGGCACTGTGGAAAGGTTTGGTTTCTATAAAAGTTATTAACAGTTCTTGTATCCCATTTCCAGCTTTAAATCGAGCTCAAAAAACAATCAGCACATCACCGTTTCTCCAAAGAACTTCTTCACAGTTCATTTCATTGCGGGAGCCAATCCGAAAACGGAACGCCATCTCAAGCTGCAATATAATTACACGAGAATCATCTCACCCATGGAGGATCCTAATTTTATCACTGAATAAACTCTTTTTATTTTTCTTAAACGAATGATACATTTTTATGGCTTTGATCAGCTTTTCATCTAATATTTTAGTTTAATAAACCGGAAATAAATGAATCATTTAAAAATAAGAAACGCTTCCAAAGTGTCTTTTTTCAGTATTTTTTGGCTATGTGTCATCAAAATTTGTGTTGAGTTGCTAATTCCATAGATAACGAAAGAGAAAGTTGATGGGGGAAAGATGAGATAGGGAAAGAATGGAAAAAGTTGTCTTTCTTTATATTTAGTTATACATTTTTACAATTTATTATTGTTTTTGAACGTTTTTGTGATTGCAAGTTTAGATGAAAGTTTAGATGAAAAATATAATTAAAATACTATTTGAAGTTCTTTTAATTTTAACTATGGTTTCCCAGCCTTTAAATATCCCCTCACATAGCCACGAATGCCCAAAAATCTCCATTTTTTTCAATCTTTGCGATCAATGAGTCATCTTTTCGTGTGTATAGCTTTCGACAACTTTGATAAAATGGCTTTTCATTCATTTTTTGAACCTTGTACGTGATTTTTTAAAATATGCAAACAGGTCAGTGGATTCTTTTGCATGCATAAGTTCTTTTTGTGAATTTCCGCGTTGGACTTGGTTATTTTTTGCATTCAGTGATAGAGTCGAGTTTAGAAAAATCTACCATAAAATTTTAAGATTAAAATATTTTGAGATTTTTTGATTAAATTTTTAAAAACATTAAATCCTGGTTAGTTGTCTGTGCTTCTTTAAAAACTATTAGGTTGGTGCAAAAGAAATTTCGGTCGATATAAAATGTTCTTATTTTTTTAATCTGAAGAGCTTATTTGATGTTCTTTTGTGCATTTGTATATTGTATGGATATTTACTTTATTTTCGCATTTTTTCAAAGTCAGAGCTTTCACTTTTTAATTAATTTTTGCTTTAGATCATGGTGGATCAAAAGTATGTTCTGCGCACGTGTCTTCTCTATGACTTCAAAATGGGCAAAAACGCTGCTGATTCACATCGTGATCTCTGTTCCGCCTTTGGAGAACAGGTTATCACCGAAAAGATCATGCCAGCTCTGGTTTGCCCAATTCCGAGATGGTAATGAATCCCTTGAAGACGAATCGCATGGACATCGTGCCACAGCCATCGACAACAATGAATTGAAGCTGATCCAATGCAAACAACACGAGAACTTGCCAAACATCTCCAATTCAACAATTGTACGCCATTTGGAAAAGTGATGTTGTCTTGCTGGTGGAATATCAATGGACTTGTTCATTTTGAATTATTAGAGCCCGGAAAAACAGTCGATTCATCTTATTTTATTCAACAACTCAAGAAGGTTGACGAAATTTTGCGTGAAAAAGGCCTAAATCCCTCAACCATCAACTTTCTCCGTGATAATGCTCCAGCTCACACGGCAAAAACCTCTTGTAAGGAACTAGAGAAGCTAGGATGGAAGGTCTTACCACATGCGCCGTATAGTCCAGACTTAGCACCCTCCGATTTTCACCTTTTCAGATCGATGCAACATTCCCTTGAGAATTGCCAGTTTAAGAATGCAAAAGAAGTCGAAAATTGGGTGACCAACTACTTTGCATCACAGAATCAAGCGTTCTTTGAGAAGGGGATCCGCAATCTGTAGCAACGTTGGAGGGATGTCATAGATAATAATGGTGCTTATTGTTTTAAATAAATTGTTATCAAAAAAAAATTTTGGATGACTTTAATGTTTGTAAAAAAACGAAATTTCATTTGCACCAACCTAGTATGGTCAAATCAAATAATCCTTTATTATTTTTTGGAAACCTGCAAAACTTTAATTTAAAATATTCATTATTTGTTTGAGGCGATCTTGAAATCTGATCTTGAATTCTTCTTGTTTTTGGTTGATTAACGATTCGATTTCGAGGGAGATTTTTTTGATATTCCGGTGATCTTCAATCTCATTGATCTAAAAAAAGAGTTAAAAACCTTTTTGTAAAAATGCAGTTTCAAAAATTAAGTAAATAAACTTACATTTAAATTGCTGTCCGTTTCACTCAAAACCCTCTCCATTCTTTTCACATGCAATGCAATATATTTTGTGGAAATGTGTGAATAAATTTCCACCAAATCCATCACTTCAAAGCACAAATTGAACGATTTAAGGATTGTGGGCATGATTTTCTCTTTCAAGAGATCTTCCTAAAGGATTTGAGATGATTTTCAATTACTTTTGCTTTTACTTTTGAATATTTTTCCAAGATATTCATCGTTTTCCCCAACTCATCTGTTTTCCATCTTAAATGACGACTAAAATCATCCAAATAAGCCCATTTTTCTCTGATCTAAAGAAATTTTCAGAATTTGTTGCTAATCATTTCATACTTCATGAATGATGCGAAAAGATGTAGACACTTCAACCTGAGCCTCTAAAGACTTCCAATGAAATACTTCAATTGAGATAAGCTCTAACCTTCGATCCGTTGTGCAATTTCAGCTTGACATAGTTCATTCAATTCCTCCAATCTCTCATTGAAATCCCCTTTTGGATAGCCCATTTGCAAGTAACAGTCATAAGCAGCAGACTTGATCATTGAGATTAGGGTTTCGATTTTCGCTACCGATGATTGTGTAATATCTTGGTCACTTGACTGTAAAAATCGAATAACTTTTTTGAGTTGACTCAGCTGTTAAAAGAGAAATACTACTGATTTTAACAAACTTATTTCTAGTTGTAAGAAAATTATTATAATATTAGGAAGTCCGACAGGTCAACAAATTAATGACTTACCTTTGGAAGCAACTCAATCACTTCAATGTACAGCCTTGGTATGTCATCTAATCGACTCCTCACTTTCAGACAAGCATCATCCATACACCGCAACGTCTTGAAAGTAATGTTTGAAGTGAGTTGATGTATTGAGACACGAAGAGAGCTTGGAGAGATTATTTTCTTGAATTTATCAGATGGCATTGCTAATGAGAAAAGTGGTCGATTGGGGATTTCTCGAGAATCAAGGATCAATCGATGGATGAGCACCAGCACTCGAAGAGAATATTCGGGAACATTTTTGATCGCTTTGAGTGTTTCTCTTTCTGTCAGCATTTTCGAAATCACGGACTTGAGGTTCTGATCAGTCTCAAGAACATTGACCACTAGAGGTAAACAAAACATTATTCAGTTAAAAATTGCTACCAAAAATGAATCAAAAACTAACAATCTGTTTGCATTGAAACACTTTGTCCAATTGTTTCCAGCTGCGTCCCATTAGTTAATGTAGATACAGATTAATGAGATAAAGAAATCCAATCCTCCTCAAGTGCCACTCGATTCAATGTCCCATCAAAACCGATTGGTCGAATTAAACTTTTTTGTTGAGGATCAATAATTGGTAAGAAAGTTTCAATTCCATACTTCTGAAACTTATTTTATAAAACTAATTTTATTTCAAAACTAGAGTTTAGACAATAACTTAATTGTAAGCTTCTTCCTCAGTTTTACCTCTCTCAAATTGGACCAAAAGGAAAGAGATTCATCATTTCTCGGTCTATCATTTGGATAAAAGCTTGTGCTTCTAAAATGATTCACTGTTCGATGTTAAATATCAATATGACTTAAACATCAACCTTCGAATAAAATCCTTAATCCCGTCCTGTACACAATTTGGATCAGAAAGCACAGTTTTTTTGTCCAGGATATCGCGAAAAAGTGATTGTTGACTGAAGGGATTCAAACCGTACTCCGAATAGACTCTTCTGAAATAAGTGTATTGAATCTTATTTACAAAATTTTATCAAACCTTCTTTCTATAATCTCCCATAATATCAAACCAACTGCATAAACGTCACTCAATAGGGTTGACTAAAATAGGTACTCTGTTTTTTAGTCAAGGAATTCTGCTCAACAAAGTTTTTCAGAATATAATTAAACTTAAAAAGCTTGATGTACATTGAGTATATTTATTACACAGCAATGTAATTTTATGCATAAAAACCTGCGAAATGCCCAAAGCACCAGCTGTCTCGGGGCTCATGTAACGAAGAGTGCCAACTGATGTGAACGATTTTGCGGACTTCGAATCTCGCACACAGCCAAAATCGGCCAATTTCAAGATGAATTGATGGTCAACAAGAACACTAGAACAAAACTCTATTTACAAAGTTTAACAATTTTTTTGCATTACTCAAAACCTAGCACCCACTTTTCAGGTTTGATGTCTCGATGAAGGATGCCCACTTTCTCCAAATGTTTCAGTGCCGCAAACATGTGTTCACCCCAGCAGATAGCTGTGACCATCGAGTAGATAATGCTTGGGTCATCTAGTACTAAAATTTGTGTTCTTGAGATTATTTTCCATTAAATGATAACTTTGTAAAAGCGAGTTCCTTTCACAGTACTCCATTTTGATGATATTGAAATACTCGTCTTCACCAAATCCATAGAATTTCACGATATTCGGATGGCTGAGTTTCTCCATGGCTTCTTGCTCTTTTTTGAAAATAGCTGTTTGTCCTTTGAGTATGTATTTGGCAGCTATTTTTCTGAAATTAAAGATTTTTGAACCAACCTATAATTGTTGAGGCGATTGAAGAAATTGAACACTCAAGAATGAAACATACGCCTTCTAGTGCACTTTTTTAGGTCTTATTTTTATACCTCAGAAATGCTTATAAATCTGAAATTTACCATTAAAAAGAACGTTTATTTTATGAGATTTTTAAGATCAAGAACTTTGAGCAAGAACGTTAGATTTGTAGTTCACTTACGGATGTCCACCGGCTAGCACGACGAATCCAAAAGTTCCTCTTCCAATCACAGTTGCATTCGATTCCATTACGAGTCTTTATGGAATAAAAATGAATTGAATATTTTTTGAAGAGAAACACTAAATAGGCAGAGATAAGAATCTTGGAAAAAAATGCTTTTGCCCACTCATATCTTTTGTTTAACAAAAAAAAAACAAAGAAAACCCCCGTGACTCACTGTGCGACACTGGTCAAAATGATTAAAACTGTTTGTTTGTTCATTTTCACAATAAGATTAAAAGCAAAAAAATTAATTTTGTCAATAAAGAGCGCAATTTTTTTACCAAAAACATCTAAAATGCTACGATGTTTTGAGTTGTGTTCTTGCAATCTTTTTGCAACTTTATTGAAAAATCGATTCATTTGAAGAGACATAAAAATAGAAAACGCATATTGAGTAGCGAAAATTATTATGTAGAAAGTATGGAGTTCAGTTGAGCGATGTACGCCTCAAATATCAACTTAAATTCTTCTCGTTTTTCGTTAACCAAGTTGTCGATTTAGCGTTTGATTTTCTTGATTTCCTCATCATTGTCGAATTTGTATTTCTGGAAAGGAATTTGCTTAAACCTTAAAAATTGTAATTCAAAGTAATGAGGTATAAATGTTATACTTGGCTCACCTCTTAGGCTCACCCGTGGGTCTTACAGCCATCTTGAATATCTTGTATTGTTGTATAGCTATCTTAGTCCATAGTCCATAGTTCTCGTCGTCGTCATTGGTCTCATCATTTTCTTGAATTAATAGCCATTCTATTTTTTTTGCACAAATGACACGGTGTGATTATCGGAAATCAGCAAGTAGATTTCCATTGCATCCACTACTTCAAAACAGAGACTGACTACTTTGAGGGTTGTTGGAATTAGTTTCTCTTCCAAAAGGTCATCCTAACAAATTCTCAAGTCCTAAAACAAGTAAAGGTTTTTTCAAATGGATTAAACCAAAAGATAAGGTCTTTGTTCATTTCCAAAAAGCTAAGAATGACGCTAAGACTCTTTCCGATTCTCCTTTGCCTTGTCCCAATTTATCAGACAATTCCCCTAAATTGTCCACAAATCCTCGGATCCGCTGGAGTCAGCGAGAAGTTTGGGAACTCGGTCGGCCATGCGATTGATTTGATCAGTGTGAGAGCTCTGAGGAGGTTCAATCCATCGGTCACCGAGAAGAATCGAGTGCCAACGATGAACATGGACTTGACTTCGGAAGCTGGTTCTTCTACCCTATGCCCCGGATTCTCGAGGCTTTGACAAGGGAGCATTTCACTCGACGGGCATGAAAGTGGTTGATGAGGCTTGTTGTTTTAAGAAATTCTAACTACCATTTTTTGCCTTTTATATTAGAAATGTGTAAATACTGCTAGCAAGCCTATCAATAAAAAGGGTTAGAAACTGTATCATATGTTCAATTTTTGTGTGCACTGTGTTAAGATAAAATGTCATATAATAGCCGAGTGGTTGGTTAGAACGTTATCATAAAAATTCGGATAAGATAAGTGCCACGTAAAAAGCTAAAAATAGTGACCCAACCCATTCAGGTGCTCTCTCAAATGGACAAGCCTATGTTTGGGATGAAATACTTCACGCCACTCGAGAAAATCGTTCACGCATTTCATATGGAGGAAATGTGGGAAATGATTCATCACGAATACGTGAATCTCAAATCGAATCCACCGACAAAAGATGCTTTTGAATGCGCGATGGACGTCGAAAGAAACGGTGTTCTAGAAATGTTTCGCTTTCTCGCATTTCGAGAACCCGAGGCTGCTTTGAGATTGAAGAAGAAACAGGGAAATGATCCTCGGAAAAAGGAGAGTTCAGCTCATGAGCACAGGTGAATTTGGGTGGAATTGAGAAATGTCTAAAAGCACTGAACTCTGTAAAATACTGATAAAGGCACCGATTTTTAGAGGATATATAAAAATTTGAGTGATAGAAGGTAGTCAACAAATCCATATTTTAATGAATCGACTGAAAAATCGGTCGCTTCATCTGGATCGATGCCTCCATTGGTCAACTCGAAAGCGTGGGCCGAACGGGTGAAACTGATTTCTGATTTGTACCTTTTTGCTGCCGTTTCAGAAACAAAGCCACTTTTTGAAGGGGTTTTATTTTGCTGCTTTCTTTAATTTTCTTTCAGCATAAAAACTAATAGCAATTAGATTCTCATTAGATTTAAGAAGTAGATTGCTCTTTTTATCGATTTAGTTGCTCACTTCATCGCCATCGTCTTTAACAATTGCAGCGACGGTCGGATTTTTGTTGGCTCTGATCCAAACGAATCTACAAATTGACTTTGCATAACTTGAGCGGTTCATATTTAAACCGGTTAATGAAAATCGGGAAGCTCTTCGGAATTCAGAGGCTCTCGAGCGAGAGCATTACGAGAAGCCAAATGAAAAGCCGCCTCAACGTGCAGAGCTTCTTTTGCAAAAACCTGGAAGAGAATTGGAAAATTTTTCGATATGAATACAGTAAGTGCTAAGCTGAATACAGTATCGAACACCCCCAACAATGGCTTTTTTGAAAAAGCGATAAGCGGTTTTCAAATTTCAATTCTACACCTAAAAAGTATGTAACGCAACCCTTCAGAAAATAACTGGAGGTGTTACGTTTCTGCGACGGCAGTTTTTGTTGATCTTCTAGTACTGTACCTCATAATATGGAATATTGTTCTTGCTCTGGCACCATTTGTGAGCCCTTTCCGCGGAAACAGCCCGCTTCTGTTCAAGATCTACCTAAACTTTGCAAAAAGTTAACCTGAAAGACTTCAAATGACCTTATTTCCGAGAAGTATGAACGGGAAGTTTTCCGGGTTTTGAGGCCTGAAAATAAGGGTGATGGTTTAACATTTTTAAGATTAAGGGCTTCCATACATGAAACTGTAACTATTTCTCCGATACCTGCAGGGTTATGTTACAGGTTTTGTGGTACATAACTTGTAGTAGCATTTTACTTATCACATTTTCAATTTGCTGTCCATGCTGATATTTTTCTTTGGCCTTTGATAATCCCAAACATTGCAAAGTTGCATACTTGGCCTGTATCAAGAACTCGTCTCTCCAAAAGTCCAAATTGGTGAACGATTTCGAATCAGTGAGATCATAGACGAGCACACAACAGTCGGCGCCTCTGTAGAAAGCGAGCCCGAGCGAACGAAAACGCTCTTGACCGTTCGTGTCCCAAAGCTAAAAAAAATAACAAAAAATGGTTTCATTTTTTTGATTTTGAGCCTCTAATCTCCAACCTGCATCGTGACGTGTCGACCATCAATCAGCATGTCCTTCACTGAAAAATATGTTGTACTAGAAAAATTTGTAAATGGGTATGGTTCCCTTGCATTGTAAGACCTAGAGTTTGTTCCCCAAATAAAACCCACCAACTGCGACCTTGTACTGATTGGTGAAGTGCTTAAAGATGAACTGCTCCATCAATGCCGTCTTTCCAACTCCTCCATCACCCAACAGTATCACCTAATCATAACAATTTTAATTATTGAGCAATCATTTCCGTTCTTTTTGAAACCAACTTGTGAATGAAACGTTAAGAATTGAGTCTCCAAAGATTTAACAACCCTTTAAACAAATTTTTGTGTGATAACTTTTAAGATAGAAGATAAGGATTATTGGTCCTGAAAACAGTGCTCAAAAGGATAGAAAAATGACTAACATTAAGCAATGCTTTCTTTTGCGATCGATCAGACATATTGTGTTAATTTTCAAGATTCAAGTTCAAGTAAATAAAATGTTTCTTTTAGTAGTGAACTCTCTTTCAAAACTCATTCATCTCATTTCAAACGTGTGTAACTACCCGCTTTAAGCCAATCAAAAAGGGATCATTTTCATTTTCTTACAACACAAAAAGGGATAATCTGACGCAACTTGGTTACAAAAAAGCTTTTTCTTGATGCAACTTAAAAAAAAATTAGTTGTAAAATCTACTGCTCAACTTTGTTGCTTCAGAACTTTTAAATGGTTTTTATCATAAAAAACTCCTTTAAGATCGGGATAAGAACTTTTTAAAGGAACCAATAAAGTTGGCTCACTAAAAGAACAAAAGAAAGAACGTCGAGCTTCGACCCATTCCCGAAGAATACGTTTTTGCCCATAATAACAAAGTAGCATTCAAATTGACTTTATTGCATGCTAGCATAAACGAAAACAAATGGGCAGAAGGAACCAACTGCAAAAAGAAGGATCAAAAGTTGGAAAGAATCCGCGGAAAATGGTATTCGAGACGATTTTGCGCAAATTGACGGAACTTGGTGAAGAAGACGAGAAAAACGAGGATCAAATTTTAACGCGCGTCAAGGCAGGAGTGAATCATGTTAAAAAGTATATCTCCGACAAGAAGAAAAATTTCATTGGGATTTCGATTACTCCATTAATGGGAGATAATCGTTTTTCATCAATACACTCATTTGTATTTTGATTAAAAAATTCCTGAATAAAATCCGCAGGATTTCAGTTGGATCAATGGGTTTTAGCTTTCTATAAGTCATTGAAAGAGATTCTCCATGGCCCGATCGAGAGAAAATGACTTGTCATCGGAAGGGTATTGGCAGGAAGCCAGGAATGGGCTGTTGATTGGATTGAACGTGGAGAAGGAGAAGGATTGAATGAAAATGTCTGAGTCTGAGAACTCGTTTTGTACAAGAAATTTTCGTTTCGAAGACATTTCGTTATTCTGTTTTCTGGAAGTTAAGGGCCTTGTTTACATGACTTTGAACTTATCGAGGAGATGACCATTTCTTAAGGAAACTCTTCAAAAGTGAGTTTAAGTGTCTTTTTAGTTTTACAGTTGACAAGTTTTACAGTTGTAGGCTTTGGCAAAGGAAAAACGAAATGTGGCCGTGAAGTCTATCACGAAGAGATGAAGCGATCGATTGAGAAATTTTACGAATTGTGCAAATAAAAACGGAGAGATGGGCACAAATTAAATTGTCAAATCATGGATTTGAAACAATTTTTTGCTACACTTCGGAATAAATTTTTCAAAAAATAACTGTCGGACACTGAAAGACCAACTTTAGGCACATAATTTGCCAATTTTGGTTCAACTTCTTTGACGTGATAGTGGGCATTATTGATCAGAATGTTATTGATCCTCTATTTGTGACATCAGTTGGGGCCAAATCGGCAGTTAGCAATGATGACTCTCTGCACGTTAACCAAATGCATCTTGCTCGGTGAAAATCCTTTGAGCAAAACATTGATAAAAATAGTGTTTATTCACTGATAATAGTAAGAATTTATGTTGCCAAAAGGTGAAACAATATTAACATCCTTGCTCTTATTTCCCTGGCAAAATCGGAGTGACAGTTGTGTTAGGGCATCCGACTAGAAATTTTTGAAGTTACGGTTATTGTTGGTGATGGTCTTCAGCAACTCATTTTCATTAAAAATTTAAAAAATTTTAGTGTCCTTTCTCATTGAAAATTTGCATTCTGAACAAAATGGTACTCTCTTTGGGGTTGTGCCAATTTTAGCAACAAATTTCACTAACTAAAATTACAGTAACTAGTAAGATCCCAGTTTTCCTACTACATACCTTTCTTTCGACACTCAGCCTCGCTCACGCATTTGCCGGATGGATTGCGGAAATAATTCGACTTGCATTGGCATAATGCGTGGCCATGTGGTAAGCAGATACGAGGGCAAATCTGCGAGAGAAAGAAAAGACAATGCTTTCACAAAAATGAGTCGAAACTAACCACAGACTCCTGACAACATTTCTTTTCACACCTGATCCCGCACTCGTTGCAAATCTGATTCTTGCCACACTTAATCAGGGCACATTGTCCGATCGGTCTTTCGGTGGTGGCTATGAGGGTTTCTTTTGTAGGTACTCTAGTGTGCCGACCCTCTCAATTCAGCATCTTTGCCATATTTTTACTTGTAAAGCTTAGAAACTTCATTCGTTTTTGGTTGTAATTTGCAAAGGTTTTCGAATTTCATTTCCTCTCACAAGAAATTTTTCGTTTTTTCCCCAGTTTTCATTTAAATAGGCGTCCCCATTTGTATTTACCCCTACCTATTTCGAGGCTGAAATAGGGGTCAATTGATGTTTCCGAAATTTAACTAATCGATTGTCAATTGAAATTGCTCTTAAAGATGTATCTAAATAAATATTCTAAAATTATTTCTAACCAAAAGTACTTTGTACGCCTAGCTTGACTTAATTCTCTTGTACTTTACTTACTAGTTTTTTTGTTACAAACTAAAAATAGGTAACTGCAGTTAAACTCACCGAGGATCGAATGGAAGAAGACGCAAATGAAAAGCAAAATATTCTGCAAATTTGAAAATATAAAAAGATTCACGAAATATCTACCATTGATGACATTTTCGAATGGCTGGCTATTAAGCTCAAACTCATGTTTTTCTTTCAAACCTTTTATAGGCCCGTGACATGTCAAAATAACATTGTTGCCTGGTTGTTTTTAGAGGGGTTTTCCATAATTTGTGCCACAAAGTTCATATCCACTCACATCGTTTGTTTTTGCTTTGTATGTAGATTCGATAAATGAAAAATAGATTTCCAAAACGATTCTGTTTTTCGAAAAATTGTGCTCTTTTGAAAGGCCTGGTACATGTACATTTTGAAGTAAAAATGATCTGTGGAGCTCAGTTTGACTCAATTCTCTTGTACTTTACTCACTAGCTTTTGTTTAGGGAAAAGACGAGCCTAAGCAATACCCCAAACGAACCATCAAATCGATCCTTATCAAAATTATGAGTCTTTTACGGCACAAGATATGTGTTCTCTTGCATTTTGCTCACAAAAAATTTGCCCCCTTCCCAAATAAACCAGTTTTATATAAAAACACTAGCAAATGTTGTCTTTTTCAAATGTTTCTTTTTATTAATGAACTGAACGTGTTTTTTAGGAAAAAACAACGGTTTCAGTTACAAATGAACCTCGATGAGCTGAAGCTAAAGTGGTTGGGCAGTGGTAGTTTTGGGAATTGTCTTCGTATGGGGTGAGTGTTTGTGCGTTTTTTTACTCATGATCAGGGATATTCCTAGATCGAATTCTTCAGGTCAAGCCAGGCCAAACCAGAAACCCAAAAATCATAAATTATTTCTTTGTCGAAATTCATTCGAAAAGTTGTCTCTAGTGATGCACAATGGTCGATATCCTATTCTTGAACCACCGTAATACCTTTAGTAGTAGCGCCCCCTCTAATAGGAGTGCCCCTTAAATGAATATCTTAATGCCTAGGAGAAATCTCAAGATATTCAGCTTTTTGCTTTTTAGCTTGCAACTGGGGAGTGGGACAAATGCGACCTTTTTTTGTGCACCCGGACATTTGCGCACCTTTTTTTCCGCACCTTGTCCATTAGCGCACCTTTTTTCGCGTTTTCAAAAAGCTCTAAAAAGCTAATATTAACCAATTTCTATTCCAAATGTTGTTTTTCTAGGTAATTTGAGGGTGTCGAATTCAAATTTTGACATAACAGAGCGTGTGGAACCAATTTGAAAGACAAGACGGCTAGATCAAATTACGTCTAGATCAAATCAAGATGTTGTATTACCTCGATGCATCAACAAAGGTCCAATCAACCGAAAAAGTGTTTCGTCGAAGTGATGAAGCTCAGTTCTCAGAAAAAGCCCTTGAAAAAAGTTTCAAATTTTCGCGAAGGTCGAGGATTTTTGACACTTTTGGATCATCCAAAAAAAACCATCTAGAACACGAGAAAATCATTTGTTTAGACTTGGAAACAAAAGACGTTTACAAGATTGGCGCTTTGGAGTTGGCTCGAGAAATGAAAGAAACAGAAGAAAGTTTTGCTATGGCGAGGATCTCTTACATTTTCAATATCTTAATCAAAGCGGAGAAATCGAGTTGATGGTCGATGAAAAATAATAAATTTCCAAAACCTCATTAAAATTCCAATAGATCGTGTATTCACTCAATTCATTGTGTATTCACTGAATTTCGTAATTTCCTACTTCAGTTTTTTCAAAAGAAAGATCCGAATCAAAACTGAAAAAGAAATAAAAATGACATCAAAAGAGCGAAAGTGATTGATAATTGGGAAAAAAACGCTGGCTGTATAATAAAACTGTGGATCACTGCTATACTCTTTTTCAATTGTTTCTACATTTTTCTATCTCCGATCGTTCTCTGTTCCAGATCGACTGGTATTCTGTGTTCTGATTTATTTCTGATGCTTATCTTTGAGATTTTCAAAAACCGATACCTTGACGCCGTACTAGTAAAATGGCACCAGTTTTTCTCTTATCTTTCATGATGTGCAAACACATAAAGAATAAAATTGCCTAAATTCTCTCTTACTTGAAAGAATCTTTTCAGTTGTCCCGGAAATCCTTCATGATTGAGAGTGTAAAATGACGGCGGTTTCAGCTGAAATAAGAGGCATTTCGAAAAAAAAGCTTTCAAAAATTATCGTCTATTTCATTGCTTCTCATTTCTCGAACAAGATAATCATTCTTGATAAATGTACTGCTATCTTGAAGGTGGATAATTCAGAAAGCCTTTATTTCCTTTAAATCGGCCCAAATTCCAAATTGATGCGGAGTTTTAAGGCCCATCTAATGATATTAAAACTGGGCCAATTTGACGAATTGGATGGACCAACTGATTACGATAGATTTCTGAATTATCCGCCATTTAGGAAGCAGTGCCTTCGCTAAGGAAGGAGCTAACTCTAATGATCATACTCTTTTTACCTTTCCTCAAAGTTTAGATTCTAAGTAGAAGGAGATGTTGTTGGAGAAGAAGAAGCAAAAGGTTTGTCTTTATCTTTTTTAGTTTACAAATTATTTTCAGTTTGACGAAATTACGAAGGACTTCCTGATAGACACTGATGGTTTGCGAAAGATTATGGTCTTGCTCGAGCAAGCTTTTGACAAAGGACTAGCCATGGAAACGGGTAATTGGCTCAGAAAACTCAAACATCAGTGTGAATAACTCTGTTCACAAAGCTATTGTTTTGTACTTTATATCCAATTTCGAAATCCGTTTTTGAATATTTGCAACCGTTTTCTCAGAATGGCAAAGGGCAATGGGGTAAAATTTAGCCTCGCACTGCACTGTAGCAACTAGTTGGTTTTGTCTTGGATACAAAGTTAAAGCAACTTATTTAGCCTTGCAGTAGTCAGTGTTTCCGATTTTTTTGCTTTTGGGTTTGTAGAGAGAGTAAAGAGGTTTTAAGATTGTACTTGCATTAACTAAAAATCTCTTAAAGTTAACCATTGCAAAAAATCTCCCAAGAGCCTTTACATTACGCGGTGGTTATCCTTTCAGCATCCAGTGCTTCCGTTTTGATGCTACCCACATATGTCCAATCGATCCCGGATGGGACAGAACAAGGAGAGTTCCTCGCTCTCGATCTTGGTGGCACGAATTTTCGGTAACTTCAAAAGAAATCTTCTGAAAGCAACATACAGAATCTTTTTCGTCAAAATTATCAATCGGGAAATGAAGGTAAAAAGCACGACTTGTTGTGTGCCAAATGATGTGATGAAAGCGACTGGAGAAGAGGTTTGAGATGATCGATTAACAATGACAAGTTGCATTGTTTAGCTTTTCGATTACATAGCAAAGTGTATTGCTGAATTTATGAAGGAACATGGGTTGACAAAGAGCAAATCTCTGCCTCTTGGCTTCACTTTTTCGTTTGCTTGCAAGCAGGATGGACTGGCAAGTGCACGATTGATCGCTTGGACAAAGGTTTTTTGGATAATGTTGTTGAAATGAGAGCTTTTATTTAGGGATTTAAAGCTTCAGGAGTGGAAAATGAGGATGTGGCGGAGTTGTTGAGAAGCGCTTGCCAACGTAGAGGGGTGGGTGGTCTGGAAAAGGGGATTGGTTTCAAACAAATCCAACTACACTCTGTCAAAAAATTCTAGAAGCACTCGTTTTTAGTTTATAACTCGTTCTGTATTTGTATTTGCTAACAAAGAGACTATTCCCAAAGTTACAAACTGCAACAATGGTTAAAAGTTATAAGCTAAAACAAGTGATTTGTTAGTTTTTACAATCAATTCCTTCAGGATATCAATGTCGACGTGGTTGCTGTTTTGAATGACACAACGGCTACTCTAATGGCTTCTGCTTTTGAGAGAAACTCTTGTCAGGTACTGTTCATTTTAAAAGTGACACCATAAAGCAATTTTAGATTGCTGTGATTGTCGGCACTGGAACGAATGCCTGTTATATGGAAAAGTTGGAGAAGTGTGGGAAATTGAGAAAGGGAATTGACTTTGAAGAGGGAACCTTTGATGAGGTTTGTTCAATTCTGAGATTTGAAATGAATGGAATGAATTTGGATAGAAAAAGAGCCCAATAGAAAAAATAATTTTTGTTATTTAATAAAAAATTTATTTTGTCAGATGTGCATCAACACCGAATGGGGTTCATTTGGAGATCACGGAGAGTTGGATTGGTTGAGGACGGATTTTGATCAGCAAGTCGACGAGGCAACCATCAATCCGGGACATCAACTGTCAGTTGTTTTTCAATTTAGGATATATAGTCTAAAGATCTGATAATCAATTTCTTCTTGAAGCTTCTTAAAAATGACCTCTGGCATGTATTTGGGAGAGACGGTGAGAGCTGTACTTGAACGATTGACACGTGAAGGAGTGCTGTTTGGTGGGCAAACGGAAGGCATCTCAAAACATGGGCTTTTCCTCACAAAATACATCTCTGAGATTGAAAGGTTAATTACTTTGAGTGCTTTTATTTGAAAACTTTTAGTGAGTTCATTGAAAACGATGGCACTTTCCCGAAAACCCTCCAAATACTCAAAGTGATGGGTGTTGAAGAGGTCTCACAACTTGATTGCATTCGCGTGGCCACTATTTGTACACTCATTTCGACGAGGTAATTTCTTGTCGACCGATTTTAAAATGGTGCTTAATCTAGAGCTTATGCTAGTAAAGTTCCCACAAGTAGTTGATCACTTTTTATCGATGGCAAGAAAGAAGGCATTGAGCGTTGGAAGGCTTTTTACAAAAACTTTTGAAATAACTTGTTAATGATCAACAGATGTTAAAACTGATTCAGCTGCGTCTTGTCAATCTTTCAACAAGTCTAACTCTAATCTAATAATTTGTTACCAATAAAGGGCGGCTCATTTGATTGCCGCAGCTACAGCGACAATCATCAAACGAATGGGGAAACCATTCGTATCGATTGGGGTCGACGGAAGTGTTTACAGGTTTAGTGATTGTTTTTTAAAGCCAATCCCAATCAGATTTCATCCAACTTTCTCTCGTTTACTCGACGAAAAGATCTCTGAGCTGATCGATAAGAATCTGAAAGTTCGTTCCTCAATTAGTTTTGAATAGATATGAAAACCATTTTAAGTATGAGCTTCTGCTATCCATCGATGGCTCTGGCCGGGGAGCTGCCCTCGTCGCCGCTGTTGCAATGAGGATGAACAAAAAGTTTCATTGTTGACTCGTTATATAAATCAATTTACACTTTTGTATACGCTATAAAGTGCATTTTTGTGCAAGAACCACAGTTGAATCACAGTTTTGAGACACTCAATGTGTTTTGTTCTGACAGGACGATCCCGTAATGAAGAACAATTTCTGTTATTTTGCTTTGCGGGATTCATGTATAGTCAAGAACCGTTACACTCAAATCGAATTTTCATTCCTACCAAAGAGAATCTATCGTTTGCCATTCACGGGACTCGATTAGATGAGTTAAAAGTGGGGATTTTCCTAAGCTCTCTTCGGTTTTTTCATCTTATTTATGCTGGTGCACTAATCATCAAAGTTTTTGCAAAAGAATAAAATAATATCTAGAAATTTAAGCATTCGAGAGAATCCGAATCGATGGATGCTCGGATTGTGATTATCCCGTCGACTACTCGTTTAGAGACTGTAAGATTTAGCCAAGTGGAGATGCATAGAGAAATTTATTTGCGTTTATCAAAACCTCTGTTCAGGAACCAAATCTATCGCGATCATTTGCGACCGATACAGATTTGTTGCTTGTGAATGACTTCACCGTTGCTTGTGAATGACTTGCCACCTTTGAATATCACGCCCACTTAATACCCCTTTCACCGGAATCAGCTTAATCTCTTCTCTCGCCCCGGTTCTCTCGAAATATCTCGTTGCTTGCTGTTGAGTAACTGGTGGACTGATTGATATCAATTCGACGAGTTTTATATAAAAAATCAATCCAAAAAGAGGCTAAAAGTGCTCAAAGAGAGAATTCGAAGGTATGTTTTGACAGCAAGTGATCAAAATTAAAAAATAATTTTTTGTTTATTGAAAGACTCATGAAAAGGACCGATTTTTCAAGCAAAACACCATCTCCAGCGACATCAACATCACCATATCAGCTCCGCGATATTGTCGATGGTTTTCGAGCATTCGATCTTTGGCGCTTTCCAAATAAGCCACTTTATTCGGAAAGCAGTGGAGGGCTTTGGTGATGAAATGATTGATGTAGTCTTCATTTCTAAACTTGATCAAGTATTTGTTCAAATTCTAGCTCAATCTACACAAATACCGTAAATACTCTATTAGAAGAGCAGTCTCTAAGAGAAGAGCACCCTTAACCCTTTTTGAAACTTCTTTTTAGGTAAAATGATAGATTTGGGTCTAGCTAGAAGTATTTTGGCATTGACAGTAAAATTGTAAAACTGATTTTTATTTAAGGGGGTTGAAAAATAGAAGAGCATGCTCTACCAATAAAATATTTACGCTAATTAAGCCTTGGAAGCACTGACAAGTTGTCCTTGAAGTTCTCCTTTTCTCCCAAGTGACTCGCACTGTTGTGTTGCTCGAGAAAGTAGTGATCAACAAACTGAATTTGTTATCACCCAGCAAAAGAATATTCTTTTTAGTCGTTTTCATTAACTACTTAAACAGTTGAACACAAACCGTTTTATTGCATCCATTCGACAAACACTTCAGCGGTTTATCGACATGACAGTGAATGATGTGTCGAATCGTGTTGTACTCTTCGACTTCTATCGAAAACCACAAGTTGCATTGCTGAAAGTTTAAAGCTCTCTTTTTTATTGACACTAAAATAGGTTGATGTGGATGAAAGTGCTCAAATCGCTTCATCAAGTGTTCATCATTTTTGGTTCCTCAACATTTGAGCTTTATCCATAACGATCTCTTCGCAAAACTCACTTGACATTCCTCCTTTTCAGGCATAATGAATGGGATTTTTGTTCCCAAATGAGAGAATTGAAACAAATAAAAGAAAATTTTGCAAATAGAAACATTTCAAGTGAAAAAAGGTTTCCAGCACCACTGATAAGCAATTTGCAAAAGAAAGAAAGAATTTCTTTTGTGTTTTTCTTGGAAGCTAGCAAAGCCATCGTTTCTGAAGCCAACAAACAAAACAAAGTTCGAACTGTCAATTTCCTGATATTTTTATGCATTTACAAGCATAAGATACGTTGCTTTATTTCATTCCTTCGCAAATCCTCGATTCGTCTCATTTCAACTTCACTTGTGAAAGCCCTAAATCTGCGTGATATTTTTCCTATAAACGTTTTTTGTTTTACGTTTCTCTCCGTTGGATGTAGTGACCTTTGTGACGAGTTGATTTTTTGATCCTTTCTTCTCTCGAAATAGCACAACATAGGCTATGCTGAAAATGGGGATGAGTATCGATTTTTTTCCAATGCCAAACCAAGTACATTTTCAAAATTTCCTCTTAACTTACACACCATGGGATGAGCGTGGAAATAAGCCAAATTGCAGTGAAAAGGATAAAGTTGAGAAAAGTGGAAGTGAGCGAATCTCCGGCCATCGATGTAGCTAGAATTGTGGTGGTCAAGATGAGACCCGAGGTCAGATTTGTCACCATCTAGAAACAATAGCGTGAGCTCCTCTTAAATAAATAAATATAACTTAAATTAGATAAAGTTGATTCAAAACCAATTGATTAATCATTAATCAATAATCATAGCTTGGTTAGCCAGAGTTCCCAAATTGTTTAGGCGGGAGTGGGACAAATGCGTCCTTTTTTGCGCACCTGGACATTTGCGCACTTTTTTTTTTTGCTAGAAAAGGCCTTAGGAAAGGTCGTAGAGCTTCAAAAAAGTTTTCATAGAAGGGAATCGTATGCGTAGATTCCGAATTTCGACAAATCAGATTTCGTTGACACGTCAAATTTGGACTAAAAGGCAAAAACTACGCAACTTAACGCTTTTCCGCAGTTTTTGCCCTTTAGCCCAAATTTGACGTGTCAGCGAGGTCTGATTTGTCGAAATTCGGAATCTACGCATACGATTCCCTTATATGGAAGTATTTTCGAAATATTTTCGAAGCTCTACGGCCTTGCCTAAGGCCTTTTCCAGCAAAAAAAAGGTGCGCAAATGTCCAGGTGCGCAAAAAAAAAGGTCGCATTTGTCCCACCCCCGTTTAGGCACTCTTTTGTAATTCAAGGTATTCGACCGGATAATTGAATACCTTTTAACTTTTTAAAAGCACTTTCGATATCGTTTTTATTGGGAATTTCTACCTGAATATCTTTGAATCTTTATGCGTGAATGTCTTTGAATTGCTGGAAACATAAAGTTATTCAGCCAATCAACTGTTTATCTTTGGATCTTGGTTAATGCTTGGCTAAATAGTTGTAATTTTAAATGCAAAAGAACTTGTGTCAATGATTAAACGGCAATATTCAACTTCTATTTTTCCTACCTGGATAGCCAATTTCATCTCTTTTCTGATCTGAAGAGCCTTCTCTTTGCTCGTGTTCGAGCGAACTTTCTGTAGACTTCGAAGTCGCCGACGCATCAAGAAAAACACGGATGCATCCAAAAAAGTCTGCAGTGGCACCAAAATATAACAAGCTAGTACCTACAACAATTTGATTTAAGTTTGTCAGTTGAACTGACTTGTGTTATGTAGAAAATCATTGCTCCACACTCGTCATCTTCCACGTCAAAGTAATTCTCCATGTCGGTCACGAAAATACAATGACAACCGGCTAAAAGTACATTGAACTACAGGATTCGAAAAAGTTAGTAGAAAAACAGCTTTTTTGTTTTACTCCTGAAGAGCGTTACGTACGAAATGCAAAAGCGATAGCGTTTGCCAGTGGATAACCGAACATGACCGCGTATTGAAGAGACTTTGTCATCTCGAAAACTTTATAGAAACGCCCATCGAACGACAGAGCACAAAAACGGTTGATTCCAAGGAAAAGCTAAAAATTTTTTCAGCTAGAGAAATCCAAATGAGTCAAACTTTTGGAGGGAAACCGATGGAAATGGCGGTGAAGGCCAACCCTGAGATGATGTTGTCCAGCCAGGGCAGCGATTCGTTGACTCCCCTAAAAGGAACGACAACTGATAATAAAATTGAGCAGTAAAACATTTTCTATGAAAAAAATCCCTCGTGACAAAAGAAAACTGTTCAAAAGTTTGTTCCCTTGGTTTCTCTTTGGCATTAGCCCACTCACTAACCAGATTGCCGAGGGTACTCCCCAAATGATATGACAAGTGTTGATGATGATGTAGTTTGATAAATCAATTAGAGCATAGTGTTCGATAATGCCTTTGAGTTGGATTGCGAGGTTATTTATGCTTCTCACCAACCTTTCAGCATTGAGTTCTTCTTCACGACGAAACATCCAGTTATCCCAAACGAAACGCCGAGAATTCCGAACTAAGAAAGAAACGAACTTTTGCCAATAGTACAAGATCATGTCTTCACAAAACTTCAAATTGACTCACAACAGCCATAAATAAAACATCGAACAGAAGCTCTGAATCACTAGTAGTTGTTGTGCTGACAAACGGAATGGAATCATTTTTGAAATCTGAGAGATTCACCGTCGAATTGTTCATATTTTCGAAAAATCCACCGACGCAAACCAGCCGTATTGTTAATAAAGCAAACTTTTATGTTTGAAAGTACTTTCTTAAATCAGAGTTCGTTGAAACAGAATAAAACGTAAGATTTTTCTCTGAAAAGGAAAGTACATAAACGAAAAATTTGGAAGGTTTCCCCATTTAAACGTAGGAAAACTATTCGGCCGAGCAATTCAATCAGCGAAAACAAAAGCAATTCAATCGAAATTTGTTTCTTCTGAGCTTTGTTACTTTGTTTCGTTGAAATGAAACGGAAACTTGTTGTCTCGGGAAAAAGACAAAATGTAGTCGGCAACGTCTTTAATAGCTGGCAAGTTATTTTAACTTCTGCAAAATTTTACCATTTTCTTTTGCTTTATGAAATGTCTAGTGAAGAGTTCTAAAGGAAAAGAACGATTCAACGATGTTGTTTGAAGTATAACGCGGGTCTATTCTTCGAAACTCTGACTTTTAGCTAGCTGAATAACTTTCCATTTTGAAAGGCGATGCTTTCGTCGTCTTTTATAACATTTATCACCTTTGTTTTGTGTGAAACCTCTGTGAGGTTTACTTTACGACATTTTTGGAAAAATTTATACTACTCCATTTATCTAACGTTATTCTGTTGACGAGTTGCTAGAAAGAGAAAAGTGAAAAGAACCTAATCCAAAATTACTTTATAATATTTATACTTTAAATGCATTTTGTATTGGTAGATTTTTACAACCTGTTTGGAGTTCTTAGAATCTTTTATGGATGATCAAAAGAACTGAATCGATAGTCAATTATTTCAAACCATTCCGAGCCTTGTGAATTCCTTTTTCTAGTCTTGGCCTTTCTAGCCAGACTATTGTCTCATTGAAATCACTCAAAAAGTTAGTCCCTAAATGCTTAATAGAGCCCTTATTGAGTGCAATAGAACCGAAGTTAAAAGTTTCTACCAAAACTTTGTTTTACTGCATAACACGATCCACCAAGATCGGTGAAACCCCGATGTTAGATGTTACCGAAGGTTTCTAAAAGAATTACGGAAATCCACTTAATGGATGTGTTTACCGTAGCAGAACAAGACTCAGTTGATGCTCCGGCTGTTGTTGAAACAATGGAATTTGGCTGTGATCCAGGACATGGCTTGAGTCCACATGAGCCAGCGATTTTATTGCATTTTGTCCAACCATTCGATATATGAATGTTCATATTTATCATTTCTAAGCCCTTCATTTCAAACAACAAGAGAGAATTTCACAAGAATTTCACGTGAAAATTTGTTAAAGGAATCTCGCTGGTCGTTGATGTGTCCGCTTTATGCGGACACCACAGTGGTTGTCGTGGTTTTTTCTCTGATGATTTGACGGTGGCATGGCAAGCAATCCTCAAAATGATTTCTCGGCTTCGTCCAAATGGCTCAGGAATTGGGGATCTGCTTTTCGACGAAGACCTGACTAGCCTTTTTAAACCTACAAAGATGAATTCTCAAAGCCGAAAACGGTTTTATATAGGAATCAATAAAGTCAAAAAGTGTGGACAGAAAGTGAACAGAAAGTGAACACAATGAAAAACCTTCTATTTTCAAACATTTTCTTGCAATAGAAAGCTCAAAAAGCCCAGCTTCAGCAATCTATAAACAAACAAGCGAGAGATCATTTACTAGCAGAAGATCATTCAAAAGACGTGAAATCCCTGGAATCACTTCACACGAACTCCGCACACTCGAATCCGAGACCTTTGTGCTTCCAGCAGTCGGGCGGCCGCCTCTTCGGGATGCGTTCGCTCCCAATGCAGGTGTTTGTCTCTGAAAATTGGTGTGTTAATGCAAATTTGCGTGTTGGCTCATTGCGAAAGCGATTTCATTTCGAAAATTCGATTATGACGTCAATTTCTCGACCAAAGCTACTTTGGTAACAATATGTTCAGAACTGGAATGGTGAAAAGAAGTGAAAGTTAAACCCTCTCAAAGCAATTCGCTAGATCTTGGGAAGATCAGGGCAATTTCTTTAGAGACAAAATGGGAGAAACGTCACTCCTTAGTGGATACTCTAAAGTTCAGGATGTCCCAAAATTATGAGGTCGACTCATTTTACTCCATGCATCCGAGTGGTAAGTATTTAAGCTTTAGGAGGTCATTTTGAAGAAAAATATTGTATTTGCGCCATGTTGGCTATTCCTAAAGAATTTTCCGGAAACCTAGGATCAATTTTAAAGAATGTCGATAAGATTAAGGACCTTTCGTTTGATATTTTTGGGACACCCTGTGTCTGTATTGAACGTTGCTTTCTTTAGACATTCAATGCCAACCGCAGATAAGTGTAGAAGACGTAGAGAATAGCGAAAGTCCAAATAGCCATCACCACGATTAGCACCAAGCCGAGAATGCAGGCTGAATTCATTTTCCTCATCGACAAGGCATTTCGATAGACTCACCAAACAATCCACTCTCCACGACGTTGTTGCGTTTGAAGCTATAAATTATTGAAATTTATTTCAATGGCTTAGCTAGAGGGTGTTTCTTAATGCGTTTTCTAAAAAGTGGCTAATTTGGAAAACTACCGCACTCTTGCAGCTAATTATCAAGCCACCCATTTTATCTTGATCTCATTTTTTTGTTTTTTGATGCTCGAAGAGTGCCAAAATCGAGCAGGCTCGGCGGCAATTAAGCCAAAGAGTTCGGTAGTTTTCAAATTAGTCACATTTTAGAAAACGCATTAATCACGAGGAGCACACTCTAGTCTTAACTCTCCTACTTTTCATGCTGCACAACTTCGACAATCGAGTAGATTTGGCCACCAATCAAGCAAAGATCCAACACAATCTGAAAGCTTTCTTCCTCAAATCTTCGAAAATGAGTTACATAGGCCGGAAAGAGCATCTGGGCGTACGCGGGTTTTTTTGTGAAGATGGCAGCAAATGAGACGATCGCCACCCCAAGACAAAGTGCCTGTTCTATCTGAAAACTATGGGTTAACGTTGAGCCCTTTTACTTACGGCGAAGAGAGGTGAGTCTTTCATGATCTTTTTGGCTGAGTGCCCGGTTGAAATCATTGTGATTACGATCCCGATCGACGACAGCACCCAGAAGGCGGCCAATAGAGTCGAGACACATTTAAAGAGAGTCTAAATGAGATAAATTAGAGGCTGGTTTAAAAATTCAGGTCACACGAAGAAACAAGAGATTTTGTTGAAGAACTATCCAATTTTCTACTATTATGCTTGGGTCGCACACTCTATATGATATACTCAAAAGTTACCATAAGAAAAGAAAATGTGTCTTCTTCTATAAAGCTAATCAAGTGCTTTCAGAATAGAAATAAACTTGTGGTCGTGCATTGATAGTTTGCAAGTTACAGCTTTCAAAAAACCAAGGATTTCGGCCGGCGATGCTATTTTGGCCAGTACTGTAAGAAATATTTCATCTACCATATTCAAATGATTTGACGCAGTGAAAGTCACCGAGAAATTCCTTTCTCGAAACGCTTCTAGCTTTGACAGCCATGTTATCTCCGTTAAATGGTCAAAGTAAAACTCTCACTAACTTATCTTTTCGTCAACAAGACTCACATAGGCATTGAGACGACAACAAGGCGAATTCGCGTAGTCGGCTTGGAATCTCACACAGGGAAACACACGATAATCGTCGACATTTGGCTCATTTCCCGGAATTCCATTCGACTCGTCAACTTTGGGACGCCATATCCAATCGGCCATTATTGGATCTAGCTCAAAAAGCCGTTTTTGAATTGAACAATGGATGAAAGTCAAAAAATGTAAAAGAAATCTTGGATCGATTTCTGAAACTTGGCCCAAAATGCTATTGGCGAAACACTAAACACAGAAAAAGCATTATGAAACGAAAAAGGAACTTCTTTAAACATTTTAAGAAAACAAAATTAACCATAACATATGTGGAATGAAAACAAAAACAGCGGCGATTTTGGGCGAAGTGTTCCCAGAGGGTTTCGCCCAAAAGAAAGCGAACACCCTTTTCTCTTTTCGTTTTCCATTTCTCGTCCCCTTTCCGCGTTTCTTTACTGCCTCATATCGATTTTTCGCTGTTTTCCTAAAAACAAGCACTGATAGCTCTCATAGATCTAGGATGGGATGTATTGCGCAGAATAGAATAAACCTCGCCCAGGAAATAAATTTTTTGGCAATGTTTGGTCTCTAGACTCGAGCCATGTTGTTAAAAATCATCGGAAATGCGTTTCTGAGGGTGATTCGGCCTGATAGTATTCAGTAAAATGCTTCTCGCGCAAAAATATATTTTTTTTGAAAGGGTCTCCATTATCTATTTTTTGGTCTGGCGGTTTAGGGGGTCAGAAAAATTAGAAGCCCATGGGCTTCTATTACAGATTCTACGGTAGGAGATCCCATAGATGTGGTGTTTTGCAGTCAGACAATGCATATATACGACAACGCAATATCTCATTGTGTAGAATTATGTTCATGAGTAAATTTCTCGATTTGCAGCAAACGGTCAGCAATCAATTCGACCAGGCCGGTCTTCTCGATAAATATTGAGGAGAAATAAAAACTTTGTGCTTTATTTTCTTTAGTAAATTTCTTTCTTTTTGCTATAGAAATAAAGCACATTGTTACTATAAATATTTATAATAAATTTATGAAGAAACTAGACTGGGTAAAAACTTTTGGTTTTTCATATCGTTTAGTCTAAGCTACTAGAAACTTGAGATTAGATCTCAGTGAGAGTTGTCGCCACTAAAATTGATGAGCTTCATCCACGGAATGAATTCAAAATTTAGTTCACGTGTATATGCGAGATCCTCACCGACTGAGTCTTTTGTGTCAGACACTTGAGTCTCAAATTCATCAAAAATTTCTCCACAGATTAATTATACAAAAGTACAAAATTAAACCCATAACCCATTGCAATATTTTTTAGTACGACGTTGTTAAACTTGATCAATGCAGGAAGCACGTACGATATGATTGTGCAACAAATCTTCTGGATGAATTTTCTTCGGGGAAAAGGGATTTGGACCAGATAGTTTTCTCAGTTCTCTCATTTGAGCTTTTTGCAATTTCTGTGGACTCACTACTGTCTACTGTAAAGGATTGATGAAAGATCTTTTTTTCATTCGCTAGCTGATGACAAAAATTGATCCAAATTGGCTGAATTCTATTCATACTGACTCAAAAAACTCGATAAGCTACGATAGAAAATAGAAAAAAAAAACATATGGTGGATCAACAGTAAAGCTATTCGAGAAGAATTCGCCCTCTGCTAATACCAATCAACGGTGTTTTGTACGGTGCTTTATGCTTTGAACATTTATTGCAAATTTTTTTTTGTTTACTGGTTTGTTGCCCTAATGCGGTGTGGTCGAGCAGTAGTACGTGAGTTGAACGGTGCAATCGGCTTTTGCCCAATAGGAACCCATTGACTCCAGGTAGAAACAGTCGCCCGATCCTGCGAGACTTCAATAAGATATTCATTCGAAAAACATAGACTATTTATTTGCGGCCCTTCCAGAAAACAGCTTATTCTGTTTTGAAGTCTCTTTCTAATGGTTTTCAAGTCATTCACCAAAATTGTTTGCTTATTTATATTTCTGTGGTCCTTCTATGTTTTTATGGCATCAGTTATCCCACTAACGAGCCAAAAGGGGCAAAAGTCGAATCGAGTAGAGTGACGAGTAATGTAGCTCTAAAACGTGGATAGTTTTAAAAACTACCGTAATCTTAAGCTCAACTGTTGCCAAACCTATTCATTTCTGACATCATTCGATTCATCTCGCGAATTTTCACAAAATGCGCCAAAGCTCAAATGGTTTGCTGACAATATAGAGACACGATTACGGTAGTTAGTTTTTAAAGGTTAGTTTTTAAAATTATCCACGTTTTAGAGCGCCACTACTCAAGATTACGCCACTTTTGCCGATGTATGCCACTCACCGACTGCTCGAAAATTCTGATAATCCAATGGTGTTCCATCGGTCCACGCGTAGTCTCCCTTTGCATCCTTTTGCAGGCCCAGCCAGCTTCGATGATCGCCGCTCAGCGCTGAAGTGTTGTTTTTTGTTTCGTTTTCATCAAAATTCAAATGATAGTGTTAGCCCATGTAATTCAAAAATCTTTGGACGATATCAGTATATGAGCAAACTCACCGAAGACAAGACGGGCGAACTGCGCGTTGGTGTCATCATCGTGAATCGAGAGTAGGCTCGATTGATGTTGCGAGCAGAAAAGATTCGCCTGAGCCCACGTACCTGAACGACTCATTTTCTTAACCCAGAAGCAAATTGTTGATCCCAATGATTTGTTAGCCACCAAAAGCGGTCAACTGAAGCCAAGATTGTCTGTCTTCTTGTACTTTGGCTTAGACTTGACTGCTTAAGATAAAAATACGGCTTTGGCCGACAGAGTTCCTTGTTATTATTTGTTTTTGGTCGTTTTGGTTCAAACTTTAGTGCAAAATATTGGAAATGACACCATTTTTGACTATTTCATAATATTTGGATCTTCGCTTTGGTTTCAATCGAAAATTTTGTTTTCGGTTTTAGATATTCGTTACCAAAAAACATATCTGCTCATCCCACAAATACTTACCGTATTGTGTCGAAGAGCTCAAACAAGTATCCAAGGCGACAGTGTAAGTGAAGCCTGATGGGCAAGAGGCTTGTGGAGCAGCGAGAGCCGCCGACCCGAAAAAAGCGAAAAGAAGAGCAGAAGAAAAGCCCATTTCGGTGTGTTTCGATCAGTTTTTTCTGTTTCCTTTTAAGGTAAAACCTTATCTTTTTTCGCATTTCAACCGCACATTTTATGTCCTCGTCTCTAGATCAGTCAACGCCCTCATTCCTTGTGATTCACGTTTGCGTAGAGTATCTTTTAGGGTTCACCCTTGACCTTTTCGAAAGAGTTTCCTCTGGTTAGTGATTCCGAATCTGTGGATCGATTTCTCAAGATTTGAACAAAACCCATGCAGGAAGGCGTAACAGGCTGCAATTAGAAAGTAAACTTTTACCAAAAGCATATATTTAACAGAACAAACGGGACCAAAGCACAAATTATTTCACAAAGAAAGAACTAATTAGCATACGTAAAATCTCTAATAGTATGACATGTCATTCTATTGTTCAATATCCCCAAAAAGTCTCATTCTATTTGGGAGTGTTATCTACTAGAGAATTTATGGTAGGCGTTTTGAAGACCCCGCTTCGAGTTGAATCATTCAAATCAGTTTGACATTACACATTTCTTGCCGACGGCTAGTTCAATTGCCTTTAAGCTTCTCGACTCAGACTCAGATCACCATTCTAAATCTTTTTTCAAGATCAAATAATTCATTTCGAACTCTAATTCCAAGGTCAAGGTGTGGTCTCTGGTAGACCTGTTTTTAGACGTGGTTTTCTATCGACTCGAATCAACTCAATTCTATCCAATTCGAAGGAATAGATCTAGTTTCTGGAGTTTCTCGAGTGCACACATTTCAGGCGACTCAAATTTGGGGAATTTGTGCTGTCGGAGTTTTTGTGTTCACTTCCGGAGATAAGAACCACAATAGATTTATTTCACCGAATGGAAATTCGGGTCGAGTGGAATCCCGTAGTTTTTTCCAATTCTTTAAAAGATTTATTGTTCGTCTCAAAGAAATTGGAAGTGATGTTGACGCGTCGTTCGATTTCCCATTCATCCACTGCACAACGGATAGTAGACTCCACCGTAGGCGCCGCTACGCGTGTAGTCGATATCATCACCGTGCTAGGATTTCTGTGGTGAACCGAAGGGAAACTCATCCCACAAAAAAATATTGGTCGACAATCATATTTGACAAATATTGGCCAAAATCGACAACCATAACCACTTTGCACCCCCGTAAAAGTTTTAACGTAAGCAACTGCACCCTTTGCATCCCACTGGCTACGGGCTTGAAAGAGATCAGCATTGCAAGCACCATATGTTTGAAAAGAACAAACGGTCTTCTAAAGTAGTAAAATAATCGATGCTATTTGCGATACAATTCTACAAATGTATTTCACTGGCTAGACAATGGTCCCAACATAAGGGAGAAATTCCAAATAGAACAGACATTTTTTTCATTAAAAGCACCTTTTGCGCTGATTCTGAAACTGCTTCCAAATTTGTAAAGCAAAGAACTGTCAGGAAAACACTAAAGTCTTTTTTCTCAAAACTTACTCTATGTGAGGTCAAACCGGAGAAGAAAGTGAGAAATTGATGAGAAAAGTGAGGAAAAAGAGAAGAGGCTATCGGGAAACAATAACAGGAGGAAAAACGTGAAAAGATGAACACCCTTTTCCACTAATTGAATACGTGCAAAAAAAACTGTTGGATATAGGGGAAAACCTCAAAGGAAATGAGAAGAGATGATTATCTGAGCCAAAAATTTCGGTATAAAATAGTTGACACGCTTCACGTTTCATTCATTCATTCACTTCTTCTTCAGCAATTCTCAGGTTTGCCTTTTAATTGTATTAAATTTTACAGAATTTATACAAAATTAAAGTCTAGATAAAAAGAAAAGAACAGAATATCTTTATTTCGTAAGAGAGTGAAATAATGGTCTACTCCACAAGAATCAGATCGGTCAAACCATTTATCGGGCTGCTTGTTTTTTCCCAAAGATCTTCAATATTTATTTACAGACTATAGCAATGAACTTCTCGACGAAAATCTTCCTTCTCGCTCTTATCTCCGTCACCACATCTTGTTTTTGCCCTCCACCCCCATGCCCTCCCCCTTGCCCTCCACCTTGCCCTCCACCTTGTCCTCCACCCTGTCCACCACCTAGCTGTGGTTTGTTTATCGTTTTGTTAAAATAATACAATTTGAACTAGAGTCTGTTCTTCTCAAATCATTGTTAAAATATCAGATCAGACATTCCGCCCTTTCCCTCTTTGCTTTCAAAATATTCAAACAACCATTAGCTGAATATCTTGAAATCAAAAAGAAAAGAGTGCGTTTTAGAACACCTTAGTTAGTATTTATTTGTCGTTGATTTGAACACACTTAAAGTAGCTATTGTAATCTTACAGCTTCCAGAGTTAGAGGTTACAGCTTATTTTATAACTTGCAGAACTTGCTAGTCAAATCTTTCATAGTTTTCTCGATGTATTTATAATACCAGGAGTAGAAATAAATGTATTTTTACAGCAGTACTTAAAAAGATCTATTTTTTTCCAGGTTGTGGTGGTGGCGCTCCAGCTCTTCCTTCCTTCTCGTTGCCTTCCTTCTCGATGCCATCTTTCTCGATGCCTTCTTTGGGCGGTGGCTGTGGCGGAGGCTGTGGAGGAAAATAAGCAGAGCAGAACTTGTGTCTAATTTTACTCTAGTAATAGTGAATAAATTAAATCTTGTGATTTGAAAACATTCATATCGTATAGTATTACACAACCATAACGCTAAAGCGGCCAGTTCAAAGTAGAACTGTGCATCGGTTTTCGGCACAACCTTAAAGTTGAATTTTCAAGAAAAACATCAAAATTTTTTCAGAAAAGCCTAAAAGTTTCTCGATCTAACAATGAATGTGAGCCTAAGAAACTTTAAGCTACAAAAGTGGATACAACGATCTGAATCTAAACGCTTGTCGGGCCTTTGTTGGTATTGCAATTTAGTCTCCCTTTTTGTAATTTTGTTCAAATTTCCATTGTCAGAAATAATTTATAAATCGACCCCCTTGAAACCAACATCGTTCAACATGACTGTTTTATTTTCAATAACGAAATTTCTCACACTCATCGTAATCATTTCTTTTTTATCAAATTTCTCACTCCAAATTCTCATTACTCATAATGAGATTCAAATCAAAATCAATGTCCACCAATTGTGAGTTCCTTTCTTGACACGTCGTTTCAGATCTTCTAAAGTTAAACATCACTATTTTAAGCAGAAACTCATCAAATTCTATCCTAGTAACATCGAAAATCTAAAAGAGTGGCTGTTGGCTCCAGTTTTTCAAAATGGTATTTCTCTTTCGATTACCTCTTTTCATCTATATCACTTTCAGCACATGGCTTAAATTTAACGTGTGTAAGCATTCACTTCCAACAAAATATTGTACGATATTGGTTGGGAAGTGTGTTTTTGCCAAAATATAAGTGCTTTTGTGGGCCAGGTTGGTGGTCATTGGTTGATTCAGCCAAGTTGCAGCCACAAAATGAATTTGATCAGTTGGTAGTGATTAACAAATTGTGCCAATCAAAGGATTTAGGTGTTGTCAAGTGCACGACAATTGCCATGATGAAGTGGAGAAGTTGGTGAGTAAAGTGGATTCACATTCAAGTAGCTGTACTTGAACAAGACCTTCACAACTGGTAGACTTATAGGTTTTTTGATAGTTCTATCAGGTTTGTAAATCGCCGACAAAATTTCATCAAACCCACAATTTTCTCAATGCCATCGACGATGTCGGCTCGATGAGAAACAGTTTGAGCATTTCAAAAGAAAATCACAATTGAGTTGAAGTATTTTTTGTTGCTACATTCCAATAAAACATTTTGCTCACAATTCAACGGCAACAAACTTTATATATTTTTTATATCAATTTCGAAATAGTAAAACTATTTCAGAACACAAAGTCCAGTGGCCTTGTTGCATGGAGCGGTGGATGGACACGAGGAGCAAACCGGAGTACCGGCTGGGTAGAAAGCCGAACCAACAGTCAATCCTCTGAAGTGGTAAAATCTCAGCCAGTAAAAATAACATATTCAACAACCTTCTTGTCAAAATCAGGTAATTTTTGTAAGTTTAACGAGTTTTGCCAGCTAAGAACTGTTCTTAAGGGCTAAATTGTTGTCTGTTTCAACGATTAATTTATTTAGAACATCTTACATTTTTGAAAGTTATAAAATATAGCTTACTTGGCTCTCCTTAGCGTAAAAGAAATTTGTTTATTTGATTTTGTGATTAGAGGCACAAAGCATTATCTGGTCCCATTCAAAGACCTAGATTGTTTTGCACAAATTGATAGCAAAATCACACAGAAACCTTATCTCTAAGAAGAGTTATGTGTTTTTAAAACTGGCTAAACTCTCAAAAATCACTTAAACCAAAGCCATAAGCCTCACTTCGGCCAGGTGTAACAGAGAATCCCCCAATAACCAGTGTCATTTCGATAGGCGCATCCAATCTTTCGAGCACTCCCAGCCAAATACTATAGCTTTTTAAGCAAACTTTAAATAAAATTAGCTACCGTATAGAGAATATCCTCGTAAACTTGAGTGCCATTCTTCGGGTCGGCCATCGCGTGATAGGCCATTTTCAGCACCCCAAAGCAGCCGTACCACGTGAACCAGGCTGCGTTGACTAAAACTTTATATTTCAATGAGAAACACCGTTACATATTAGTATTTATCTAACAACTAACAATCAGCCACAATACCTTTATGTTTTTAAAACTTCAAATTCACTCACTCATTTGCTGCAGCGTGCCCTCGCTGTCTCGTCGTGGGATCCATTCATCAACATTGGTATTGTAGCCAAAATTACCGACACTTGCGTTTAGAGCATAATTCCCAGTAGGGTCTGGAAAGTATTTCGCTGAGGCGAGTTTTTTACCAGCCGATAAAGCCAGACCGGCGTCCCATTTCTGAAAACTCCACTTGAAGAGTTAGGAAGTTTAGTGAAAGAATTATTAATTCCCAACCAGCTGATAGGTGGCTTTCGATGCCGGCCAGTAAATCGTCTCGTTTGGCTTATCTTCCACCCGAAATCAGAGATTTACTTTTTTTGCTTTTCTTTTTGTCATACCGGATAAGGATAACCATTTGTTGCCCAATGCCAGCTACAGTTGTCCCACGTTAATTCCCCGAGAGCCATTTGTGAGCGAACTGAGTTGAATTTCTAGAAAAATCATTGTCCAGAGGTTGATAACATCATTTTCAAAATGTGAATAGAGCTAAAAGCTAAAGAAACACTTCACCTTTCTTACAAAGGGTCAACTCACACTCAGAAAATAGGTTTGATCGGCCGCTGGGAAGAGCTTGTAATCGGGTACAGGTAGAGGCTCTGAAACTTGTTTCAAGTTTTCAAACGGTAGAAATTTCGTTAGTTTAGAAGAAAGGTGGAAGGTAGAAGTTTTGCAATGTTTGTTGTGATCATCTAGATCCAGACAATGACTAACCACCGCAAAGTCCAGTTGCTTTCACACACGGTGCCGCGACTGGTGGACACATCGCACAGGTTTTTGCGCCTTGTGCATAGGCTTTCACTCCAGCCGTGTTGCCCCTAAAGAAAAGTTGCTGAAACCACTTTTTTTGAGCTCACTCTGGCGTGTAGCGACAAATAACAAGCATCACGGTATCGGCTCCATTTTGACAATTCGCCCACGCACACCCAACCGAGTGCGATTTGGCCCAAGCCATCTGAACTTCGGGGAAAGTTTGTTTCTTTTCGATTTTATCTCACCTGAGTCGCCTGTTTTGTGTTTACTGTCATCACGTAACCAGAAGGACCAAAAGCGTGAAATTCGTTGGTCCACGCTGCGCAAGCCTTAGTGCCTGAAAATGGGAGTGAAACAGTGAACCGTTGGTTTTGAATTAAAGATGAAGGCAACAATTGACACCTACCACATCCCGTCCTAGAAACGTTGATTCCTTTATAGAAGTTCTGTCCTTTGTAGGTTGTGGGAGTCATTGGACAAAGAACCAAGGCATCAAAGGCTTCATCCGCCGCGTTAAAATCCCATTTCTGGAATCAATTTCTCTGAGGGACTTAATTATCCAATTTAAAAGCATTCAATTCAACAGTGACTCAACAAAGGGCTCACCAATTGATACATATTTGTGGCCTTGGCGAACTTGACCCCAGCCGCTGACTTGTATGTGCCCAAGGCCAATTTCGAGCGGAAAGCGTTGTGAGCCTGAGACAGTTTTCTTTTGCAAAATAAGCTTTAGGTATCTAAGCTTTTATGCTGAACCAGCCGGATAGAGAGCTTGCAAATTTTGAATCGGGTTAGATAAAAGCTCTTCACAATTTTGATCTAGTAGTATTTCAGATATAATAGAGTTAACGATGATTGAGGGAAATAATTGTGCGTGAGGACCGGACAGCGTCTGACAGTTTCAGAAGAAGCCTACGCGAGCTGAATCTACTTGGAGAACACATCAGTTACCAATTTGAACCCACTTGAAGAATGGCTGTCTGCTCGGCTGATGTGAAGTGGCCCCATTCAATTCGAGTGGCTGTTGAGTAAGCTAAACAGCCTTTCCGATCAATTTAAAATAATGCTTGAAGCCAAAATTGGGATTGATTTCCTCTCAAAAACCGATTTGTTTTTGGTTCCGGGCTGAAACCATACTTTCCGTCGAGATGCCAATCTTCTATTTAAATCCAAAAAAACTTTTTTTTCTTTTTTTAAATATAACAAAGCGATTTTCGTCTATCCTCTCAAATTTATTAAGTTCGATCAAAAAATCTCAAACCTTTTACGAAGCATGCAAATAAAAATAAAACAGTCAACATCCTCGTAACTTTGGCGCGAAATGCAGATTTTCCAAACTATTTCCGATGATTTATGTTGACCGTTTTATATAGCTTTCAAACAAAAGAACCCTCTGTTCTCGTATTCACCAAAGTATCACAAAACTATCGACCGTTAATATGTTTTTGCGTTCACATAAAAGAGTTCAACGCCAAAAATTCACTTGAAATATTTTCTGCACAAACTCAGAAAAACCCTCAACAATAGAAGGACACGCTTGGCGTTGGTCTCTTTCAATAAAACATGTCAAAAATGTTATCTGATCTTTGCTTGCATTCCACATTGTATCAATCCAGGTTAAAATGACAGAATGCCGAGTTTTTAGCAATGATTTCCTTCAACACTTTGAGAAGACAGTTTTTCCATAAATCAGCCGCGAAGCAGCTTGGTTGGCTTTTGAACGGAGGCACTCAAGAAGATATTCAAAGATGATTCCACATAATTCAAGTTGAACTAGCTAAAAATCGGGTAAAGTGTTTGATCTGGATGTGGGAGCTTTGTACTAACGATACCTCGGCGGATCAATATGCTCCACACAACGACCCCTTTTGTTGAACATTGAAATTTTTCGAGTAAATGGCCCTTGTCTGTATCAGGGTATCGAGTTCAGAGTCTCTGAGACTACTGTAAAATTGATCATCGATTTAAGCATTGATGAGATTCCGATGAATATCTCTCCAAACACATTTTGGAGCCTATTGAACCGAATGACTTCTCTGGCAAGATCGGAGCTCCAATTAAGAACCAGGTTTAATTGTTTGAGCAAATATATTGAAAATGGCACTTTTTTCCCTAAACTCACAACTTTATCAAGTTTTCGCTTTGATATTACAACCCAGCTGGCCGATGCTCTTTTTGCAGTTTTCCGTGTCAAATTTGATGACTATTTCCAGGTGAACTTTAATATTGGGTTGGGGAGAATTCCCCGAAAATGAAAGAATCTAAAACTATAGCAGCGCAAATGAAGCGTTGTATCAGTAGAGGTTAACTAATCCTACAATGCATTAAGGACCAAACGCGCCGCTCACAGAGCCATTTTTCACATCGTCTGTCATCTAGGTAACGGTTGGGGGTCTTCCTGTTTGTAACTTGTATTGTGTGCATCTTTTTTATAAACCCAAAGGGGTTTTGTGGGACTGTTCAGCTGGTCGGCTTTTGTCTTTTGTTGCTGTGTTTGGTCCATAAATCCCAAAGGAAGCTTTGTGGCCTCGCCATTTGTAAAGATGTCGACCATTTGTGAACAAAAGTGTATTACAGGTTTTTGGGTGCAAGTTTCTTATTTCGGCGCCGCCTCCCCCACCTGATACGATGAACCAGATGGGGCCATTTGCGAGATTGTGAGAACCAGTTTTGCGAGAGATTATCTCTAAACATATCTCTAAACTAAACAACTATCAAGAACTGTAAAATGCTCAGCTGGAGTGATTTGGCCGTTTCTTGGGAACAGATTTCCAGCCGTGACTCGAAATTGTTGATCATTCGAGAGAAGAATGCGGAAAGAATCAATTATAACGTTAACGTATCCTCCTTACTGGAGTGAAAAGGTTCCTGGTTCAGAATTTTCGACGGTAAAATCCTTGGTTCAAAAGGTTCCTGAGATGGAAGGCATAAGCGAGGAGTCAGAACCCTCATTTTTTGAAAAACTTATTGAATAAGCACAAAGATCAAATTTATGTAGCAGGAAATATTGCTCTTGGAGAGCAAAAAGCCTATTTCAAGAAAAATGCCTCTGAATATCGAGAGGCCATCTATTTGTTAGCCTTTGAGCAAAATAAAGAATTAATTTTTGTGATAAAGTATGGTGTCAAGAATTTATGAAGTCTATAAACTTTTAGGGGTCAATATTTTCATTTTTTCACTGCTTGCCTAGATCGTCCTTCTCGTTCGTCTCTCCTTGTCCATGTGCCATTCCTTTTATGACAGTTTTCCGGCTATAATGTCTGTCAAACAGATCCGTTATCTCTTCACCGATTTAATTTTTGTCGCTTTGAATTTGTCACAGAAATAAAGTTGCATAGTGAATTTAGAGCAAAATATTTCACAAAAAAATCATCAGACCATACACATCTTTACTGCATCATTTCTAAGTAAAATCAAATAAAATTTTACGTACAGTATACTTGTAAAGAAACATATGCAACTTCTACATCCATTACATTCATGTCTCAAGGCGAAAATTCCCCATCGTCCACCATTACTTTTTCGGGGCAATTCCTTCGAGTCACTATGAGTGATGGGTGCATCGTTCTTTGTGGCACTCTTTGTGCCGACCACAACCTCCAGGAATCGCCAGGATCAATCTAAATAATAATCGTTTACGTAGTCTACATCTTTCTTTTGAGCTACAGTTTGACATCAACCATCAATTCCACTTAAGCAAAGCCCCAGCCAGTCTAGCTTACAACAAAAACAGTCCTAAAAATAAATAAAAAACTAGTAAAAGAAAAAGCTCACGTTTGTCCGCATTCGATCATTGTAGAAACGCGTACATAAGTGCCTCTGGTAAGAAAATTTCTCTCATTAATTGATTATTATGTCGAAATTCATTAAAAGCCTTGAGCAAAATTAATTAAAGGCGTGGAAAATAAAGACTTTTAGGAAAAAACAGAAGTGACTTTTATCGCGCAACCATTTCCACTCCCGTCTACCACGAAAATCGATATTGCCGATACAAGAACACTTTTACATGAAAGTTGCACCAAGTGAGGCGTTCTTTTTTTTGCTGCAAATTTTGATGCAATTTCCCAGGTCTTTCTAAAAAATAAAAGAAGGATCGAATGGGTTTTTGAGTTTCATCTTGGGAAACAGGCAGGAAAAGAAGTGAAATTTGAAAGAAAATTGGAAAATTGCTAAATTCTCAAAAAATTTCGAAGAAAGACCGCCTCGTGGTGTCAAATTTCACCTCTTGAATTGGCTAGAGGTGGGTGGGTGAGTGAGGTCCTTACGGAACAGATCAAATAATGATCCATTTCAGGGTTTTCAGCTAACCGACGTAAGTCCTAGTAAAAGAACATTAACGTTTTATTTACTGAAATGTCTCCGTGCTTTTCTGAGCTGAGAAGCTGACTGGGTGAGTTGAGAAGAAGGCAACCAACAAATTGGATTGCAAAAAACCCAATTGGTACTTTGTGGTTGGGGTTAAAACAAATATATGCTTGCTCTTATAATTGGCAAGCCTTCATCGATTGACCAATTTTCCTGTGGGTTGGAAACCCAATCTCAACTCGCTTTCAATCATGTGGCAAACTATTTCAAAATCCCAAATCCAAAATCACACAAACAGAATCCAAATTGTTCGCTTTGTGAAGCGAACAGGCGCTCCATTATGAAAACGGGCAGCAATAAGCGGGCCGATCTATTTTTCGTGTTTATCCACACATCTACGATGCTTTTTGCATCGCCGATGAACTTCGATCCCAAATCGAAAGAGATAAAATAGGCGAGCCGCTCGTTTTGCGAGCCACATTCATTTGGAATGGCAACCACTCTCATTTGTGCTTTTCTGTTTTGTGCAGGTTACGAGTTGTTTTGTAAATTTCTAAAAATATCAAAAGAGTGCATGTTTTCAGTGCATTTTAATGTAATTAATCAGCTTTTTGGCTTGTTTACTTAAGATTCGAGCATAGGAAAATGATATCTTTAGTATCATTTTATCGTACAAAAACGCGCCAAGAGAGTTTATTTGTAATTTGTAGTAAATGTAATTTGAAGAGAGCAGATTTTCAAACGAATAACATAAGTTGCTTTCAGTGCCATCGGTGTTGGCAATCGGTGATTTGTGGCCCGACTGCTGGCCGGTGCCCTGTTGTACCTCGTGCAATCCAGCAAACAGTTCGTTTGTTGCTTTAACATAGCCACGTTTGAGCCAATTCTTTGAAGAGCAAAGCCATATAAACGCAGTTTCAGCTTCACAAGCCTACTACGACTACGCGGCCGACCAGGAGTATTATGGGTATCTAGCCGAAACGCCGTCGACCGGTGAGTCGTGTATTGCAAGTCTACTATATAGGTTATTATCATCTAGACAGCTTCCTGGTTTCAATGTAATCTTCGTTTAGGCGTTTGGTCTAATTGGGTCGATTACACGGCGTGTACGAAAACGTGTGGACTGTTCGGGCGAAAAGTGCAGCGGAGAAACTGTACGTCGTGGTCGTTCGGTTGTCCATGCACGTGAGTCGTTGTCTGTCTTCAAATAAGTAGTTGCTTGAAACTTTTTTCTACTAGGATTTTGTTGCAGTGGGGCCTATTCGCGACTCGTCCCTTGCCCTACAACCCCCTGCCCGTGCCCGAAAAACCCGTGTACCAACATTTCGTGCGCCTCACCATACAAGAAAGTTTTTCAAAAAACAAGCCAATAACCTATATTGATATATTGAGTACTTATCGCACTGGACAGCTCCCGCGTCGTATCAGTGCGGAAATGTGACTCGAGCCGATGATTTTAATAGTACTGGCTATTGTGAAGGGCTAATGTTTGGTAGCATAATGCGTTCAACAAACAAATTGAATAATTTCTAGGCAACGTTGAGTGTAACCCTTGTCCACCAGGAGGTTCATTGATTCTTTCAGCGTTTCAAAAGTAAAAAATCAGGAGTATGGAGCGCCTGGTCAAACGTCGGCCCATGCTCGGCCACCTGTGGTCTTCACGGCAAAGTGAATCAAACAAGAAGTTGTGACTCGGCAGGGTATGGATGTGCTTGCACGTGAGTCATTGCAAATTTGTTAGCTAGAATTCTTGGCTAGCTTTGGTGAGCGCGACTCGTTTAGCGGCCCAACAACTCGGCAGTACCTTTGCCCGAAAAACCTATGCCCAAAGGTTCCACACTGTGCGCCGGGAAATGTGGTGGTAAGTGAAAAATAATGTTATCAAGTGTTATTGCGGCTAGCTTTGTGTAATAGCATCACTAATTGTTTCTGGAATTCAGGTGAAAAACCTTGTGACCAAGGCAAACCAGTGTGGGCTGCAATTGGCACCCGATCAAGTGCTTCATCCACCATGTGGCAGTTACACAACGGTTCATTTCTTTTAGCAGAAAACTAAGCATATGAAAGAGTTTAGAGAACAAATAGACAAAGCATACGGGAAAATTTAGACGACACCGAAGGCGACGACAACCACGACGACCCCAGCAACGGGATAAGCGACCCAAAGCTATACGCGTTAATCACCAAAATTGTTTTCACTTTTACTTGGCATTTGCAATTACCTACTAGTCTTTGTTGTAAGCGTCGATCAATTCTATTACACAGTAGAACACTTATTCTACAGTCTAAAGCTGAAGACATTTCCATTGTTCGCATGCGTGTTTGATCTTGAAATTCAAACGAACAAAAAATGTATAAGGCTCTATTGGAATAGCAAATGGTACACGGCTGTGGTGGCAGTACATAGTATTACGTCTAGAGATTATTACTGGCTTTTCGCACTTCTGCACAATAGTGCTCTCGAAAGTTGTCACTTGTCGTGGTCACTGTCACAAGACTCGAGTTGTTTTGAAGATCGTCCTTCTCACCTTTGGCTTCCTGAGACAAATCAACGAGATCACCCTGAATTGGTTCATCTTCAGCAGTTTGTACGATGGGCTCAAGACGTCAAAATCAAAGCTGGCCACTAATTTTCTTCCTTTGTTTCACCAACACATCAAATTTGTTTTCTCATTTCCGTGTGACCACAAAGTTGATCGAATTTTAACGAGGTTTGCTCTGGCAACTTACGGTATTATCACACTTTAGCAGAAGTATTCGAAAGGCAACTCATAAGTCACGAATAAAATCCCACATTCGACCCGAAAAAATGCTTGATAACGAGTTTGAACATGAAATAGAAGATTGTGTGAATGAGACTCAATGCTGAACTGGCCATCATCTAGAAATTGGAAAAATTGTTTAACAAGCTACTATTAAAGCGAAATATTATGATTTATCGTACTTGAATCATCAACAGTGTTTCCGTAAGAACCGCCTTGCCACTTTTCTTCAACTGAAAAGAATTTGGTTGAACTGGTTACTTCATGAACATTTTTGTTTGTGACCGTTAGCTTTTCAATAGAACGCAACGTGACTCAAAGCTTGCAAATTTTTGGAGAACTTAACTGGAGAACCTACTTCGTCCTTTGTCCGTTTTCCCCCCAAATAAAATATTTGAATAGTTTTTGGATGGAAGATGTTGGGGAGATTCCAAGTATTATTTTGGTGTCGTCTACGTCTCGATCGGTTGCGTTTCGGGTGATGTACAAGCTTGTAAACACATTACAGCCACACAGGACCTCATTTTACACGGGAAAATCAGTTTTTTTCGTAGTATTGACTTTGCAAAGTGTTTTCACAATGTTTTACCGGTCCGATCAAGACGTATGCAACATCACCAAAATAATTCTTGGAATCTCCCCAACATCTTCCATCCAGAAACTCTTTCAAATATTTTATTTGAAAAACAGATTGGAAAGATTAATAGATTGGAACGTACTGGCATTCTAAAAAATAAGGCGCTCTGGGTGCCTTTTACTTTCTCAACTGGGGGGTGTATCCAAACTTTTGGGCCCTATTTTACGAGAAAAGCGAAGTTTATTCAAAATTTTATCCCACGCTTTGCTTAGTGTTCCCTCAAAGAACCCGAAAATCTGTTGATTCTGTTCGGAACTTTCAGCGATTCCCTTAAAATTGTGTTTTTCAATAAGAGCCAGTAATTCTTTTGGGGTTTCTTCGCGTTCCGTGAATTCATTCCTGAAAACCGCCACCAGTTTTCGATATTTTGTCGGCATTCCTTTTTCGCAAAGACTTTCGAAAAGCAGCAAAAACTCGTTTTCCCTCGGCATCAGCCCGACAAAAATACGGGGATTGGGCACTCGGAATGACTCAAAACAACGAATCCATTGCGATCAGAATGAATGCGGCGTTGGTGTTAAGAGTGATCTCGTGGAAACCTTTCCGAAACGGCCCACAGATTAGCGTCGCCTCTCGTAATTTTTGTTGACGTGCAAGAAATTGAGCGATTCTTCGACGTCCGCTCATTTGATGATTGAGTTTCGAAGTTCTTGTGACAGTGAGTTGATCGGAAACATCTTTTCGAATTGGAATAGTTGGAAAAATCGATTTCAAAAGAACGAAGTGGTAGCAGAGAATTAAAAAATTGCTGAGGGAAGCGTTTTTTGCCGCGTGAAAAGGGCTCTTTGCGTCTTTTGGTCTCCGCTGAGCCGTTGAGCAAACCAAAGCAGATCACCAAACGGCTCACTGCATTCTTGTCTCTGCATTCAACAATTTGGCTGGACTGCACAAAAGTGCATCTGTGTTGAGAGTTTTGACAGTAAACGAATAAAACTCCGGCTTTGCCGGCGATTGAGAGTTTATCCAAAAGCAAATTCAATGTTAACGCAACATCAACAGCAACATTCACAAAGGTTAAAACAAAAAAACCAGCCACAGATAACAAATATCATGAGTGTTTGGTTCAATTTATACGGAAAAGCCTATGTGTCCAAGAGTACCAGCCTCTTGTTTCCAGTTGTCCAGCTTTGATAAGCAAAAAGTTCAAAACTCATCTCTTTCCCTTGAGAATCAGTATGCCAAAGAGATTTTTGCAATTATTTGCAACATTGAGCGAAAAAAAGAGATCAAGGGTACAATTTAGAAAGAAAAACCCACTCTATATGAAAGAGCTTCGAGTTTTTGTGGTCTCAATTAAGACGACATTCTCGTTGAAAGAGAAAGCATTGGGCCCAAAAATTGAGCTCTCTCCATTTAAAGAGTTCATTTTGCCTCGAAGCTCTTTTACTAAATTTTGCTCATCTGTTTTCGAAATGGGTCCATTTTGGGTAAATTATCCTGAAGTGCTGAAAGTGACTGCGATTGGATCGGCGCTAGCGGGTGAGGAAAAAGAGTTTACCTAGCTAAAAATAAGCGAAGTGCAGTTGCACTCTGTGTACTTGGAACAATCTACACAAATGTGCAACTGGGGTCGACGGATCCGAATGCTCCCAGTGTGGCCAATGTCAGCTTGGAGTTGTTGTTGCAGCTTGTCTGGTGGGCGAGCGCCTTGCTTGTACCGGTGAGAGAGAGGCAAAGAAATCGCTAGCAACGAGAAAAGATTCAGATCCATTTTATTGCCCTTTTCACAAATTTGGCCGCCATTTACTATTCGGCGATGAACGATCAATTGTCGCTCGCTGTCCGGTGGGCCTAGCAAATAATTTTGTATTTTTCTTTTTTTCTAGGCTCCTTGCCACCGGTGAGAGCGTGAATCGGCTTTTGATTTGTGCCAATGAACTTGTGATAAATTTTTGTAATCTTTTTCAAGCTTGGTGAGTACCCTCAAAGCAACACAAAAAGGCGTTTGGACTGAAAGTTTGAGAGACATGATCAAATCAGATCAAATCATTTTAACTCTATCATCTTTCAAAAGATGTTGATAAGCCATTGATTTAAAGTTTCATGGTTTTATTTCATAAGCTCGATTTGAAGTCACCGATTCTCCTCCTATTGGCCTAATTCACTACTGTAAAAAGATCAATGTAAATTACAATTACAATAAATTACAATACAATGTATGCCCAATTCGATTCAGGTGTCCACCCGATGACACATTCGATGCTTTTCAAACATACATCCCCGATCTCTTACCGGTCACCATCTATTGTCAAGCCCTCATTTCGGCAAGGTTTTCAAGTAGACAATTTCTCAAGTATACCATATTGTATATTAGTCGTTTCTTTGCCGTCTCTTTCAATGGCACTTTCTTCATGTACACAACGAAATGGCCATTCGGACAATTGATCTTTGGCTATGTACTAGGAGGGATCGGGTCACTTTGCTCGATTTGTGCCGATCATTTGTTCTACGAACACCCAAATCTAGCGTTAACGATAAGAGCAATCAAGACAATGTTTCCAATGGCCATCGTTTGCTTTATGATCACTTTGGATGGGTTCACTTTTCGAAAAGTTTGCCTTTTCCAAGTAATGTGCGAAGATTTTCGATGCTATGTTTTTGATTTAGCGGCAGGAAGGGAAAAAAGCGGCACGAGTCGATAGACGATTAGCAAAACAGGTGATCTGCAGCTCGAGCGTCTACTTTATTTATTACTTGCTCACGCCGTTGTTTTACATTTCATTTTGTCGGCTATTCGGGATGTATTTACTGGAAGGTCTCATGCAAATCGTTTCCATCATCCAATGGACATTGCTTACATTGGGCCTCAGGTGTTTTTGGGTTTTTTTACTAATTTCCAACCTTTCAGCTGTGCCAATGTGCTTCTCTTGAGGAAGGTCAAAGTCTCGATGACTCAACAGAGCACAGTGGGCAAACGGTTGATCGAAGAAGCACCACACATACTGCAGTTTCGCCCATGATACCGAAAAGTAAATGAAAACTATACATGTTCAACTCCTTTTTTATCAGATAAACTTTTTCAAACATCCGAAACTTTTTGAACCGAGTTTCTATGAAGGAAGACATTTTTGGACCGGTGATCTCTGGTGATCTAAAAACAACCTCTAATTGTAGAGAGGAAAAGAAAAAAAGGTGCCAACAAAGTGTACAATTCTTGATAAGAGACAACCAACACCTCACGAATGTACTGAATTTTGTAGGCTCAGAAAAAAGCGTCATACGATAAATTTTGAAAGTCGATGGAATTGTGGCCGTGCACAAGTGTGCTCTTGAAAAATTGATTTTAGTTTTTACAAAAAGAAAGCCGTTTCCAGAACAAGTCTCTTGCTTTTGCATAATCTTTGTATGAAAACGAAAACTCCAGCTGCTTGCTCTGGAATGGATTGACAATCGATTTAGAGTGTGTTACAGTTTGCTTGAAACAATGATGCTTCATTCACTCAGTCAAACGATCACATTTGAGTTGAACAGAATGAAAAGTGTTTTGTACAAATGAATAAAGTCAGAAGAACCACAGAAAAGGCTCCTTTTAAAGCCCACAAAAAGTGACCTTTGGCTACGGTAGCTGTAGCGTACTTTAGACTTCTGCTTTGTTATTGCTTGAACGCTACAGTCTGCTTGGCTATGTTTCAGTGTTTTATGCTCGTGTAGTCGCTGCGATCGTTCGCACACGTTTGATTCCAAATGTGCCTTTTGGCATCTCGGTTCCAAGTGCCACGTGTTTATTTAACTTTCGAAAGTTTTCTGAAATCACACTTTGGCACATAACTTATCAAATGTTCTAGAGGGCGGCTGGAAACCGGAAAACTCATGACGGGTTTTCCGTGCAAAAACGTGGACATTGTGCCTTTTATTCTGAAATACTTTCGATTACCTGAAACTCGAGGCATCCTGCGTGATCGGGGCGATAAAATTGGAATTTTTCGACAGAACACTCAAAGTTCTCCTATAAAAAGTGTTTGAGTTGTTCCTATTGGCCAATTCTCGCCATTCTTCACAAAATGTTCAATCGCTCAGTGCTCCTGCTTTGTCTCTTCTGTATTTGCGGTGAGTTTTTTGGCGGGGGACGTCAATGGATGTTGGGTTTTCAATAAAACTGCAAGTAGAAATAGAGGCTGACTTGCCATTAAAAAGTATTAAGAGAATAGCTGTGATTCATGCCAGGGGTTACAAGTGTCACCATTTCCCTTTTCGCCCCGCGATGGAGCGGGGTCACTAGGATACACTAGTTAGGCTAGATACGCTAAGAAGTTCTGTTTTCGCTGCAGCTTTAGAAAAGTTCGTTGAGGGGAGACTCCTCAGAAAAACGAAATCTCTCAATTTAGGGCGTTTTAACACTTGGAAATCTCTTTTAGTTTTACAGTATGCTGAATATCTAGTGTTCAAGCTTGTCCACATTTTAGAAAAGGTCATTACAGGGCTTTCCCTTGCGATGGTTGTCGACCGTTCGATGCTCGTCCCACCGCCACAAAAAGACATCGTTCACGTTGGCGTTTGTGACGTCAATTGCCCGGTAAGTACAAAAATAGAAGCTATCGGTTACGTTCTCATAAAATCAATGAACCATTATTCAGTCCCGTTCTGGGTAGACAATTTAGGAGTCACACAAGTCTGTACCTTTTTCTTTCTTTCTTTTTCAGCTCATTCTTTTTCAGTTGGGAGCTTGCAATCTGTGTTGCACTCAACACAATCGTCCACAGGGCGGCTTCTGCATGGTAAATCAGTGCTGGTGTCTCTAAAGCAAAGTGCTCAAAAGAGCATTCCTCATTTACAACGTCATTAATTTTCGATCAAGAGTTTTCACTTCAGTTTTTTGGTTTTTTGTAATTTCCCTCAACAATGTCCAAATAAAAAATTCCAAATGTGGTGTCCAGAACAGTTTTTTAAAATATCCCAATGCTCGCAAGAAATATAATGAGTAAAACCGAAAACATAGTAATGATGCCACAAATGTGGGTAGAGCACAAGTTTTAGAGGATCTAAGTTGTTGGGGTGTAAAAAAACACCCGGGAGTCTTGGAAATGTCGTTGTTCGCCCAGGCTATGGGTTCATAATCCCCGGTCAACTCTCCTCCCCTTTTATCATCATGAAATAGCGCGCGAGTGGTGGGTGCTGTGGCTGAAAGACTGAGGTCACCTATTTTGTCCCAAACATTTTCCTTCGAAATAATGTTTCAAAATCAAAGAAACTATCACTAAATATGCTATGTGGCAGACAGCTCATTTAGAATAGACACGGGCATTTTAGAAAAAATCGGGGCCATGTCTCGCTGACCATGTCACGATTCAATGCAAATTGAGTGAAGAAATGTAAATGGCTTGTACATGGCGGGGAAAACAGTCACTTGTGCCGTTCAGTTCCTTTGAGGCCATAAAAATGCTGAAGCATTCACATTTCACTCCACCTCGGGTCTTTTCCTTCTTCTCTCCTCGATTTTCAACTGATATTCTAAATCGGCTTGCTTGCAGTGCCACCACCGTCACCAGCTCGAGTTCGTCGATCCGTTGCTGAGAATAGTAGTCTTTCAAAATGTTTATCGAAATCAAAAACCAAAATTAAAAGAATAACTCAAACAGAAACTTTAAACATGAATACCCACCCCACATACACAAATATATGGAGGGTCATTGGTCTTTTGATCATAGAATACACCAAACGACGAACCTGAAAAAAAAAAAAAAAAAAAAACTGTTTTTTCTTTACCTTTTTTTTTTAATAAAAAAAAAAAAAAAAAGAATCCTTCCCCACCCTTTAAACCAATCCTTTTTTTTTTTCAATTTTAAAAAAAAAAAGAAAACACACAACAAAAAAAAAAAATGTTTTTTTTTTTTTACTTCCCTAAAATTAAAAAAAAAAAGAACAAATTTTCCGCAACCCCAAAACTCACTGGCCCGAAAAATGGTCAAATTTTTTTTTTTTTTTTTTTTTTTTTTTTTTTTTTTTTTTTTTTTTTTTTTTTTTTTTTTTTTTTTTTTTTTTTTTTTTTTTTTTTTTTTAAATTTTTAATTTTTAAATTTTTTTTTTTTTTTTTTTCTTTTTTTAATTTCCCTTTTCTTTTAAAATAAAAAAAAAATTTTTTTTTGGGTTTTTTTTTTTTTTCCCAACTTATCCCCCCTTTTTTTTTCTTTTTAAAGGAATTGAGAAGTTGGGAGAGGTTTTTTTCAAAAAAACCTTTGTGGGCCCCCCCCTCTCTCCTCCCAAAAAACCCACCCCCAAAAAAACATTTTTGGAAATAAAAAAACCCATAATAGGTTGATCTGAGGGTCGCTGGTTCGACTTCCACCGGTGACAATAATGTTTGTACCAAAAAATTTTTTGCTAAGATTCTGAAAATTTGTGTCTAGGGGTTATTTTTGACGCTGATCACGAAACACATGTTTTTAGCCTAGGTTTCTGCACGGAAAACTAACGAAACGTGAAAACAGCCATTTTTTGGCTCTGCCGCCCTTTACTAAAATAGCTGTAAAAACTTTTAGAAAAGAGATATCTCAAAACGGTTTTTACCAATCGATCCGTCTTCAATTCAGCTTTCGGATGAGCTATAAAGCGTCAAAATTCGACAAATTTAAGGTACTCTCTCAAAAAATCCGAAAGGACTTTTCCACCAACCCAATATGAAGAAGAGGCCGATTTGGAGAATCTTTTGAAAAGGAAAATGAAAAGGAAATGTCTTTTCACTCTCGAACGCTCATGAAGTACATAGATTTACTGAATAAATTTACTAAATAATAACTGAATCGTCTAAAATAGAGCAAGTCTGCCTTCAGATTGCAGCAAAATTTGTACACCGAAGAATTGAGAATTAAATTATGACAATTTTTGGACAATTTATTGATAATGGCTTTCGCATTTCGTCGTTCTTTTTCGCGTCGAAATAAATGTCTGTCATAATGAAAATTGCTTATCATGAAAGAACTAAAGAGTTAAGAAGCTCGAAAAATTTCTTTAAGGTGATCAGTTATTTTTCTGGTATGAATTTTCAAAACACACCCTTTGAATACTGGAATGAACTTATCCACAACCCCTGCAACCTGAAACAAACGACATAATTCGGAATGTTGGTTTGCATCACCGAAATTCCATTCTTATCAGATAAAGTTTGGTTTTCTGGTAAACTTTTCGGTAGCCGAGAATTTATAAATAAAATATTTCTTAGCCTCCAAGAAGTTACAAACGGGAATTTTCCAAATCCCAGTTGATTCCAATACTTCAATGGTCAATTGGCCAGAGCCATTCGAAACCGTTTCAATTGTTATATTTCTCGGGAAAGAGTTTGTAATCATGTACATTTTCCACATTTTATATGCAAATGTCTTGGTTAAATGCAAAACCGAGCCGAAAACGATCAAGATATTTCTGAAAATTTCCAAAAATTCTGTACTGCAAGCTCGAATCTTCGCTGAATGGAGTTGGACGAAAGGGATTTCCATAACCCCATCACATCATCAAAGCACTTCCACCAAAAACTTCTGGTGCCCTAGTGCTTGTATCTAGAATCTTAATGTTAGAGTTTTAGGCGTATCTTATGTTTCTGTTTTTAGGGTTCTGGTCAGAAACTTGTCACAAAAAAATGAATAAATTCTTCAAAATAAAAGTGACGCCTGTTACAAGGCCATATTTGAAACATAGAAACCAGTGAAACAAACCAGTGTATTTTGGTAAAGTGTTGAAAATTTATTTTTTCTATAAAACAGAAAAAACAATAAAGAAAGATTGTACAAATTTACATTAACTGAAAAAACTGATCAAAGAGCTGGTCCATTTCCGGCACCCCAAACCAAGGATGGACCCTGGCCGGGGAAAAGAGGACGAGGTCCAGTGGCATTTAGCCCCAGCTCTGCTTCTGAATGTTCCAGTGCGTATTTGATAGCTTCTCGAAATGGCTTCTCAAGCATTTTAATTCCAGCTTCTGTCAAGTGACAGCTATTGTCCATGTAAATAAACTTCGTATTCGGATCATAGGTCAACAGTAGGTTTTTCTTGAAATCTGAAAAGACAAGTTGCATCCCTTTACCCCCTCATGTACTCACCAATAAAAGTAGCGCTGAAATCGAGGAGATGACAGTTTGAACACCTTTCCAGAATGATCTTTAACCGTTGATAGACTGCATGAGTGTAATAAGCTGTTAGCTGGAAATTCGAAAAGGTTTCAGATTTGTTTACTTTCAGGATCGGAAATAAAAGGGAAATTTAGACAGAATATAAACTTTAAGAATTCATATATTTAACAAGATTTACGTTGATTGGCTGATTGAACTTTTGCAAATCTTCCCCTCTTTCTAAGGCGTCTAAAAAACGAGCGTAACCGTCATCACCACGAGTCAGATATCCACACTCAAAGGGTTGATGGCCTTCGATAAAAACATATTTGGCCAATTTGCTAAAAATATCCCAATTTGAAGTGACGAAGAGCACACAAAAAATTAGAATCTTTGGTTATTTTCAACAACGCCTTGATTTCACCTGATGTTTTTGATTCCTTGCCAGTAAAACTCGACTATTGTATCGTCGGATCCCTTGAAAGGCTTCAAATCATCCAGAAAAAAGTCGTGATATCTGAAGTCGAAATTTCAACCTGTTGTGAAGTCAAAAACGTTCTACCTCAAGAGAAAGAAAACATAGTTTGGTTGTAGATTCTTGAGAAACTCCATTAAAAAGGGCGTTTGCACTAAAATCTGGACAAGGAAATGTCAACATGGTGTGGGTGTCAGGTGCCAAATGGCATGAGCCAAATACTACCCGACGTAGGATTTTGCGCTGATTCTGAATCTGCTTTCCGTTTTTGTAACACAGCACTCTGTCAAAAGTTATAAGCGTTCAAAGTTTTGTATGGAATTGCAGAAAACCTCCTCCCTGGGTTTATAAGTTGACTTACCAGAGAGGAAAAGATGTCGTGGTGGCAGTCGGCTTGAATACGAAGCAAGAACTCTAGGGTTCGAATCCCGTGTTTGATCCTTTTTTGCTTCTTTTAGCTTTGAATGGTTTGAGTGGTGAGTCAACTTCAAAGCGTTCAAAGTTTTGTATGGAATTGCAAAAAACAATTTATAACTTTGGACAGAGTGCTGTGTTAAAAAAAACGGAAAGCAGATTCGGAATCAGCGCAAAATTCTACGTCGGTTAGTATATGGCTCATGTCATTTGCCCACCACACCCTGTTGACATTTCTTTGCGAGAGATGTGTTTTGTTCATTAAAAATTCCCTTCTTATAGATTGTATTTTAGAATGTCAAGAAACTTTCACAAATTAAAAGTTAAATAGGAGATGAATAGTTAAGAAATTTTCTTCAAACATACAAACTTTTTATGACATCTTCTCCATTGTGAATGCCAAAAGCACAAGTGTGTTGTGAAAAGACATGAAACTCGGCGGTCATCGATCCAGGGAAAATGTTTCGAATTACCTTAAAAATTGAAAAAAGTAATGTAAGGCCGGTCCACAGCGTCTTTTGTCCTTCTATTATACTATTTTGTAATGTATGTTTAATGCTTTTCACTTTTCACTGGGTAGTCCTGAAAAGTTTAATTCTAGGCACAGCTTGCTTTACAGGATTTGGCACATATGCAAATCAGAAAAGTATGTAGCCATACATACATGTGCCTGTTGTGCTGCCCATGAGTTCCCGAAGACCACAATCTTGAGTTTGCCGGTGTTTCCCTAGAAATTTATGCCTTTGAAACTTTCTCCAGTAGCAATGAAGAGTCGAGGAAACTCATTAAAAAGTCTTAACCTCATAGACGTAATGACCAAATGGTGGACGCGGCTTCTCGACTAAATAATAAAATGAATCGTTCGTGAAATGTCCTCCTTCCAATCGAGAATACATTGTCCGGTATTCAACGTTTGCAGCCACTGCTGAGGCAGACTCTGAAAAAAGAAGATTCAGTGATCCTTAAATTTTGCTCTTCATCCATTTCTTTTTGAGAAATTGCCCGACCTAAGTTTTGAAACCTTTACTCTCATTTTGAAAACGGTTTTGAAATTGGTCTTCATGATCTAATCTCAATCTTACTATTTTTTTGTTAAAATTGCAAATGACTGACCCCAGCCGTATGGCATGACGACTTCCCATTTCCATTGAATCAACAAACATAGAAGAAAATATTTCAGACTCTTCCGGAAAATTTTGGAATTTTTTGCTCGAAGTAATGGACTCTCGACATATTGGTGCACAATCTCACTGATAACAAAAATTGGGAGAATTGTGGCAAATGGAACTAAAAGCTCAATCGTGAAAGGATTCTTGGATTCGAAAGAGATTTTGAGGATTACAAGTTAATGTTCGAGTAGTAGTTTCTAGCTGTAAGTTTTTTGATCAAAAGTGATTCCTGTGAATAGTTTCACTTTTGCAATAATTTTCAAAACCCACCAAACGTGCTGTTTAACTCGTAAACTGGCTCTATATATTCAGCGAAACGAATCACTGGGAAATGCACCAAATAAAGAGCATATGAGATTCTGGCAATGTGATTAAGACGGAGTTGAGACCATGAGATTGTGCTAAATTACTTTTTCAAACTTGGCAAAGTTGTCAGACTTGCTAAACTCGAGATTCAACCCGAAGTCTTCTAGATCTACTACATAAAATTCTTTTGGGTAGACAATCCCTATAAAATTCACTGTTTTAGTATTTCTTGTCTTTATCCTGAAAATCTCACTCACTGACCTATACGTTGCAAAATAAATAAACGATGACGACGATATTGTGATGAGGATTCGTAGAAGATTGGGTGAAAATGCTTGATTCACGAGCCGAGAAAACATTGATAGAATGACAATCAAAAGAAAAACGCTTGAGAAGCTATTTGACGTCGTTGCAGGCAAAGCTAAAGTTCTTCATTAACTAATCCAGTCACGTTTTGTTAGTTAAAAAAACCTTCATACAAATCTCAACAATGCAAGATAGATGTGTTTAAATCATAAAATTTTCGTTTTTCTAAATTCATCTATTGGTTCTCATCGTGATTCAGAAAGAAGATCATGTTCACAATTTCCTCAGTCCGAATCACCAAAAGTCATATAAATTTTTTAAACGTAAATTCCCACATTTCCGTTTCTCTAAGCACAATGTGGTCAACATGCCACACAAGAACTGCCATAACCGAGTCATCGGATGATAGAATGAGGTCTTTGCTTCTGAAATCAATTGAAAATACAACGAACACAGAAAACATCCGGCAAAAACAAGGTGACAGAGTCTTGCCTCTAAAATGAGTTGTGAAGTATAAAAAGTAATAAAATCTTACTCTCTCCAAACTTTGCTAAATAGAAGAAAAATGGGGCCACCGCGTAGAATTGCATTTCGACACCGAGTGACCACGTATGTAGAAATGGAATATTTGTTGTTCGCTAAAGGGTTGCATGTTAAAATCTTTTAAGAAGTTCAGGAAGACCAATTGACTGAGTTTTAGAATTGACTGAATTTTCGCTCATTTTAGAACCTAAAGGGGTTTCCTGGCGATTTGTAGTTGTATTTAAACTTGCGCGTGGTTATAAACTTGTGTGTCTTGAATGTAATCAAAACAACGAAATTTCATCGAGACAAGCAATAATTCACTTCAGTGGGAAATGAATAGAAAAGGGTCGCAAATGAAGAAAAAGGCTGAAATGTTGCAGCGACTCCAGTAGGACAAGACAGAAAAGAACACGCTCTAGCCAACAATGGCTCGTAAATAGGGGTTGATTGTAGATTCAACACATGTTATATATTATGCTGAATATCTTATGAATTCAGAGGCAACACTTTATTTGTGAAAGCACAATAAAAGCCCTTAAACAAAAAAAATCTTTACTGACTCTGTTGAAATAATCGCCTGCCGGTTGAACTTTGAAATTAGTGATGAAAAGCAGGGCTCCCGTATAATATGCAAAATAGCGTTCCTTGTAGATGTGTGTGTAAAGGAAAGTCATTGTGAGGCCTAAAGAAAAGCTTTTTCCTGACGTATGAACTTTGAAATTAGTATTTGTATGAAAATTAGTATGAATTTCCATCTATTACTCAGCTCATCGAAGTCACCGATTATTTAAAGTTTGTGTATCTACGGAGCTCAAAACTCGTCTTGCTAAATTTTAGCAGGAACATAGGATTAAAGCGTACTCCTCTCAATTAAGTCATTTTATCAAGCGTTCCTTCCTTAAATCTTAAGATATTCAGTTAAAGTTAGTTGGATAGCTTGAATTTTGAAAAAGAAAGTGCACTCTATAGAAGGCCCTAATTGAGAGGACTGCGCTCGACATAGGATTACCTGTGAGCAGCATGACAAAATAATAGAGTGGAACGATTCTTCGCGCTCTTCTTATGTAGAAATTCGAAAAAAGTTGAAATGGCTCTTCCTTTGAGCGTTTCAAAATTCTCATCATCAGAAAGCCAGAGATCACGAAAAAACTAAAGTTTAAGATTTGCCACAAAATAAGAAAAGTATAGCGCTCTCAAAAGTAGAAGCTTTTGTAGAATTTCAGGCCAAAAATAATGAAAACAAACACGTCGACACCAAGATATCCATATCGAAAGGTGTCTGGCCAAAGATGAAAACAGAGAACGGACAAAATGGCGAGAGCACGAAGCACGACCACGTCTTCTCGAAAAGCATCGCCTTTGACTGAAACACAATTTTTAAACCATTTTTAAAGTTCTTTTAGCTAGTTAAAAATCTCTGAATCAAATCAAGATCACTCTTAAGAAGTAAAATATTTAATAGACTCAAAGACAAACTCTCATATTTGACCGTTTGCTCTTCACTCAGAACAAATGGTTCACATTCGTCCGTCATCTTGATCTCTTCATATTTCACTAAGGATTTTGGCATGGTTTAATTTGCCTGAAAAGTCCAAAAAATTGAGAATTCATCAATAACCCACCAACAAGACGGCAAAGTTGAAATACATTTGAATAGTAGCAAAAGATGTCTGATGTTTTTGCATGCGAAAAATTCTTTTTTGAGGAGATGCTGAATAAACATCAAAAATGTTTCGGTCTTGTTCCTGCACGAAGTCTCCTTTTTTTCAATATAAAACCAACATTGTCTGTGGGTGAATTTGTGAATTCGGCTTTTCTCTCGAAATGCAACTCAATCAATGAGGATCGCCATAGGGTGATTTTTGATTTCCCAATATTGTCTATTTTTTGGAAATTGTAAATCGTTAAAATTTTAGAATGAAAGTTATTGAAGTGGAGGAATGTCCTCTGTATCTCTCTCTCTCTAGAGTGTGTTTTTCTCGATTAAGCATCCTATGATATCTTTGTGAAATTTCAAGTTATTTAGGTAGCGTTAATTGAATGATTGGCCGTTTGCGATGGGAAGCGCGGGGATGGTTGCATTACGCCACAGTCAAATATTCTCAACTGTAATTTGTAGACTAGTATGCTTATTAAGATAGAGCTAGATTTTTTAAGTCTACCTTACCTTTCTCTTCGACATTACATTGTGCCGCCTCTTTGAACGAACAATAGAGAAAGAAAAAAAATAAAGACTCAAAAAAAGCAAATGGATTAGTGAACGCGATCTTATCAAAGTGAAACAGTGTAGTAAAATTTCCAAATGGAATTTGATTCTTTACAAAAGAACAAAATTGTGTATTTTTGAAAAGAAGTCCCTTTTTGTTTATTCATTTTTGGCCAAAGTTAAGTGAAATGAAGTGACGGTCATCATTTTCCCTCAACCTACTCTTCTTTTCGCTTTCCAATACAAAATATCATAATCAAGCTAAAATCGAAACATAATAAAAAAATTTTGAATGATTCACCTTTGGATAAAAATGAAGAAAAATGCCTCGTTGAATGGCAGAAAGGCATCATAGAGCAAAGACAAAATATATTCTTTAGAACCGAGCTGTATCACTGATCTCACAAAGACAAGACCAATGAATGAGAAAAGCATTGGATAACATCTGAAAATTTAATAGTTTTTTAAACTTTACATCTTCAGCACCTAAATCCTGGGGAGATTTTCGGCTCGTGAAGATTTGCAACGCTTTCTCAACCAAATCACGGTTTCAAGAGCATTTCATAAGTAAAATTTGTATAATTTGAGCAAAATTTACTCGAGAGTATGATTATTTATTTGTGGTAAGACCTGTTTAAGGTCAAACCTTACAAGTCGCCATTTCTGGCACTAAACGTGTAAAGTGGGCAGTAAAGAATCCGTGAATGGGGTTCCCCCTTGTAAGTGTAACGGGCCACGGGGCCTTTTTTGTTGAGTTTTCATCTTTTGTTCTCTTTGTATATGATAGTTTTTGATGGAATAAAAAGCATTTCCCCATCACCACTCCCAAAATTCATGTATAGGCAATCATGATTTCGAAAAAAGTCAAAAATTTTGGGATCTCAATTCACTGTGAAAGGAAGACGATCGAAATTTCGAGTGCTCTCCATCGAATCTTCAGTCAAAAAACACCGCAGAAAGTTAAAAGGAAAATTGTAAGTGATAAAAAAGTGGAAAAAAGAATTTGGGAACTTTTTTGTTCGACACCTTCTGGGAGTTGTAATCGTTCCGCGGTCTGGCAAAGCACTATTGGGTGTAGCGGGCGAGTTTCGGTTGCATCGGGTTCCCCCTCCCCATGTTGAATGTTGAATGTTTGAATTTAGGAGAATCTTTAAAGTCTGTGACCAAAGTTCGACTTCACCTAAAGAAGGTACTCTTTTGTATTTGGTGGGATTGGCAAGGGATCCTCTATTACGAGCTACCAAAGAAAGGTTAGGCAGTTGATGGAAATCGATATTCTCATTTAAGTAATCGATATCGATTTACGTCGTTTAAGCCAAGAAATCGAGTCACAAAGGAGTTGTAAAGAACAAGAGAAGCGACCAGTCATTCTTTTGCACGATAATGTTGCTGGGATTCAAGACGTTTTTCCGTAATAAGCACTTCAAAAGCTTAGATGAAATCCGAAAATGGGTTCACTCCAATTTTGATGGTAAATCTCTTTATTTTTCTACACAAACTTTGGAAGAAAGTAATGAATAATGATGGTGATTACTCTATTTAATTTGTTTTGTCTTCGTTCTTAAAATTTTACACAAATAAGAAGGTGAAAAATTTACAATTCCAAATTCTTTTCTCTCCGCTTTAACAGCTAAAAAAGTAAGAAAAGCGGTCATTGAAATTTTCCCAGGGAATCCATCTCAATATTTTCGGAATTGGCTTTCCACCTAGAGACATATTTTGTGGAGATATCCTTTCTGATATCACGCAAAAGGATTGCCTCAATAAGTCCCAGGTGAAGAACAAACATTTGCCAAAAACCGAATTGGGCAATATCAGGCAGTTCGTCAAAAGCAAACGAGCAATGTGGAGGCGGTCTCCTTAGATCCATATGGGGCCGTATTCTTTATCCAGGGCCCGACCCTACGTAGTGAAATTGTGTGAGTTTTTAGTTTGTCCCTCTATTTATTCTCACCTAATGCCTAATTTTTAGCTCTTGCTACGCGGAGTTCTCTCAAAAACTTTTGAAACTCTACGCTTCTACATGGAGAGGTCAAATCGTAAGATCGGTCCAATTAGAGCCACCTGATGAACGAAGCCCCTTCGAATCGGCAATATCAGTTCTCTTTGGCTTAACGATTTGCAAAAGCACTTTTTCCGCCTGGAAGATCCCATGATTTTTTGAGATTTAAAATGAACTAGAGGCCGATTGAGCCAAAAATTTGTCGTCTTTCAGACAATCACAATAGCTTTTTACTAACTCAAATGTTTTACCACTAGCGAATACCTGGTATACCTAAAACAGCGCATAGCTTAAATGTTTTGTTACTAAAAGCTTTTTTTAACTTTTGAGCTATCACAGATAGTTAGAGGAACAACCGATTCTTGTGATTCCTGGCGGAATGAATGAAGATGAGGTACGCGAGTTGCAGCAGATTCTTGTCAGAGAGAACTTTCTCGCCATCTTCGTTCCAAGTCTGCCCAAATACAAGTTTGTACTTTTTGCACTGTACAACAAACCCCCTAAAAATTTTCTTTGAAAGGCTCTGATAAAAAACGTGGGGGTCAAGATACAGATCAACTATTTGCTAATTACGGCTTTGATATCTAACTTTTATTGAAGCACTCCTTTTGTTTTCTTGTAGCGCCGTAGATTACTGTAGTTACAGAAGACTCTCAAGTGCTAAAATGGACCTCCAGTGTGACTTTTGCATAAAAAGAGCAGCAAAGTTATCGCTGGCCCCAGTTATTTTCAATTTTCTTTACAGTATACCGTAATCATATTCCTAATCTTTGACAAGAATAAATGGATTCCAGTGGGCATGGACCGTCGTAGTGCATCGATAGCAATAGGAGAAGAAGTAGGAGTGTGATCAATTTCAAGTATTATCTTCTCGGCAATGAAAGTACCAAATGCTTTTCTTCAAGTCTGAAATCACGTACGAAGCCGGAACGTTGTATACAAACTAGGCGGAATCTGGCCCAGGCCTTATTTCTCTTAAATCGTTTACCCACCAGGGGCAGGTAGAGAATTCAAGCGACATCGGTTAACATGGTTATACCTTTTTAATCCAAAATAGATCTGGCTCGGGCCTTTCGGTGCACAGCCGGGGCCCAGTGTCGAGCATCTCTACAAACTCATCCTGGTCGTTTGGTCTGATGTTTAACACGAGACCAGCGCAAGGTAGTTTTTTCGGGCTCTGTTTGAGGTCACGAATGCTTCAAATGCGGAAGATTTAAGAGATTCACTAAATAGAGAAAGGACTTTAAAAAGTACAAAAATATAGCAAGCTCTAGAAACACCGTGAAAATGAGGAAAAACAAAGAACTGTCGAGGATTTTAATGAAACTGATACTGTAGAAAAATTTTAATTACTTGTTTTTGTAGTTGGCAGACATGAGGAAAAACTTCTGAATTTTTCGATTCGGCAGCGTTTCAATCCAAATTTTAAGATCTTTTCCAAAGTTTTGAATTTTTTCGCTGGAATCAAAAATAACTATCCAATACCCAATAGCTCTTAAAAGCATCCCAATATTTGTTCACATCCATTCGTGCCTCAATCTTCCATTTGAATCCTTCAATCTCGGGATATCTCCTCTCAAATTAACGGACAGAACAAAAAGATCAGATCCCGCCCCTACAACATTTCCAAAGATCGGCGAGAGAAATTCGGCTGGGAAAAAGGAATAACTCAAATGAGTTTTGAACTTTATCATACTTCATTAAATATAAATTTGAAGCAATAAATCTTCGATAAATTTTGGCTAACTTTTCGTTCAATTCATTCAATTGGATCGGAAAAAGGGCATTTCGGTATATGAAAATGATTTCCGTTAATTTCGATGATTTGACTTGATCTCAGTTGCGATTGTTTTGCTTTTCTTGTACAATAGGGCCCAAAAGTTTGGATACACCGCCCAGTTGAGAAAGTAAAAACGCACCCAGAGCGCCTTATTTTTTAGAATGTCAGTACGTTCCAATCTATTAATCTTTCCAATCTGTTTTTCAAATAAAATATTTGAAAGAGTTTCTGGATGAAAGATGTTGGGGAGATTCCAAGAATTATTTTGGTGGTGTCGCATACGTCTTGATCGGACCAGTAAAACATTGTGAAAACACTTTGCAAAGTCAATGCTACCAAAAAAAACTGATTTTCTCGTGTGAAATGAGGTCCTGTGTGGCTGTAATGTGTTTACAAGCTTGTACATCACCCGAAACTAATGCGATCGTCTCGATCGTAGACGACACCAAAATAATACTTGAAATCTCCCCAACATCTTCCATCCAAAAACTATTTCAAATATTTTATTTGGGTGGGATAAAATCGGATCAGAAGGTGACAAAATGTTCATGAAGTAACCAGTTCAATCAAATTCTTTTCAGTTGAAGAAAAAGTGGCAAGGCGGTTCGTACGGAAACACTGTTGATGATTCTAGTAAGACAAATCATAATATTTCGCTTTAATAGTAGCTTAAATAATTTTTCCAACTTCTAGATGATGGCCAGTTCAGAATTGAGCCTCATTCACACAATCTTCTATTTCATGTTCAAACTCGTTATCAAGCATTTTCTCGGGTCGAATGTGGGATTTTATTCGTGACTTATGAGTTGCTTTTCGAATACTTATGCTAAATTGTGATAATACCGTAAGTTATCAGAGCAAACCTCGTTAAAATTCGATCAACTTTGTGGTCACATGGAAATGAGAAAACAAATTTGATGTGTTGGTGAAACAAAGGAAGAAAATTAGTGGCCAGCTTTGATTTTGACGTCTTGAGCCCATCGTAACAAATGCTGAAGATGAACCAATTCAGGGTGATCTCGCTGATTTGTCTCAAGAAGCCAAGGTGAGAAGGACGAGCTTCAAAACAATTCGAGTCTTGTGACAGTGACAGTGACAACAAGTGACAACTTTCGATAGCACTATTGAAGTGCGAAAAGCCAGTAATACTGTCTAGACGTAATACTATGTACTGCCACCACAGCCGTATACCTTTTTCTATTCAAATAGAGCTTTATACATTTTTTGTTCGTTTGAATATCAAGGTCAAACACGCATGCAAACAATGGAAATGTCTTCAGCTTTAGACTGTAGAATAAGTGTTCTACTGTGTAATAGAATTGATCGACGCTTACAACAATGACTAGTAGGTAATTGCAAATGCCAAGTAAAAGTGAAAAGAATTTTGGTGATTAACGTATGTAGCTTTGGGTCGCTTATCCCGTTGCTGGGGTCGTCGTTGTTGTCGTCCCCTTCGGTGTCGTCTAAATTTTCCCGTATGCTTTGTCTATTTGTTCTCTAAACTCTTTCATATGCTTAGTTTTCTGCTAAAAGAAATGAACCGTTGTGTAACTGCCACATGGTGGATGAAGCACTTGATCGGGTGCCAATTGCAGCCCACACTGGTTTGCCTTGGTCACAAGGTTTTTCACCTGAATTCCAGAAACAATTAGTGATGCTATTACACAAAGCTAGCCGCAATAACACTTGATAACATTATTTTTCACTTACCACCACATTTCCCGGCGCACAGTGTGGAACCTTTGGGCATAGGTTTTTCGGGCAAAGGTACTGCCGAGTTGTTGGACCGCTAAACGAGTCGCGTTCACCAAAGCTAGCCAAGAATTCTAGCTAACAAATTTGCAATGACTCACGTGCAAGCACATCCATAGCCTGCCGACTCACAACTTCTTGTTTGATTCACTTTGCCGTGAAGACCACATGTGGCCGAGCATGGACCGACATTTGACCAGGCGCTCCATACTCCTGATTTTTTACTTTTGAAACGACGAAAGAATCAATGAACCTCCTGGTGGACAAGGGTTACACTCAACGTCGCCTAGAAATTATTCAATTTGTTTGTTGAACGCATTATGCTACCAAACATTAGCCCTTCACAATAGCCAGTACGATTAAAATCATCGGCTCGAGTCACATTTCCACACTGGTACGAAGCGGGAGCCGTCGAATGCGATAAGTACTCAATATATCAAAATAGGTTATTGTTTTGTTTTTGGAAAACTTTTTGGTATGGTGAGGCGCACGCAATGTTCGTACACGGGTTTTTCGGGCACGGGCAGGGGGTTGTAGGGCAAGGGACGAGTCGCGAATAGGCCCCACTGCAACAAAATCTTAGTAGAAAAAAGTTTCAAGCAACCACTTGTTTGAAGAGGGATAACGACTCACGTGCATGGACAACCAAACGACCACGACGTACAGTTTCTCCGCTGCACTTTCCGCCCGAACAGTCCACACGTTTTCGTACACGCCGTGTAGTCGACCCAATTAGACCAAACGCCTAAACGAAGATTACATTGAAACCAGGAAGCTGTCTAGATGATAATAACCTATATAGTAGACTTGCAATACACGACTCACCGGCCGACGGCGTTTCGGCTAGAAACCCATAATACTCCTGGTCGGCCGCGTAGTCGTAGTAGGCTTGTGAAGCTGAAACTGCGTTTATGTGGTTTTGCTCTTCAAAGAATTGGCTCAAACGTGGCTATTTTCAAACAAAAAACGAACTGTTTGCTGGATTGCACGAGGTACAGCAGGGCACCGGCCAGCAGGTCGGCCACAAATCACCGATTGCCAACACCGATGGCACTGAAAGCGACTTTTGTTATTCGTTTGAAAAACTGCTCTCTTCAAATTACATTTACTACAAATTACAAAAAAACTCTCTTGGCGCGTTTTTGTACGATAAAATGATACTAGCGATATCATTTTCCTATGCTCGAATCTTAAGTAAACAAGCCAAAAAGCTGATTAATTACGTTAAAATGCACTGAAAACATGCACTCTTTTGATATTTTTAGAAATTTACAAAAACAACTCGTAACCTGCACAAAACAGAAAAGCACAAATGAGAGTGGTTGCCATTGCAAATGAATGTGGCTCGCAAAACGGCCGGGTCGCCTATTTTATCTCTTTCGATTTGCGATCGAAGTTCATCGGCGATGCAAAAAGCATCGTAAATGTGTGGATCAACGCGAACAATAGATCGACCCGCTTATTGCTGTCCGTTTTCATAATGGAGCGCCTGTTCGCCTCACAAAGCGAACAATTTGGATTCTGCTTGGTGAAAAAATTTGCCACATGATTGAAAGCGAGTTGAGATTGGGTTTCCAACTCACATGAAAAATTGTGCCAATCGATGAAGGCTTGCCATCATTATAAGAGCCACAACGTGAACATCTTCATTTAAAGTTAAGAAAAATCCGTTTTTTGATTGACAATTTGCTCTAAAAATGAAAAATTCATGTTCACACGTGTTCAGTACAAATATAGATGCCCCAACCACCAAAGTACCAATGGGTTTTTTTAAAATTCAATTTGTTGCTTGCCTTCTTCTCAACTCACCCAGTCAGCTTCTCAGCTCAGAAAAGTACGGAGACATTTCAGTAAATAAAACGTTAATGTTCTTTTACCAGGACTTACGTCGGTTAACTGAAAACCCTGAAATGGATTATTATTTGATCTGTTCCGTAAGGGCCTCGCTCACCCACCCACCTCTAACCAATTCAAGAGGTGAAATTTGACACCACGAGGCGGTCTTTCTTCGAAATTTTCCGAATAACCCATCATTTCAAATTTTCGTTTCATGTTTTTTCGCTTCTTAATCTATTTTTTGTGCGGTAGAGGTAAATCGAGCATTGAAAATGTGATCTTTTACTTTTAAAGTGGAAACGTTCGCTTTGAATACACTGCTGGATGGGTATGACCACGAAATAAGCCCGTACTATGCGTAAGTTTTGAGAAATTATCTTAACGCAGACTTGGGTATGAAAGTTTGAGCAAGGGAAATTTAGGAGCAACAGAACATTGGTCGTCAATATTTCGATGCCGATTCTCGTGCTCACCTACTACTACAGTCAAGAGCAAATGGCGGCTTTCGGCCTCGAGATTTGTCTAGTGGGTGCTTCGAGCAGAATATTTTTGTCTTCGATACTTCGAGTATTTACGGCGGTTTACTTTTCCTTTTTTGTGCGCCATTTGAACACAGTATTGAGTACCCGCTAATACAGAGTACCCCTAGAGGGGGATGGAAAAACAGTACCCGAGTACTCAATTATAGTATTTACGGTAGTTTATTGTCTACTAAAGTAGATCCTTAAGCGAACTTTTCTTGGAATAAACTCTTAGGAGTGGGTCGACGAAAGACTTCGTTTCAATCCATTCGACTACAATAACCACACACGTCTCTATTTGCCAGCTGCAAGAATCTGGATTCCTCCTTTTTATTTATCCAACGCGTAAGTTAATAGCAATCGAACGATTTCTTACCGTTCCGAGTTCAGATTCTCTGCTAAAGTCACCAACCATGCAAGGGCTCCCGAAGTGGAGGTCAGTTCAAATGGGAAAGTTGTCTTCAAAGAGCTTCAATACGCAAAAATCAGCTGTGGGACCGTCGTGAATCGGTTTGTCCAATGTACAACAGTTAGCTCATTTCTCTACGAAGTTTCCCCTTTGACCTTCAAATGTGTAATGTTCGGGTGAGCAACTCGATCACCAACCAATCGGCCATGCAATTCCATGCGCGAAAATGGGAAAACGCCGAAGTCGCGGTAGGTCCCCATTTGGCTTTTCCAGTATTTCTCCTAGACATGGCTAGCGAGGCATTAGCGGTGACGATAAACGTTAATTTTTCCACTGAATACCTTATCTTCTCCACAAAAAATATTGTTTATCGCTCAGGCCTCGTTAGCCATGTCTATCATTTCCCCCATCACAGGTCTTGGCTGAGTTCAGTTTGCAGAAATATTTCATACAAAGCTTAAAGCCGGATCGTGTCGATATAAACCCAGAGGTGGGACGGCTTCTTTTTGCTTTTCTCAATCCATCCACACAGGTCACGTTCTGTTTCGCAATCCAGAGAAAGGCTTTTTATTATATTCTCGTCATCGTTCTCCCATCCACTCTTATCACGACGTTGACAATCACCGGAGTTTTATTGCCGACTCCAGAAGCTGAGAAATCGGATCCAGTTTGTTCTATATAAGCCTTCCCTTTTCTGTTTTGAGGCTGCATAAGAGCTTTACTGGGTACAAGGCAAATTTCCTAATTCAGGTAAGCATCGGGCTTACATCGCTATTGGCTTTGGCTATCACCCTGACCGTTGTCGCCGACAATATCCCGCGAACAACAACTGTCCCACTTATTGGTCAGTTTAGATCCACCGGCTAGCTCAAGTCAACTTACAAAGGTCTTTCCCAATCGAAACTCTGAGCTCAAAATTTTTCAAATATACATCAACGTTTAGTCTGGTTTCTTTTGGTTTGCATCACTCTGTGCGTCATATCGATAATTTTCGGATTGCTCACTGCTCGACTCATGTCAATGGCCAGGAAATCGGCCAGCGTTCTTCCAAAATTCGTCAATTTCTTGACGGAGTACTACCAAAAGGCAAAAGTTCCCAACGACGAGAGGCCGACGAAAAACTCCCTAAAGCGGGTCATCAAAACGTTAGTTCCTGAAATCACTACAGTTTACATCGATTTTCTTCAGCTTTTCGTTCCTGGTTTTCTTGGTGATGCAGCTGTTGTTGCTGTGCAATCTAATCGTCTTTTTCTCCTTTGCCTGGAACCGAAAAAACCTGCATCTCGATCCGAATTTGGACAAACACAAGGATTATCCATTTATTCTTATTTTGTGATTTGCGACATTTCATACTAAGTGTTTGATATCTCAAGGCTATTTTAGACTACTTCAATCCCATGGGATTCAAATTCATAAACGAAACCGTACGCAGGTGAGAATGAGCCAAAAAGTATTTTACCAGTAGAACATGGCAATCCTCCCGCCCGCAACATACCGTTTCAAGTTATAATCTTAATCTTGAAAAGTTTATTCAATCCAAGTAAAAATGGACAATAGAGATTAAAGTAGAGGAAAAGTTGTTCAAAGTCAAGAAATCACATTGAATTTGAATAATTTTAGTGAGAAGCGTAAAATTTTTATAAGTTCAAATGTATAAACAACAGCATGTCAAGAATTGAGCTTTGCATAAACTTTGAAACATGAGAACAACTCATAAATTTTGTTGAACTCGCCTCAGCTTAATAGATCTAGATCGTTAAACTCACAGAGACTCTTCGTCCGAGTTATGAGCCGAGTTATTTAGAGATTATTTAGGGTCTTGTCTAGAAGTTTTCATTTTAATCGTTTTCATTCTGATTCTAGTTCTTTCAATTCTAATTGTTTTCACCAAATTTAATTCTTTTTTATTTACAGGTAGAACGACACCAAGCAAATTACGGTTCAAAATGCGAAAGCCGACGTCATTCCCGATGGAGAAGCTCTGTTACGACCTAAAGTTAGAGGTGCTGGAGGAAACCTTGCCAGAAGAGACGATTGAATTGATCAAGGTGAATGCTGGATTTCGATCGATTCTGCTCCGAACACCCTGGATAGTTTTTGGACATCACGTGGCCCGGATGGATTTCGGATCTGGTGGTTGGGTTCTATTCGAGAAAGACTACGGCGGTATCCGCCAATTTGATACCGATCTCCACTTTCCATTGATGAAACGAATCCACTCGTGTAACAGCTTATCAATAGACTTGGGCCCCGAAGAATTCATCGACACACAAGCGATGATTCTGAATCAATTGAAAAATCAATCTGTGAAATTGAAATGTTTGACGCTTTGCGGGGACGGCTTTGCGGGTACCACGAACGAAACGAATTTCCGAAAATTTCTTGAGAATTTCCGCTCGGTGATTGAAATACAAGCATTTATTCATGTAGACATTGAGTTGTTAATACAGAATCAAGTGATCAGCAGCCTTTTTGAGAATTTCATTGCAAATCAAATGAATGACTGCGAAAGCGTTGATTTTTTGTCATTCCGTAGCGGCTTTTCACTTCTACATCGATGCTTTTGCCAAGACTTCGATCAAATGCATGATATTATTGCGGTGCTCGGATCACTTTGAAGATATCGTGCGAACAATTGTTGAAAAGCGAATCCCACGCAAGAATTTGAAGACGGCTTTTCGTCTGCTAACCAATTATTCTCAGGAAAGAAACGCCCCAATCATCGACCTTCTTTCGCAATTCCCTGGAATAAAGCGATTTGACGGAAAAAATAAGCAAGAAGTCATCGAAATGTTGGGGGAACTCGGGAGAAAGCATCTGGAGCCGCTTGCTCTCACGAACATTATATTTTTTCAACGAAAAATTGACTCGAGTATCGACTATGTCTACATGTTGTCATCGAATTTTCATCATACAGACTTTTTCGCCTTCTACGTTCAGCCGCGATCGGAAATGATGGAGTCTTGAGAGTTTTCATTGGATTTTGTACAATTTTCTATTCATTGTCAAAATCTTCTGGGCAGAAATCGTCAAAAAGAATCGATCTTTTTTTTATTGTAAATTGCTGCTTCTTTTTGTGTAACGCATTGTTTGTCAAATTTTCCTCAAAATTTCAAATCATCATCTTTATTGGTCAAAAATAAATTTTTATAAATAACCAATTAAAAGTGAAATCAAAGAAAATAAGCAAAACAAGCTAAGGAATCGGATACACATCGGATGGAGAACGGAGGGATTGCCGTATTGCCTCCACTCTTGCTTGGTTTTATTAGATGTACAAGGTTTCATTGAAGTTGTTAAATTATGTAAGAAACTGAATCGCGTCTAGGTTATTAAATGAGAGAGTCAGGCCAGGACCCTGGATCTGGTTTCTGGATATTTTGCTTGACTCTACATGGGTATAGAAATTTTAGACTGAATTACCAAATTATGGGCGGCACACAACCTGTGTGAAATATTGAATATTTTACGTAGATCGACGGACGCGACAAAAGGAGTAACTCTGAACTCGATAAAACTATTGAACTCGATAAAAATTCTTGATTGGATGCTTTTCATCATTCCCGATTGTAGTGGAAGGTAGAAGGCAGAAAATGTTGACGGCTTCGGTGCGTTATAAACATTTATTTGATCGGCCCTATATCGGATGGTCGTAAAGTGTTTTTGGTGAGTAGCAAATCATGAAATCAGAAAAAGCTCAAAAAACACAAAAAATTTGCTAGACGAAAAAACTTTCCACGCCATACCTAGGGTTCTGCTTTTGGCCAATACCAGTATTGGTACTGATATCGATATTGATATTGGTAATGACAAAAAATATCGGTTCTGAAAAGATAATATCGATATTAAATCGATAGCGTAAATATTGATATTGGCCAAAAGCACAACTTTAACCATGACCACCCTCAAAAACCATTGAGACTTTTTTGGAAATTCGAGCTTAAAAATGAGTTTCTTTTACTGAACACCCGGTAGATTACCATTTTTTAAGCACTTTTATTCATGGAAAAAAAGTTTTATTCGGCCAACAATAACATCAGAATGGCAAAATTTAAATATGAAATAGTGAGGATCAAACATACACCGTGTTTCTGTACGCCAAGTTTTTCTCAGTTGCACACTATTCGGGCTGTGCGAGTAGATTTTTTCGAGCACCAGAATCACCGAGTCGCCACTAAAATGAATTTTGAATACAATAATTTAACTTCATGGTAAGATAGCAGATAAATTTTGCTCTTATCATTATCTATCAAAGACTATGATTTAATTAATCAAACCCTAAATCTCAATTTCGAACTCTTAACAAACAAAAGCAAACCGGCGAAACATTTTCGAGGTGAAGCGATCACGCGCGACTGGCTTCCCTTCTTCTTTCCTTTTCCAGTTTTTGGCAGCTCTGTCCATATCTCCTTCACATTTTCAAGCACCATATTGAAGTGGCTAAAGTTATTCTGCAACGAACATAAAAACGATTTACCTGTCAAAAGCTTTCACACGTCCTAGTAGCTTCTTGTTGTTTCTGCAGTTGATCAAAACCTGAATTCAGAAGTTTTGAAACAGTTTTTAGCTCTAAATGTAGGGCCTTAACTTTTAAACCCTAGAAAAACATCATGAATGGGACAAGCTACATCAAAATACAAATCGCCAGCCTGTGCATTGTTCTTAACGGATTGTGCAAGGATGGAGAGCGGTCCAACAGTGAATTCCTTCTCTTCTTGTTCCATCAACTCCTCCTGCATCATCTCAGATCGTGGTTTTATCATACTAAACACAAAAAGTAAACGTGGCTCAAGCAAAGTCAAACCTACGCCATTTTGCTCGAGCAATTTAGCGCTTGGTAGATGTCGCAAAAGGAGCTCTGAAAGAAAGATATTATTGAGCTAACAGTTTTAATAATAATAAAGAAGAAAAAAAAAGAGAAATACGCCATAACACAAAACGTTTCCTGCAAGTTTCACAAAATGCATGATAGGCTTCTTCTTGCTAGGAATTAGTCTTACAGGCATTGCCTGTAAGACTGTAAGAAAACCCTAGATGTAAGCCTGTGTGATTTCGGTATAATTTTAAAGTGTCACCGATGAATAAAGGCTTTTAAAAGTCAATTTGATAATTTTTGTAGTTTTTAATCAAAAACACAACGTACAATATGAATTCCATGATAAATGGACATTCCAAGAATGATCTTAGCATGTACACATCCAATAATCGCCACAATGAGGAATCGAACAAAGAAGGCGTGATTTCGATGATCGATACAATTGTTGATCCATGCTAACCAAAGAAATTAACTTCGCTTTTCACAAAAAAACGTACGGCAATCCATCTTCAGTGCCCAACGGCCACATTTACTGCAGTGATAAGAACGGGGAGGCTTGTATCAGTCATTCGACACCATTGCAAACGTTTTGAAATGTCGCCTTTAATTGAAAACAGGCATTAAAGTGTTATAAAGCTTTACAATGAGATCCCAAACAATTACTCAACGCTATTTGCTCAATTCAAAAAGTAAAAGCTACCTTGACTTCGGGATCGATTTTCCAATTCCTTGGCACATAGCCACCACCAACTTGTGCAGCCAAAATGGAGATATTCAGAGTTGCGTAGCTCCAGGAGAGAAAAATCTGAATTTAACGCAAACCTTCAGATACATAATACAGAACTTACAAAGAAATGAATGAATGATCCGATTGTAGCAAGTGGCCACCACATCGTGTGCATGTAAACCGTATGCATGTAAACCATGCTAACCTAAACTGATATTGAGCTGAATTAAAAAAGTCCCTTTTCACTCACATAAAAAATTCTCGCCAAAGTCGCCATCGGTCCAATTGCAGTCTCTTTGGTAATGCAAGTCCATCAAGGTATTCTTGTACTTCTAAAGTTTGACAATACATTCTCAAAAAGCTCAACTCAAAAGTGAACGCTCCGAAGCCGAAGTTTCAATCTTCGAATGTTTCATTATACCCGATATTCTAAACGGCCAATCAGGTGCTTTAACGTGTCCTACCTAAAATGCAAACTTGTAGATGATAATAAAAACAAAGTAAACGTGCTACCACTTAAATTTAAAAACAAAGGCTGCAATAAGATAAACATAAATCTTACTTCATGAAGTGACGGCTCAACCGGCGGGACTGGTGAATGCAAATTCACAACTTGACGACACTTCTTCATCTTCTGCCAAATCTCCATTTGTTGTGCTTTGAGCTGTTGAATCATGGCCCTTTCGTCTTCTTATTGTTTCACCGGGCATCTCCCTAAAAATAATGCTTAATTTTTAGGAAGAATCAGTTTTGCAAGGGGTTTGTCTGCGTCTAATACGGTGAGAAACAGTTTAACCCTACCTACCTGGGTAGCAAAAACTAAAATGTTCAAAATACATCATCAAGAGTCAGACGATTAAATGGTTTCGCAAAATTGAGAAAATTCCCTTAGATGTAAAGAGCTGATGTTTATCCCAATAGCCAGAAAGAAAATAACGCAAAAATACTTTATTCGACAGACACAATTTATTTGATGAGCAGCGTGCGATGAATGAATCTTTTTGAAGATCTTCTCGCTTTGAACACTTCCCTTCCTGAATCGCTGACACTTTCTGCCAGTCGTTTTGCAGGAGGAACTATTTGAGTGATGAATATCTCGAGATCCCCTCCAACAGCAACACTTCCATAAACAGGTTGAGTCTTCTTGATCGGCTTTTGTTCTACGCCCAATTCTTTCATTGTTCCCGTAGCTCCACTAGTTTTTTCCGAAAGTACATCCGTATTCTAAAAAGACAAATATTAAGTTTTTAAACAAACAAAAACCTTTTGAGAGCTCACGTCGGAAACATTGATTAAAATTGTTTTATATGTTGCCTTAAATATAGAATTACCGAAGCCCTACTTGAAAATGTTGTTGTCCGAGCGTTTCAACTTGACCATGTAGATTTGGGCGGCTGCCTTGTTTGAAACGATTAACTTTTGTGTCATCTCTTTTTGTTCCCACGTCAATTGTAGAGGGTTTATTTCCAACTCACCTAAATAAACGTACTTTGAAAAGTTGTAACTGCAAGTGATACCTTCATATTTCTTCACTTTGCCCGTTGCATCCGTCTTCTCTGTGCCCCTTGGTTGTTCCTTGTGCTGTCTCGAGGACTAATTCATCAGCTGATCTCTTTGGCACTTCTTTTGAAACAGGGACAAGTAGTGCTGCTCCAGCTGCCACAAGCGCCGCCATTTCTTCTCGATTTTTGTCTTTCAACTAAACAACACTCCACAATGCTGTTAGACAAGTCAACGAACATTCTTTGCTTCTTCATCTTCAGCGGCCGTTTTGGTTCCTCTCATAGCATTTTCCAGGTTTGGTTCGTTTTCCGTGTTCTGAGGATCTGCCTATAAAAACCCAATTTATAACTTACAACAAATATTATAATCACTTTTTTCTCCGGAGTTGATGCATCCTTGCTCTAAAACAAAAATTTCAATGGTATAGAAAATGAGGAAATTAACTTAGAAAAAATTAAAATTAACGATTTCTGGTATAGTGGCATCTCGACTCACGTTGTTCTTGATCGGCTTTTGTTCTACGCCCAATTCTTTCATTGTTCCCGTAGCTCCACTAGTTTTTTCCGAAAGTACATCCGTATTCTAAAAAGACAAATATTAAGTTTTTAAACAAACAAAAACCTTTTGAGAGCTCACGTCTGATGTTGGCATCACATCGTTCGGGTTCTTTTTTCGACTTGCACATCCGGTAACCACTTAAATAAAATAATCGAGAAAATTAAATTAAAACTCACAAATGATGAAGAAACACAGTGAAACGAGAATGAGGGCCCGACGCGCTCGACAAGCTCGACGTTATCCCTGAAAAAAAACATATTTGTTTTATTAAGAACTCCGAAATATTTACGACCGATTAAAAGTTTACAAAAGCGCAGGAAAAAAATCACCTCCGATCAATAAGCTGAACTGTAAGCAAGCAGAAATTCGAAACGAGTTCAGAACGATTCTGAAAACGTTGCCATCTTAATGCAAAATTGACAAGTTTACATGCTAATTTTACAAGAAATCAGTCGATTTCCTTTCGGATTTTGAAATTCCACGAAAGTCGCCTGGTCATTAATTTGGCTTGCCATTCTCAAATAATAACACGCATAAACTGCTTAAACATTTATCTGAATAAACTATAAAAACTGTTATTAATCAAAAAGTCAACAACAAAAATACAGTCATAGTATGAAAAAAACCATAAAACAAAAACAGTTAAAGTATAAGCATTCAAAAATCGTTCAAATCAGCAGCAAATTTTAAGTGTTGTTGCAATTCGTAGATTTCTCCAAGATGAGCTTCTCGATCGATCTTCTACGGCTTGGCGTTTCACATAAAGCTCTACGATCGACTGCTCCAAAATCGCCAATTGCATGAATCGTTGAGAAATCGATTCGACCATCTTTTTTGGAATGTCCTGAAATTTATCAATTGAATTTTCGAGTTGTCATCTAGCTTTTATTAAAATAAGATTACTTCGTGTAAGAACTTGACCAGTTTATCTTTGGGAATTTTGCCAAATTGGATCAAGATCTGCTCATGTTGGGCTCTTGTCCAATTGTTCGTCACAGTTTTAAAACGTCGAAGAACCTAAAGTAATTGCTAATATTTTTATTTTAAAAAGTAACAACATCATTCCCTCTACTCTTGCATTTTTGCTCATTTCTTTGACCATCATATTCCAACGCCTTGTGCCATATTGATAAACCGCTCGAAGTAGATGATAATCATCATGTGATGTCCAGTAAGTGACCTGCAAAAACATTTTGCAAATGAATCGAAAGGTATCACGATCTAAATAATAGTCAATCCTTCTGTAGACCTGCCCTTCTGCAGACAAAACGTTTTGAAATCTTTCGCGACACACGAAAGCCCATCTCTCTGGCACAAACTCCGCGACCGTTCGCCAAATACTCTTCAAATTGTACGTATCGCCTAAACAAAAAGTTATGATAAACATCTCTTTAAATATTGATACCTGCCATGTAGCGATACTTGGAAATTTTCTCGTTTCAATACAGTGGTGTCGAAACCCAAAAGAAGGTGCTTATCCTCCATCGTTGTTCATTCCGTTTGCATCTTCCATTTGTAGATTTGATGTATGAATTCCTTGAACACTCCAATTGCATTTCTTTTTGTTCTCAATTGTTCGGTAACGTATGCCAAATCGATTACATCAAGTGAATGAATAATTGCCTTTAGGCGAAGAAGTTCATCTTTTTGCCAAGGGTTTGTGTTGATCCACGGTGCCAGATGATTTTCCCAACTAAATCAAAAGAGTCACATCAATAAAGAAACAATTATTTGCAATTGGTTGCCACTAAGAATGACCAAGAAACAAATTGCATGGATATTACAAAACCAGCTGTTTACAGCTGGTCAATAATAACGCCAAAAGCACGAAAGCTGATATAGTTAAAAGTTGATAAGCGTTGAAATTGCAAGATGAAAAATGAAAATGAAAAAAGTGAGAAGTAGGGAGAGCAAATTTTCAGTTCCAAATTTCAATCAGGCAGTTGAGTACTTTGAAATTAAAAGAAAAATTGGATTTAGTACTTGCAAATTCGTATGCTTTCCTTTCCAAATGCAAATTTCTCGTGCGCACAGACAGACATACCGAGAGACAAATACTTCTCTTTTCTATATAGTAGATCCAACCTGTATCGACATTCTTCTGCATTTCTTTTATCTTCGAAACCAACCGTTGCAATCTTTTCCCAATCAATCATCTCGTAATGTTTAGGATCGTTTACCATGTATTCGCCCCATTGTTTCTTTAAATATTCAGCCCTTTGGTTGATTCCTTCAATTTCGTGCTTCCACATCAACATGTCAGCAATTGTGGTGTCCTGTCCAGCAGCGTCGCCCTTTGCTTGAAGTGCTTCTTTTTGACGTCTATCATCAATCATCATCACACGTACCACTTCTTTAACAATAGCATCTAAAACATGAAAAATTAATAGTTTATTGGCCTTATTTACCCGAGAACGGGGAATTTCGTTTCGTAGACGATCTTCGGCTTGGCTGTTTCAACTCTTTCTTGTCGTTTTCTCCGTTCGATGTTCTTCACGACTTTGTTGATTGTCGAATCCGTTTCGGAGATCAATGTGTCTATCTTGTCACGTCTCGTCAATAACGTACTCATCTCTTCGGTGACTAGTTCGGACCTAGTAGAGGATGTCTTGAC